TCATTCCACCAAACTGCTGTGCCTGCATAAAATTGGCGTTCTGAGGCGTATTCACGCGACTGCCGTCCGACTGCGACGGAGACATATGGGGCCCAGGGTGCGGGCCAGCGGGCGAAAAGGGGCTTGGAGAAGCCGTTCCCATACGAGCGCTTTGTTGATCAAAATCCTGCATGATGGGCGATTGCGTTACATTCGGAGAAGCTCCTTGCTGAAGATGCTGGTATGGCGTCGGGTGTTGCGGAAATTGGGGGTTGCCATTGGCCGGTCCTTGATAATTTGGGAATGGCTGGTGAGGAGTTTGGGATCGTGACCCCGTCACGCCGCCCGGTGCTGGCCTTGGCGACATGGGCATGCCATCTTCTGGTCGCGCTCGCTTAGATGGAATCACTTGGTTTGGATTGTGGAAACCCGGGGAAGCGTTCCGCGGTACGCCATTATTGAACATGCGCTGGAATTGTGATGGATCCTGGGGGGTGGGGGAACCATGAAGGAAAGCAGTAGAGGGATCTATAGTGGATGGATGGAAGCCGCCATTATCCTGGCCAGGAATCGAGGCGTCGGCAAGCCAGGCATTCATGTCGAGCGGTTTTGCCAACCCATCTACCTAGGACGAGTGAGCATGTGAACATTGAAAAAAATTGCAAAGATGTCATATAGATATCAAGAAAGTATAGGGTTTAGTCAAATGATGGAAGATCAGATGGACGCGTCGGGGGTGAGATGTTTGGAGTCGCGCGCAGACCCGCGACAGTTTCGAAGAGAAGGGTAGGGAAGGCGACCAGGAATATTGGATATATTATGGGCTAATTAGGGGAGGGAATGAGGTACATACCGATAAGGCTGAAGTGACTTAAATTCCGCTTTTTTTAAACGGATGACTGAAGCCGGGTCCCGGAATTGGCAGATGGGGGGATATGAAGGGGGACAGAGGTTGGCTAAGTGAGGTCACGTGGTGTGATAGCCTTAGGCAACAAACCACGGGGAAGGACGGGAGGGAAGGCGTTAAGAGATAATGGGGGTGGGGGGGGGAAGGGGGGAAAGGGGGATAGACTGTAGACTAAAGAGTTAGCAAATCATAAAAAGTCACTCTTGATCTTCAAGCCAAGATAATAATAATGGAAGCTCCCAAAAGAAGGACGAATGGGGGTTACAGAAGGCATAAAAAATGACGGGGCGTGGCCACAACCAAATAATATCAATACAGGTAAATAATAATAGGGTAACCCCGGGGAAGAAAAAAAAGCAAAGCAATGATATAAAGATGGGCCGTACCTATCAGTTCACACGATCCGGTCAGTTAGGGATGAAAGGGGAAGTGGAGAGAAGAGAATGAGGGAAAATTATGGTCAGAGCTTTTTTTTTCCCATAGGTAAATCACCCACTGTGTTACGAGGTTAAATGTTTCTGTTTCTGTTTCATTTTAATATCTTGTCTTTTCAGGGGGGGTTTTGGTTCTTCTCTTTCTCTCTTTTCTTTCTCTTTTCTCCCCTTGTGTCAAAGAATTTGGATTTCCCATTTCGTTATTTCATTCAGAGAGGTGGGTTGTTGGTAGCCTCATCCCGCATATGGGAAAGACCACACACAGAAATAAATGAGAACCATTCAATAGAAGAAATATGAAGGAAATCTCTTTCTGAGAGAAAATCCTCATAAAACCCACATCTTTCCCTTAGATTTTGTAAATCATCTAAATGATGATCCATTCCAAAGGTCTGCTTAGGTGGCCGAGTGAGGTTAGATCATATATACTCCAACCCGATTAGGTCTGAGGTTAGCCAACAAATCATAAATTCCAAAGAAGAAAATTGCCATGGAAAAATGAGGACATTCCAGAGCAAAAGCTGGGGGGAAGGGGAAAAAAATAATATGGAGAAAAGAAAAAAAAAAGATCTAGAGCCGTGACGCCAGCGGGCGGTTCTCCTTATATAAAGCTCGGGCTAGCGTCTGATAATCACGTTGATGCGCGCCCAATCCTCCGAAGTCACCAAAAATTCGAGGTAAAAGAGTGGATTGATCTTTCCTAGTGAGCCCCGTGCAAGGATCCGACTCGATCCGCATGGGAAATCATGACGGCTTTGGTGCCTGTCCCACCTACCGTTGTCTCGGCCTACTCCACCGCTAGGGATGATTGGATCAACTTTTCTTCATTTCCCTTCTGTAAGGCTTTTGGAGCTACGGAGAGGTCATGGCTAACATTAGTGGCAAGGATACTCGTAACTGTTTCAAAAGCCTTTGCGCATGGCGGTCCAATATGATCTTCTCCTTGAACCTGATCAGCTGTCCAAACTGGCAACGTGCTTGGTGCATCATCTTACATATAGTCGACTATACGAAACAAATACCCTAGGCAAATCATCCCGAGGTCCTCATCATTGGCTCCAGGGCTACATATTGCGCAGCAGCCGCTAGCGTCTGACCATATATTTAGATTGATACACTCACCTAGACATGATTAGTGTATATTTGGTCTAGGCAAGATACAGGGGAATGGCGATCAGAACTATCAAGACTTCCCAAGGTTCTGTGTAAGTTGTCTCATAATTCTGTGGGAGATTATTGTATTGCAAGTTGGCGGGCGCTTGATTTGGTAGTGTTACCCGTATCGGCTATTGCCACAATCTTCTACTACCTATAGCCTTGGAATAATGGATGAACATGATATGCACATCATAATGTAAAATAGTCAGCAGGAATTACAATATAAATGTATCTTTGGCTCTAAACACACTGGAAAGTGAATCTTACTAAACTGTTGGACGAGCTAACATCACGTGATGGATAAGCTTCCGGGCCCATAGCATCGAAAGCTCCAGATGGCTCAACTCCGAGCCCTTCACACAGCGCGTCATTCACCAACCATCTTCAAAGCACATCACTTCTCCTTTCATTTCCAGCTGATAGATATACCATCCTTTCTTATCTTGCTCGCTAGCCAAAGTTATCCACCATGGGAGACGTTGCCGTGGAGAACCCGGCGAACAACGTCACGCCTCTTACCAAGCCAGGTGCGCTTGACGCCCTTGCCAACTTGGATTCCCTCGATGGCACCGGTGTTGATGGAAACGACGAATATGCTACCCTTAAGAGGCTACAAAGACATCTGGAGTATGTCTGACCATGTTTGTTTGATAGAGTAATCCGTACTGACGTCGAACACAGGTATATCCAACTGCAGGAGGAATACATCAAAGATGAGCAGAGGTATGCAATATGATTCCATAATTAAGGATTTGAATCAGTGCCTAACTACCATGTGCAATACAGGAGCTTGAAGAGGGAGCTGGTTCGGGCACAAGAAGAGATCAAGCGCATACAGAGTGTGCCATTGGTCATCGGACAGTTTATGGAGGCTATCGATCAAAAGTATGCCTTTCCGTGTCTGGGCTCTAGGCGAGATGATTCTTTTGCTAACGCATATCTCTAGCACCGGAATTGTGCAAAGCTCGACCGGTTCTAATTACGTCGTCCGTATCCTCTCCACTCTCGACCGCGAGAAGCTGAAGCCCTCATCATCGGTCGCCCTTCACCGCCACTCCAATGCCCTTGTCGATATTCTTCCTCCCGAGGCTGACTCCTCTATTGCGATGCTGGGTGAGAGCGAGAAGCCCGACGTGACGTATGCAGATGTCGGTGGCTTGGATATGCAGAAACAGGAGATTCGGGAGGCCGTCGAATTGCCTTTGACGCATTTCGAACTCTACAAGCAAATCGGTGGGTAGAGATGGAGATTCATTGCGGTCAATCACACAGCTAACAATTTGCAGGTATTGACCCTCCCCGTGGTGTCTTGCTCTATGGCCCCCCCGGAACCGGAAAGACCATGCTGGTGAAAGCCGTGGCCAATAGCACAACCGCCAGCTTCATCCGTGTCAACGGTTCAGAGTTTGTACAGAAGTACCTAGGAGAGGGACCTCGTATGGTCCGTGACGTGTTTCGCATGGCCCGTGAGAACTCCCCAGCCATCATCTTCATTGACGAAATCGACGCGATCGCCACGAAGCGTTTCGATGCCCAGACTGGTGCCGATCGTGAAGTGCAGCGTATCCTGCTGGAGTTGCTGAACCAGATGGACGGTTTCGAACAAACCAGCAATGTCAAGGTCATCATGGCCACCAACCGAGCCGACACCCTGGACCCGGCTTTGCTGCGTCCTGGTCGTCTGGACCGAAAGATTGAGTTCCCCAACCTGCGTGACCGACGTGAGCGCCGATTGATCTTCACAACCATTGCGGCACGGATGTCACTGTCCCCCGAGGTCGACCTTGACGCCCTCATCGTGCGCAACGACCCGTTGTCTGGTGCCGTCATTGCTGCTATCATGCAGGAGGCTGGTCTGCGGGCCGTCCGCAAGAACCGTTACAATATTATCCAATCGGACCTTGAAGATGCTTATGCTGTCCAGGTCAAGACTGGACAGGATGATGACCGGTATGTATCTTGTTTGCTTTTTTGGCTTTTCTATATCACTAACTTGTTGTTTACAGTCCTGACTTCTACCGGTAAATGCTCGAGTCTCTCAGGAAACTGGGTATGAGTGACGGAAGCTTGGTCTCCCTCCCTAGTTGTATTATCAATAATATGAAGGCGCCATGTGTCACAATGTTCAGATGATATGTTGATTATACAGTGTCCAACCTTTTTGATTGTAAATGTAAACGGCGGACCCGAATTACTATATGCGGTTAGCTTTTCCTTGAGTTTAGCACCCTAATACGCCCTCACGCAACCTCCCTTTAGGGCCGCCGACATTAAAGACCTCTCTTCGCTGCTCATCCTCCCCCTCTCTCACTTTTTCGTTCTCCTCTCGATCTTGTACTCATCGCCGCCCCGGTTCTTTTACTCTGGCCCCCACCGTGGTTTTCCCAGGACCTATCCGCACAGTAGGAAAAATGTCGAGACAAGCAAGCAGGCATTCAAATTGATAATACGTTCGTTGTATACAGTACTAGTGAACCACACTATAGCTCTTCAGCGCATAAGACACATTGCACCCCTGTTCTTCACTCCTGCCCCTGTACCATCTCCTCATAGCCTGGGAGGTCCCATCCTCTCACTTCCTCGCGGCTGGCAAATTTGGCAAAAGCATCCAACCTTAGGAAGGCGATAATTCCCAGGAAAAAATTCAGTATAGCGATACCTATGGACGATGACGGAGCCTTGGCCAAATTGTTCGAATCCTTCGATAATCCTTTCTGAACCTGATTCATGAACGGCCGGAAAGTTTGCTCGTATTGTTTGATTGCCGTCAGAAGACCGTCTTTGGTACCGTCCATGTCAGCGATATTCTTGTCAGCACGCCCACAATATCGACTAATCTCGCCAGCCAGTATGTAGGCTCCTACGAGACTAGAGGTAGTGCCCATTCCGGTGACTGCTGACGGACAATACGCGGCGTCTCCAACGAGAACAACCTGGCCTTGAGACCAAACGTCCATCTTGACGAGGCCCAGACGCTCGAGGTAGAAGTCGTCTGACGTCTCCAGAGCTTTCAGAATTCGGTCGGTTTGCCAACCTGCACCTTGGAATACCTCGGCCAATGCCGCCTTTTCCTCGTTGACATCGCCTTTCGGCGCACTGCTCAGCCTTTCCTGATCGCCCACGTAGAGGAGGTATGCCTGAATGCTCTGTGCATTATGTCTTCTGGTAAAAACCATTCGCTTCCCGGGGGCCATGTAGACCGTCGAAATGTATTGCTCCCCCTTTTGGATAGGCTGAGGGATGGTGAAGTAGCCTGTATAGATACTGAGAGAATTGAAAGGGTCCGGCATACCGGATCCGAGGATTAGCTTTCGGATGCGGGATCCCTGGCCATCAGCGCCGACTAGGAGATCAAAGTGATCCTTGTTGCCATCTGAAAACAGAACTTCGATCGAACCGTCGTTTTCCTCGAAGCTCTTGACAGTCATGCCGAAGATGTACTTGACGCGATCCTTCGTGGCATCGTGGAAGAGCCGACACAGATCTCCTCTCATGATTTCATAGTCGGTGGTGAAGCTTTGTAATCCTTGTCCGGTTTTGTTCGCAGGAAAGTAGGCCTTCTGCTTACCAGAGCTGTTGACAAATTCAAGGCCTTGCTCTTGAACTGATCTGGCGCGGAACGCTTCTTCGAGACCCATACGCTTCAAGACTTTGATGCCGGATCCGCGAAGGTCTATCTGCAGTCCCGTGGCCCGCAAGCTCGGCCAGCGTTCGACAACGGTGACATCGTGACCGAGCTTCGAGAGCCAGAAGGCCAAAGCATTTCCGGCTAGGCCTCCACCGCAAATGAGGATTTTCAACGGTGCCATGACTTAAGTGGTAATAGAGGGTACAAGAAAGAGAACACGAGATACTCTGGATTGCATAGTCGAACTGTCGCTGCCAACCACCCTTATTTATATTCCAGATGGGCCTGCCTCGATATTGCCTGTTACCTACCCGTTAGTGGTTCAAGTCCGGACTCGGGGTTTGCGGCTCGGTAAATTGTCCCTGTCGCAAATTCCCGCCGCACAAGTATTCTGAGCTGCACGAAAGCTAATCCCGCGAGCGTTCGTGGACTAAAGGCCTTTGGGCTGCTCATTTCAGATGCCTGGGAAGGACGGGCATTCGTACGCATCCGCGGTGCTCTCTGCAATTAGCGGGGAACTTTTCGAGCTTGTTGGATAGGGCTGTACGTTGAATTCGATACCCCGAAATTCCCGACCCCGAAAATGCCGAAAATGCCGAAAATGCCGCGTTGTAACCCGTGAAGTTGAATTTAACCTTGTTCGTTAGTTCCGGGTTTACTTGTTTCAACTATACAAAATTTGGGTTCATAATCTCCGGGCTACTTTAGCCATCTCTTACCTAATGGCTCCTTTCAGGACATATTTACATAGAAGCTCTATTTTCTATTTTTAGCCAGTTCAAGCTATTGTTGAACATGATCGTCAGCACTAGGAGTAGATCCAAAAACATTGCCTGGGAGAGCTAGGCATCAGAACGTCTTGCTATCTCAAGTACGGAAAAATACATTTCCTTAAACTTGACAGCTTGTTGTAGCCAGTAATTGAACCGTAGTGCTTCATCTCGGTCCTGGATCTGGCACAATTCGGGGGCCATGTGCCATGTGGCTCTGGCACGATAGATCGAGATATCTTCCGTCTCTTCCTTGCCATCCGGGGGTTAAGGATTGTCGTCGGCAATTGTATACTCTACATCAACACTTGATGCCGCAGATGCCATGGTGGAGGGCAGGGCGGACATGGTAAAGGTGTGAGCGTAGTGGAACCGTTCAACAAGGCATACAGTGTATAAGTCAAAGTCCTTAGGTATTTCATGTGTCAAAACAATAATCACGCAGAGGGTGCATCAATCGGTGGCATCACACCTATTATAGTGCTTTCTGACGCAGAATATTCAGATCACAATTCCACGCTATCCCATAGCTTCGGTGCAATACAGCAAGAGAATCCTTCGCATAACTAGAAATTACTCAACATTAAAACACCTCCCGGCATGATGAGTTAAGTTTTAACTCAACCGTCTTTACTGAATTATCAGGCATGTCGGAGCGATTACTATACATTCCCTAGCTCTAGTTAAGTCAACCAACTCACTAACTCATTACGGAGTAGATGTGATGACTAGCGGGGCTTGATAGCCTGCCGCATTCGGGCGGGTCTAACCTTATAGGCTCTAGCCCCGTGGATCGATTGTTAGACTAATCAATTCCAGTGCGAGTTATGAATGAACGACTAACTAGCATCAATTTAGTGCGATCATAAAAACTAAACCCACTTGTCCTCAATGGTAATTTTACCTAAATATCTTTTATCTATAGAAATGTTTTTGATCCTAAGTTAAGTTATAAACCTGTCGGATTATTACTTTGCCACCGCCACTAACTACTACTCCCTTCGGATCAGATATTGGACCTTTGCGTCGAAATGTTTATTCGTATTTCCAGGTGGCGTACTATCGAAGTTGATATGAGAGAATGGTGACTAGAAATAGAGAGCGTAATTCCTGGACGGCGGGCCCGAGTTGAGCTGATCTATGCTACAATAAATTTAATACAAACCTCCACTTTTCTCGATCTCCAGGGCTCTCGGTATGATGAGTAAACAGGTGACTGATTGACTCTCGACCCCACACCTAACTGACTATTGGTTCACGGGGCTTAAGGTTATCCATGGACCCACAATGATTTCACCTAGGTAATCACAGCGTAAAGACATATAAGTAGAACAGAGCGCCGTGCAATATCATCTACTTCCCTGTATCGTCAATTGTTTCTGACCACTCTGTACTGCATATTCCCATTTTTTACTTTATTACTCACACGCCAGAGCACCTCCAACTTGCCTGCTACATCACCACCCTACAGCCATGACGACTACCAACATCAATCCCAAGGATATGCAAGCATACTGGGCCAAATATCAAGACGACAAGTATGTCGAGGGCTGGGCCTCCCTCTGGGACAATGATACTCTACCCTGGGATCGTGGCTTCCCCAACCCCGCGCTAGAAGACACCCTGGTGCAACGAGCAGACACCATTGGCGGGCCCATCGCCCAGGACGGCCAGAGGCGAAAGGCCCTGGTGCCGGGCTGTGGACGTGGAGTCGATGTGCTTTTACTAGCGAGCTTTGGGTATGATGCCTATGGCCTGGAGTGCAGCGCCACGGCTGTCGATGCGTGCAAGAAGGAGGAGAAGGAGAACCATAGCCGGTACCCCGTGCGAGATGAGAAAGTTGGGAAGGGGAAGGTCAATTTCATCCTAGGGGATTTCTTTGATGATACCTGGTTGAAGGAAATCGGAGTACCTCGAAACGGGTTTGATATCATTTATGATTACACGGTATGTATGCTCACTTCCTTCGGCTCCATTGCTATCATATTCTCTGCACTTGTACTCTGCGTTCTACAGGGCTGCAAGATGCTGCACTCTGTCTTTGAACTTTTGATGTGTCGTTTTCGACCCCTGCATCTCTCTGGTCATCCCTTCTAATAATCATCTAGTTTTTCTGTGCTCTGAACCCAGACCTCCGCCCTAAATGGGCTCTCCGACACACCGAGCTCCTTTCTCCCTCACCTGCAGGATATCTGATCTGTCTGGAATCTCCTCGTCATAAGAACCCCTTGGCCCCCGGCCCTCCATTTGCCTCTCCCTCCGAGGCCTACATGGAGCACCTGAGCCACCCCGGTGAGAAGATATCCTACAACGATAAGGGTCTTGTCAATGCGGACCTGTCACGAGAGCCCAGCAAGACGGGCCTGGAGAGAGTGGCGTACTGGCAGCCAGAGCGCACGCACGCTGTGGGCAAGGGTGAGAATGGGGTGATTCATGACAGAGTCTCTATTTGGCGTCGACGTGACTAGAAATGTGCCTGGAAATTTCTGTGACCCGAAAAGGAAAAAAACTTAGATGGTAAATATAGGTGATTTTGGAGTCTAGCGAAAATGAGGTCTTTTATCTGCATATCGTAGGCCATGGGACTGGCGAAACCGATGTCAGTTGAATATATGCACTGGAAGGGTCTCCTCAACTCCACAGCGTGATCCAAAGTAAGCGGAGATTATATCTATGCAATTATTTTTATTATACATAAGTCACGGTATTTCGCACACAACGTCACACAACGTTAAGACGCCCAAGGATCATCAAGAGTTGCAAGGCCAATGGCAATCTCAACATCGCGCTTTCGGAACGCTGGTCCGCGACCTAGACAGATAGCGACGAGGGAAAGATCTACAAGGTCAGTAAATGCATGAACAAGAAGACACAAAGAACCATTGGTCTCAGCATTACTCACATTTAACGAAGCTCGCTGCGTTGAGCTGCGGAGCGGAATTGAACCGGGGACTGGAGAGGGGCGAGCTCGGGTCCTGAATACGAATCCCTCGCTGATGTAGCAGCCTTTGCACACCGCTCGCATCCATCCACTCACCAGCACCCGATTCATTGACCATTTTCCACGTTCGAGAGGAAACAGCGAGTTGTTCAGGCGAGTAGTTTCCCCTCCTTGACTTGAGAACTGTTGTCCTCAACTCGACCGCATCTCCTATTTCGTCGTGCATAGCGGTTAAGAATTGGGAGATAAAGCGGTTGCGATCGTCGATGGTCATTCGTTTGCCGAAGACTGCTTTGACCTTTGGATCATCTTCAGATGAGTTTGTTAATAGATAGTATCCAGTCTCGCAGCATTGTCGGACCAGACGGTGTGAGAGTGTCCAGCGCCCTTGCTTTGAAAGATTGTCGGGCGATACTATGGGTGGGAAATTCATGGTAGGGCTAGGGATTGGTGAGAAGGGGATGTTCGGAGACGGCAAGACTATTTCAAACGGCAGATATGTTTGTTCTTGGAATGGTGGCGTGGAGGGTAGTTGTGATAGTTCAGGCCATGGAGCCGCGAGGTCCGATGAGGACTGGAAAGCATCACCAATTATTGGTAGTGAATCAAGTTTTGTTGTGAGAGGATTGTTATTTGAGGTTGTATCTTGTGTATCGCTGAGCTTGGGAGATGTCGATGGCGATACGTCCGCCGGGGCTGCAGGTGCTTGTTCGGCCTCGCCGCAGCCACTTTTGGCAAGCGACACGCATTGCTGTGTAATTTTTTGCAGAGCAACTGTGATACGAGGCTGATTTTGGAGAATCCCAGCCTCGAACAGAAGATCACTGAAAGAAAGGAACGACTCACTGAGCTCTTCGATGCCCGACTCAAGTTCCTGTACGCGAGATTGCAAATTGACGATCGTGGTGTCTTTTCTCTTGCGATATGCTTGCTGCGCAACGCGAAGCTGCTTTCGACGTCTCTGGATTCCTTGAGTCAGTTCTAACTTGCTCTGTAGTTGCTCGGGATGTACCCACCTCTAAGACTTGCTGATCGTCCGCCACAGTTCCTGGCCGGCCTCTCTTGCGAGGCGCGGGCGCGTCAGTCATTGCTTTGACCATTTTTGTTTATGGGGCCTTTTCTTTATCTTGAAGACATGCAGTGATGTAATGGATAAACTGAGAGCACGAAAAGGACGTGACGGCGTTAGTTTACTCATCAGGATCGGGCTTGTTGAGTAATCGGATCGCCACGACCTCATCCATGGATTGGCCCGAGCTCCGCCCAAAGTTTTTGCTAAGCGGCTCCAAGGAGTTTACTGTACGGACGGCTCGTTTGTCACTGTTCATGCAACATCCATTGAAGGCAAAGCCGCTTGACAGGGGTCTTCCGACCAGACTCGCAGGGGTCAGCCGGCGTTCGTGCTGGTATTCTTCACCGCGGGCCGGCGTGAATATTCACTCTAGTGCCTTGGCAGTGGCGCCCAAGAAATAGAGGCCATCTTGAAGGAGGAAGCTGGTTTCGCTATCGACTGTAGACACTGGAAAATGACGCTTCTAGGGCCATTCTAACTAGACCTATGGCTGGTTTGCCACACCTGTACGTATAGAAACCAGATAACGTCCACGGGTGGATGTCACAATATATATATACAGCCACAGCAGTTTATAAAAAGCATACAATAGATTATAAAGCCTGGCATGATAATTACTTGTATCAACGGGATAATCACGCATATAACATGGAAAAAAGGCTATACCTAGAATCCAAGGTTGAGGCTTAGAACCCGCGTAATACAATTACCATTAGTCGGTCCACTTACTATAATTGCAGATCAGAATAATTCGAGAAAAGCCATACTAGCAATGGAGATTTAGTCCCAGAGACCAGGTTATCATCTGCAACCGGAACGGGCTTCCCTCACTTAGTCCAAGATTATATTCGAGCCCTGGGATGACCTTAGTATATCTAGCTGTAGTGCGCATGCAGCCCGTCACCGGGGTAGTGCCTACAACCAGGACAATCAGGGCATTTTTTTGGCTTTGGATAGCGACGCGAAGTTTGAATTTAGCAAGTGCTCCAACGGATAGGAACACCAGAAGAGCCCATACCGGGGGTAGTTGAGGACCAGCCCCGGGTTAGAGGCCATAATAATTGTTGCAAAGGTTGATTAGTATCCCGACTAGTAATCCGACTATTAGAGTCCTCTAGGTGAAACTTTGGTATCAGCGGACTGCAGGAGAATGGGTTGCGATAAAGCAAATACAGAGATTCACATTCAGGATCATCTTAGAACCCATGTGTCGCTAAAGATATCGCGGCGAGGTTGGAAAAATGGGGTGAAGCCATCCCCAAAAGACATCCATTGAGCCTCTTACTAGGCTGTTGAATCTCCTTTGTTGAAGAGTCCGAACTGCCAGTTTACGTGATGTATCAAAACAAGTGATATTTGCTTATTTCCCGAGTCTCCTTGCTGCGATAATCGATACTATAGCCGATCACCCGCCCTACCGTTATTTGTTCGTAAAAAGAGCATTTGAAGGGCGTGCGCTCCCTTGAAAGGCACTGAATGGAGTATTTGGTTGGACAGTTCCAATCTCTGGGCGAGATGGACTACAACATACAGACGCACATGCTTTAGAGCCTACGATACTCCGTACACCTAGAACTTTCTGGCGTATCACAGCAGGACATGATACCTTCCTGTAGAACAATAGCATAATGTAGCGTAATCTTTAGCCACATGAGCAATTCTGGAGCTGCCAGGTACACGAGAAGGGTGTTTTCTGACCAGTCCGACCATTCCGTCAATGGCGCTAACCACGCCCAGGCACCAGGCCAAAGCGGCTTCCCCTGTTTAGGTCCGATCTTGTAGGAAAAATAGTACGGAGCCAGAGTAATCCAGTAAATGGTTCAAGAAACAAGAAATATTTGTATACGTAGTGAAATTCCCCCGGGGCTGGTGCCTGAGACTCCATGTCATGAGGCCCATCGCTCAAAGGGGTTAGTGTGACCCTCCCGCTTCCGTCATCGTCTCTCCAGCCTCCACTCCCCCATCTCCCATCTGCCCTTATCTCCTCTCCCTCCCTCTTACACGCAAGTCATTCTCTTCTATCAAACATCTAAACAACTTTCTTTTCTCATCTTAAATGATGAAGTCACTCACTCTCCTAACAGCTTCGGCGCTGTTGGGCAGTGCTACCGCCGAGGTTCACAAGCTCAAGCTCAACAAGGTCCCTCTAGCCGAGCAACTGGTATGTTTATCGATATTACCCTAAGAATATTCCAGCTAATCTCAGATAGAACACACACAACATCGATGCTCATGTTCACAACTTGGGCCAGAAGTACATGGGTATTCGTCCTGAGAAGCACCAGGACCTGTTCCACGACACTTCCCTGAATCCTGCTAGTGGCCATGACGTTCTGGTTGATAACTTCCTGAATGCTCAGTGTATGATAACGCCCTAGAATGTTGGGAAATGAGAGATGACGCTGACCTTTCCAGACTTCTCTGAGATCTCAATTGGAACCCCTCCCCAGACCTTCAAGGTTGTCCTTGACACTGGTAGCTCCAACTTGTGGGTCCCCTCTTCGCAGTGCAGCTCTATCGCCTGCTTCCTTCACACCAAGTATGACTCGTCTTCCTCGAGCACCTACGAGAAGAATGGCACCGAGTTTGAGATTCGCTATGGATCTGGCAGCCTGAGTGGCTTCGTGTCTAGAGACACTCTCCAGATTGGTGACATCAAAATCAAGGGACAGGACTTCGCGGAAGCTACCAATGAGCCTGGTCTGGCTTTTGCCTTCGGTCGCTTTGATGGTATTCTCGGCCTCGGCTATGATACCATCTCCGTGAACAAGATGGTCCCCCCCTTCTATCACATGATCAACCAGAAGCTCGTCGATGAGCCCGTGTTTGCCTTCTACCTTGGTGATGCCAACAAGGATGGTGACAACTCCGAGGCGACCTTTGGTGGTATTGACAAGAACCACTACACTGGCGAGCTGATCAAGATCCCTCTCCGTCGTAAGGCGTACTGGGAGGTCGAGCTCAACTCCATTGCCCTTGGTGACAACGTCGCTGAGCTTGAGAACACCGGTGTCATTCTGGACACTGGTACCTCTCTCATTGCCCTGCCCTCAACCATGGCCGAGCTTCTGTAAGTTGAATTTCCCCTTGTTTTCGTAGCCTATCTGCTGACTCACTCCACAGGAACAAGGAGATCGGTGCCACTAAGGGCTTCACTGGTCAGTACAGTGTCGAGTGCAACAAGCGCGACTCGTTGCCTGACCTCACCTTCACCCTTGGCGGCCACAAGTTCACCATTGGCCCCTACGACTACACTCTGGAGGTCCAGGGCTCATGCATTAGTAGCTTCATGGGCATGGACTTCCCTGAGCCCGTGGGTCCCCTGGCTATTTTGGGTGATGCCTTCCTGCGTCGCTGGTACAGTGTCTATGATGTCGGTAACAACGCCGTGGGCCTGGCCAAGGCCAAATAAATGCCCTAATGCTCGATGGGCCAGTGAGCTTTGAATATCAAAGAACCAGGTGACGCCGGGAGATTGCTTCGTATATACATGTGGCTTCTGGGTTTTACGTATGGTTTCATAGCACACTTCATTCGCCTATTGCTAGTAGTTGTTCGGGGCTTTTTTGTTTTGTTTTGCTGGCATCATGAGGTCTGCCGTTCATTGGTACTGCGAATTGATATTTTTATTGGTCAAGATCTACTTATTACATTTGACCTTTTTATTTGAAAGATACTTCCCTATCTAACTCATACCTGAGTAGTGGACATAGTAGAGCTAGATCAGCAAATTCCCAGTAAGGACTTGAATGGCAATTGGCTGGAGCTTATGCTGGTTAAGCTGCATGTACCTATCAATCCACAGTCAAGTTTCTAATACAATCAGAGAAAGCATGTGGAAAATACTACCTAGACTAGACACAAAAATAAAAAAAGGTATTTGATCAAGCCATTATATCAGACCATTCAGACAAAATAAGATACTTGAACTAAAGTATATCTAACCTAAATCAGTAGGAGGAAATACCTGTTTCCAAGTACCGGTATGACATAAGCGGAAGTAGCTCTCAACCCAGATCGAGTGAGTCCCCGCACAACTTCAATGAGCTTCCATTTTCTTTGATCGCAGCCAACATTCCTCTTTCAACCTTCTCCGTCCTCTCACACCCAAGCAAATTTCTTCATCTAGTGTGTGACCTGCCTCTTATCCCCGCGCCAGATCGTGCTAGGCGCACGGATTTCTTTTCCCATTCGCGCCTTGTAGTGGCGATTCTCATTGCGCTGCCTAAACCACCCTTCACACCTACTTATTCCTCCGATTTACCTTTGACCACTGAGTCACAGGCTGAAATCCTACCATCGAAACCCGAAATCATCCAGTTCTACACGCGTTGCGTGTGATGGCTTCGTAGCCGGAATCGCACGCGATCACTGCATTCGACCCACACGTCATTGACGCGCGCTGTCAACAAATCAAGGGCATAGAGTACACTTTGCGAGAACGCCAGGACAGGAACTGAGCATTAGTGCATTTCATCGCCTGGGGGCGAACGAAGAGCAACCATGCTTCTCCGTCTGCCTGCCAGCCTACATTACCCGATTACCGTGACGTCGTTGCTAAAACAGCCCGGCGACACGGTTGAGAGGGATGAGGCTTTGTTTTGGTATGTCTATGAGACTACCGTCCCCGAGGGTGATGGACTGGGGAACATCGTCGAGGTGAAGCGTCGGTACCCGACTAGATTTGAATCGACGGTTGATGGGGAGATTGTTAAATGGGAAATCCAAAAGGGAGATGTCATTGATGAACCGTGAGAATATCGAGCCTTGTATTTTTACTGTCGAATGTTGTCTAATTTGCTAGGGTCAATGTTGTTGAGATCGATGAGCCTTGCGCGCACGAGATCCAGTTTGGAGGACTTTGCGCCGAGTGCGGGAAGGACATGACTGAGTATGGATTAAGTTTCTCATCTGGAAATGAGCCTTTCTAACTGTCTGTCTCGTGAATAGATCTACCTACAACACCGAAATCACCGATTCCATGCGCGCTCCTATCTCTATGGCTCATGATAACCTCACACTTACGGTCAGCGCACGGGAAGCGACCCGAGTTGAAGAAGATGCGAAGCGCCGGCTACTTGCATCGAGGCGTTTGACCCTTGTGGTGGATCTTGATCAAACTATCATCCATGCCACTGTTGATCCGACAGTGCGAGAATGGAGAGAAGACAAGCAAAATCCAAACCACGAATCTGTGCGCGATGTGCGAGAATTTCAATTGATTGACGACGGGCCTGGGATGCGTGGATGCTGGTACTACATCAAGCTGCGACCAGGACTGGAGGAATTCTTGCAAAATGTGGCTGAGATTTATGAGTTGCACATCTACACCATGGGTACTCGTGCTTATGCCCAACATATTGTTGATATCATTGACCCCACTCGCAAACTCTTTGGAGACCGAATTCTTAGTCGTGACGAGAGCGGAAGTTTAACGGTCAAGGACCTGCAACGGCTGTTCCCAGTGGACACAAAGATGGTGGTAATCATTGATGATCGTGGTGATATCTGGCGGTGGAGTCCCAATCTTATTAAAGTCTCACCTTATGACTTCTTCGTCGGAATTGGCGACATCAATTCAAGTTTCCTCCCAAAGAAGGAAGACATTGGAGCGAATAAGCCTCAAATCGAAGCCAAGGCACCAGAGAAAACCAAAGAACATCATGTGAATGGTAAAATGCAAGGGGGCACCGAGATCTCAGCATTAGAACAGCTAGTGACCATGGGTGGAGATAGCCCAAGACTCCTCCAGGAACAGGCCGATGCACAAGAAGAGACAATATTGCATCAGGTGGAGGACCGACCTCTGCTGCAGAAGCAAAAGGAATTGGAGGCAGAGGATAATAACGACGAAACCAGTGATCCATCGTCTGGCGTTGAAGAAACCCAGGAACATGCGAAACATCGCCATCACCTACTCGAGGATCACGATCAAGAACTCTACCAACTGCAAGACCGACTCGAACAAGTACATCTTCAATTCTATGACGAATATGACAAGAGGCGCACTCAAGCTCTTGGCGGTCGCGTTGCAGCTCTCAGGGGTGAGAAGGTTCACTCGAAAGATAAAGACGTGGACCTCAAATTGGTCCCCGATGTCAAGGATATCATGCCGCGGATCAAACGCCGTATCCTCGGAGGGGTGGTTTTGGTATTTTCAGGTGTCCTTCCTCTGGGCATAGACTTCCAAAATGCAGACATCTCCCTATGGGCGAAGAGCTTTGGTGTGACGATCTCGTCACGGGTAAATGCCCGCACAACTCATCTCGTGGCTGGCCGCAACCGCACCGCGAAGGTGAGAGAAGCCACTCGCTACCCTAACATCAAGATCGTGACGACGCAATGGCTTGTCGACTCGTTGGTTCAGTGGAGACATTTGGACGAAGAACCCTATCTCCTCCCGCTTCACCCAGACGACCGAGGCGACCCCCTGACCCCAAGTGAACTCGAACTTGAGACGTCCTTGCTATCATCCACAGACGAAGATATGACAGGGTCCCAATGGACACAAGAAGACGACGCCGAAGACATCTTCAAGTCATCCGGTCTGGACGAGACATCGCCGGTCGGGTATGATGCCGACGAGCAAGCTGCTGTGCATGATGAACTGAAGGACTTCCTGGGTAGCGACGACGAAAGCGAAAGTGACACCGAGTCGTTATTAGATGAACCCGCAGGAGGCAAGAAGCGTAAACGCAATGAAGAGACCGAAAGTGGCACTGATGAAGAGTCGGGAGATGATGATGGAGAGGACCATGACAAACAAGGCTCCCGGCTCTCCCAACGAATCAAACGCTCCTACGAGCGCAACACCAAGTTGCGAGAAATCACCTCTGCTCCTGCCTCTGGTAGTGACCAGATTTCCCCAGACTCAAAGACTCCAGTTGTGGAAGGTGTGTCTGACTCCGATACAGCAGGAACAACCGGTCCAAAGGCCGACTACCCTGATCCAGATGACGATGACGATGAGCTGGAACGGGAAATGCTAGCTGCATTTGAGGGTGGAGGTTATGACTCTCAAGCAGAGGCAGAAGCTGCAGCTGAGAATGGATAAAGCACTCCATTTATTCTTGTGCTTTCTTTTTCATGTTCTCATTGTATGTGTGTGTGCGGTTGCAATGCGCTCTTGGCACAGCGACGGCGTTTATCAGGTCCATTTGATTCTTTGCACTATCGTGTCTGGTGTTCTGTAGTTCTCAATTTGTGTGTATCTGAGAATCGTTATTGTACAATCCAGTGATACTACATGAACTACGTAGGAGTCCGCACTAAGATCTCTGCTTAGATTGAAATAACGTATAAATACAGAAAACACATAAATAATCCAATGCTTCGCTTTCAACGCCAGATATGCAAAAAGTGGTATCAAAAAATCAATCATAAACATCCCGATTAACCTGCCACGACATAATCATCATCCAAAGATAGAAAATAGTATTAACAAGTTCAAGCGCAAAGGCAGTTTTCCAGCAATTGCCTATAAAAGTCAGTCAACCAGTCAAGGTATCAAAAGATAGAAATCAAACTCACAAATAGTACTCTGCGTCAACCAAGCCAAAGTATTAATATTATTTCCCCAAGACTTATTATTCACCACATAGATCTGGCAATTATCATTCACATTCCCGACAACTCCATACAACTGAAGCGAAGTCTCAATCAGACCCGTCAGCCATAGCACGAGGAGAATAAAGCTGCCGATGATAATAATCCCCGGCAAGAGGAAATGTCGCGACGCAAGGACCAGAATGAGGAATATAAAACACACGCCTAGAGCGCTGCTGACAACCATGTAAGGGAAGAGCCTGGTTACCGTTAGTCATATCCTTGTACAAGCCAAAGAATGTGGGTGAAGAATGTGGGTTATGAGAATATATAACCCATAGATATAACCTACCATGGCGTCCCAAGATGCATTTGTGATTGTACAGCCATGAACCAGCCGAAGATTCCTAGACATGTCGCGGAGCATGATAACACGACCATAATCCATATGTTGAGTTGGAGTTCCGGCCAGTGGTAACGACGGCGCACTTCGCGCTTGCGAACTGCCATTGGAGGGGATTTGGGAGGGTTTGGAGTTTAGATTCGGTTTGGTTGTGGCTCGATTGCGACGGAGTGGGTATGCTTTATACTGGTAGTTCTTGTATACCCGACGCAAGCTTGGAGGCCCTATGTTTTTTTTTTTTTTGGCAAGGCTTGGGATGAAATTGGGAATGGCCAGATCGTGAGTCAAGTTTGAAGAGTGTAGAATCCTATGGTTGTTGGTGAAGCGTGATTGGGACAGCGCATTGGGCGCCCTCGCTGCCCTGGGATTTTGTCGTGCGACGTGGATATTTACAATTGTGCATGAATTGAATAAAAATGTAAATCCCAACAGGTACAGAGTAAAGAGCGTATGTAGAAAGTAAGAAAAAAAAAACAAAGACAAAAAACAAGAGGCAGGGAGGGGAAGATTTAGGAAATTGAGGTGGCAGGGGATTTAGTGTCTTTCTATGTTGATTTCCTCACTTCTCCCTTTCACCTGCCGCTTTTTGCCTAAAACTACACCGTACATCACGAGATAATTAGTTTATCATACATGGATGTATCAAATATAGAAAAGGCCATTTCTGCCTTTTTCTTTCTCTTATCGATTTATAAAACTGGCACATGATACCTGAGATGGCCAAGCATACTGAAACTCCTGAAAGGACATTAGGCCTCTTATATGTGGTCATAGGCTCTAATTCGGCCCTGGAGGATGCTATGTCACCAGCCCCTTCATCGAAACAGCGTACCAGAGATACTGCTAGAAAGGAAGTACTCAAAGGGAGCACAGATGTCACTTAACATCTCCGGAAGGACGGTTGGGCCCCGGGGCTGCCTCATCAAAGTGGAATAGGGAAGATGCTAGAATGTTGGCCGGAGGCATCAACAGTGGATTGCGTCCGTTGCAATTTAGTTGAGATAGACGCCGCGGGCTACCATGACTGTGCCATGAGGCTCTTCCCATAACTTAACCTGGGCCGCAAAGCCCCGGGTGTCTTTGATTTTGAAACGATGGGTAATTTTCGTGGCACCCTATTTATGTTAGTGGCAGAGAGCGCTTGCCTTTTGGTTTGCTTGACATACTTTCTATAAGTCTTCAAGATCTGGTGGATCCTGCCATCATCATTCTTGACCCTTGAAGTCTCAGTTGTTCCAAAGACTCTTAGCTCCTCAGACCCTGCAGGCAATTCGAAGAGACGAGTATCGCGGCCCATGGCTGCTAGGTCATGAAGTTGGCGATTGTGATGACTGTCCAACTCATCATATTGTTTTGCAATTGGACCTCTATCATCTCCCGCTGCCTTGGAGTTGCAGTGGCAGGGTCTTTGCCTCGCGGATTGGTGACCTCGATATCGGAGCTTGGGCATCCTTGGTGTACGGCTCGGGCTGCGGTCTACTTATAAAACCGACGAGGCATCTAAACAATGATATCTGAAAAGATCACTGAAAAGACCATCGAAAAGACCACCGAAAAGATATCACAGGACCGTTTCCAAGGTTATACGGCCGACTGTTCTTGTATCGGATTCTATAAAGATATACGATCTATAAGTGGAGTATAAATATTATATATCCAATGTTCTTCATATATTCTCCAATATGGATCGTTCTTCATCTTTCTCACTGACCAACAACACCATAAGTTGTTCGAAGGGAGGAAAGAACGTATCAGATAAGGTTCTGAGTTCGAACCGATCCTTCCCACGATACACATTATCTCTATCGTTCGCAACCTGCTGAACGTGAAATCGCAGCGAGATTGGTCTGTCTAGGATGTGCTGCAGATCCTCCTACTCTGTTCACTCTATTACGCTAGAATGTCGTTTCGGTCAATTGTCGCCCCCAGGCCGAGCGAGCAATCTCGTTCATTGCCTCCGCCTGCCGCCAAAGTCACCCCATACGAAGATACGAAGTACTGTGATCGCGCATTTGATGGAATATGACGAGAAAATGTACCCTGAGTTTCTCCCCTTCAATCGCAGGACTAAGACGCCCCGGTGGCTGATACATTGGATCATGTGCTATCCTACCACTCGGCCAAAGCCAGGTGAAGGTTATGCTCCAATATATCTTTCGCTAGGAGCGGGACCTCAATCTAGATGAAGCTTAGTTGCTTCATCATGAATCTACTTTGACTTTAGTTCCAAAGTTGCGTCGCTCCTCAACCCTCTATCAGTCTCCTTTCTTCATCTAGCTTGATCACTTGTATCATACCGGTATATCAGCCCACAAAATGCCCAGTCAACCTTCCCGCAATTCTGGAGAGAATTCCATCTCTTCTACATCCCTTGCTGTTCAATCCAATCCGATATTCTTGTTCTCCTGTGCTGTCTCTCCCCAATCGCTATTCCTTTGATCTGGCAGCAGACCTTCTGCTTGTAAAGATGGTTATAGTAATCCACTCTGACAGCGGCCAGTTTGTCAACCTAGCGCTGACCCGCGTTATTTGCCAGATGGGTCTTGCAGCCTGCGTTCGATTTTACGCCGTGGCCACAATCAGGGAGGAGGACCGTGGAAAAGAAGATAAGTGCTGGGACCAATTCCAGTTCCTCAAGGCTTTTCCATAAGATGATGGTGCCTGTCCGTTAGTTATATATAGAAAAGTCCATCTCACAAATTAAGCCTTTTTCTGCCTTTTTTCGCCCTCGACTTATAAAATTAGCACATCTAAACAGAATGATATCTGAGAAGACCACTAGAAAGACCACTAGAAAGACCACTAGAAAGACCACTAGAAAGACCACTAGAAAGACCACTGGAAAGACCACTGGAAAGACCACTGGAAAGACCACTGGAAAGACCACTGAAAAGACATTTAATAGATCTACATAGGTATAAATACTCTATATCTTCATAGATTCTCCAAGATCTCTCTTCATCTCTCTCAAGGTTCGAAATAAGGTTCTGGTTCGCATCCGTATTAGGCTTAGTTGCTTCATCTATACTTTCAAGGTTTGCATCTGTCCTTCGTCAACCTTCTCTATTCTCAACCTTCTGTATTCTCAGCCTTCTGTCAGCCCATCACCATTCTCATCCAGTTTCATCACTTACGTCATACCGGCATATCAACCTACATAATGCCTACCGAACTGCCCGTTCCAGAGAGGATTTCATCGCTAATGGCGCCTGCGCGCCGGTCAGCACTAGAGACTAGGAAGAAACAGTATATGAGTGCATCATCACGGCTATGCGAGCTCTCCGCTGAATCAACAGCGTCGGATTTTCTTGACGCCAAACTTTCTGTAATGGAAAGTGAACTCGAATATATACGATGTGTTCGAGACGGCCTCAGTGAAGCAAGACGAACCGAAAATATCTCCCATGATGCCTTTCAGCGAGAGATCCAACCTTTCTTACAATCATTTCGTTCGTCATCAAACGTTATCCACGTGGTTAAGCGACAACGCCGATTGATTGTTAAGATATTGACGAAGAAGTCTCAAAACGGCGGACAATAGAATGCCCATGTCCACTTGACCAAGGTTTACTCGAGCGTGCTTACTGAGATGCACTCATCCCCCGTGTGTTAGATGCCAGTGCAAAACAAAAGGCTCTCAAGTTTGGCCAATCTGTCTTTAAGAAGAAGGTTTATGAGTACTATGGTGTCAATGAGCACTGCTTACCTGGCTTCGGATGGTGTCATGTGTTGAACACTATACTTCCTGAAAAGTCTGTCAAAGCTGCGCACATAGTGCCCAACTATATGACACCCAAGGGAGTTTCGCACCTTTCGGAGTTGATGATGGCGTACTTGGTGATCCACGCAATGGTAGGAATATTCTCTTTGTGGTAGCGCTAGGGAGATTATTGACTTGTACATAATTAGGTATCACCCTCTCGGACAACATTGCGCTTCTTCTGGATCAAGGAACCATAGCTATTGTGCCAATGCCCGGACCAATGAAAAGCCCAACTCAATGGCGATGCGTCGTGTTAGATGAATCAAAGTACGAGAACGTTATCGGCACTAAGGATGGGGGTTATTTGAAGCTGAAGGTTAGTACCACAAAAGCTAGGGTTGAGTATCATATTAACGATATATAGGAAATTGATAATAAGCATTTGAAGTTCCTTTCCGAAAACCGTCCTCGCCCACGGTACTTGTACTTCTGTTTCATCATTGCATACCTCAATGCGAAGAGTCGGGGCGCAAATGATGCCGTTGCAAAAAAGGTCGAAACCACGCGTTTTTGGCCCTCTGGCGGCGATCACCTTAATCGGTCAACACTGGTTACACTAGCCCGGTGTGTCTCGGGATCAGAACTCCCTGAGTCGCTTCAAGAAAATACGTTTGACACTGGTGATATCTCTACTCGCAATGCTGACGCTGGGACTGTGCTTGGGGCTGATATACGGGACGCAATTCTTGCCATGCAGAAACTATGAATTATTGCGACACTGGACAAACCTGAAGAGACATGGAGGAGTCGTTCATCACTGATGGCGCCTGCCTGTCAGTCAGCACTAGAGACCCGCAACAACGGTCTATTAGTGCAACATCACGCCTTTCCAAGCCATCCGTTGAACCTACAGCGTCCGATTTTCTTGACACTTCGTGATGCCTTTTCAGTGGTCTTTTCAATGGTCTTCTGAGTGGTCTCTTTAATGGTCTTCTCAGGTATCATTCTGTTTAGTTTCCTTGATCAGTTTTATAAGTCGACGGCAAAAAAGTCGAAAAAGGCTTTTTAATGGGCTTCTCCAAACGGCTATAACCTTTGATTAGGTATCACCCTCTCGGACAACATTGAGCTTCTTATTGACCAGGGAACGGGTTGCACAGGATCCTGAACCAATGAGGCAGTGACTACCGCATGAGACAGCCGACGGCTTGCTATACTCAATCCAGCCAGAAGGAGAGTACTGGTTGTACATCCAGTGCATCATCAAGGACGAAATTTTTGACATGGCACACGGCGAAGGGCACCTCGGTTTCCACCGTGCCTGACAAAAGATGCGGGGCCTCTTTATTCAAAAGGGAGCCAAGAAGCTCCGCAAGTATATCGACCAATGTGACGAATGCAAGAAGAATGCCGTCCAGTGGTATAAGCCATACGGATCATTGCAGCCAATGCTAGCACCTCCTATACCCTTCACACACCCAGCATCGATTTCGTCACAGAGCTACCTCTGACGAAGAAAGGCTTTGACGCTGTCGCGATTTACACACGCAAATCGACAAAGCAGATCGGTTCGACGCCAGGGAAAAAAACCTGGAAGGCCACGACTGGGTCACGGCCATTCTTCCCCACCTCCAGAAGGGAGACTGGGGCGTCCCAGTCGTGTGGATCTCTGACATCGACTAATGGTTTGTCGAGGGATTTTGGAAAGCCTTCTTCAGGGCGCTGCGTACAACTCAATGGAGATGCGTCGTCTTGGACGAATCAAAGTACGAGAACATCGTCGGTGCTAGGATGGGTATTACATGAAACTGATGGTTAGTACCACAAAAGCCAGAGTTCCCGGTATCATATTAATGATATAATAGGAGATTGATGACAAGGCATTGTTCCTTTCCAATAACCGTACCTCTGTTTCATCATTGCGCACTGCGTGCTATGGGAGATCGTACGCCCATAGGACAACAGGCTCACCGGTAAGCCGACGGGGTAAACATCCCCGTCCAAGTTGAAGTCCGCCGGCCACTTGGTGTAACGATTGCGCGCAGCGGCGATTGCATGTCCGATGACGAAGAAAGCCAAGGTATCCGACAGACGATGCTCCTCAGGCGGAGTTACGACTTCGACTTCGCCAATTTGTATGTACTCAATGTCGATTATCGATAGCCGTCATACAGAGAAAAGATGATTCCAGAGACGGATTGAGTGGGAGGTTGCTGCGATGCGCAAGGTCTCGAAGAGCCAGGGCTGGGGAAGTCTGATGAAACCAGCTCTGCAGGGGAAGATAGGGATGGGATGGTTGGTGTCTGGTTCGGACCTGCTGAACGTCAAGAAGTGACGTGTGGGCCGTGTTGAGCGTTATGGCGCCTTTTGCTTCTTTTCATGCTGTTTTTTTTCCTTCGATGGATAGGGTCGGTATGCCCATTTTTCTTTGAGTTCTAGCGCCTTTGGGGTGGCTCTTTAATACTTCTCTAGCATGAGCAGTGCAAACCTGCCGTTTTCTCAATCAATTTTGCGTGGTTGTACGCTCCTGAATAGCTCTTGACGGGGGTGAAATGGCAACTGCGCTTTTGTAACGGTTTCCTTCCGTTACTTGCGGCTGCACGTGTCTTCGCAATGAGAACGAAAGAAAATAAAGGGGAAAAACGGACTAGAAGCGGAGAGAGAGCTAATAGAAATGAAACTATCAACACTAAATGCCCTTCGGGACTGAATTCTACTCACCCCGACTCTGAGCTTATAAAAGCAGCAGCTAAGACACATAGAACTAGCAGAGAAAATGAAATACAGAGTAACAAGTCTCATTTAACATTCCCTTTTATCCCTTTTATCAATTTATAGAAGAGTATCACCCAATGCACTACGCACCAGCGAACACCCGGCTCGAATAGTCTCCGACGCACCCTTAGTCTCCAGACTGGGATTCACCTCAACCAAGTCCATCGCAATCAAATTTCCCGTCTCATGCACAGCCTCACAGATGAAGTCTCCCTCACGCAGCGTCAGCCCACCACGGACCGGAGTACCAGTGCTAGGCGCCCACTGAGGATCGAGTGCATCGACATCAAAGGACAAGTGAATGGGCGTGTCATTACCGATATGAGCGAGCGCCATTTCGACAACACGACCGATACCATGACTGCAGAAGTTAGCAACGAAGATCCCACCACAAAAAAACAGATAAACATGAACATACCGATCAATATCATGCATACTAAACGCCTTGATCCCATTCTCCCGCAAAATCTTCTTCTCCCCCCGATCCACATCCCGCAATCCGATATACACAATCTTCTGCGTACTAACAAAATGCTCATCCCGCATCCAACCAAAGATATCCTTCTTCTCCTCCGTCGCCAATTTCGTCAAAAACGCCATAGGCATACCGTGGATATTTCCACTATCGCTCGTCTCAGGAAGATTGATATCAGCATGCGCATCAACCCAGATAACAGCCATTTCGCGACCCAGTCGTTCGCGGATTGCCTTTGCTGTTCCGGAGACGGTTCCGATGGCGATGGAGTGGTCGCCGCCGAGAGTGAGGATGAATTTTCCGTCTTTGGCGTAGTCGTAGACTTGAGAGCTGAGCTTTTTAGTCACGGCGCTGACGGCGCGAGGCTTCTTCATGCCTCGGTGGTCTGGGTCTTCGGCTGGGATGTCTTTCTCGTAATAGTGGACTATGTTGTCGTGGTGGACTTCGTAGTCGAGGTCTTCGCTGAGTTGGGTTAGGAGGCCTGATTCGATTAGGGCCATTGGGGCTGCTTCGACGCCTTTCTTGCACTGGGGATTGTTAGGATTGATCTATATGGTTCAGTGTAGGGATGTGCTTACTTGGCCGCCATTGAAACCGACGGCGACGACGCCGAGTTGGTTCGGGTGTGAAAGGAATCGTGAGGTTATGGTTGAAGGTTGCGTCATTGTGGAATGTAGGTAATTGTTGACTCTTTTAAAAGAAAGGAAGTAAGTGAGAGAGGGTGGGAGCTATTGGGGTATCCAGCTATCAGATCGAGATAAGATGAAGATAAGGATCAGGATGATGTCGATGATTTTCTTTTGAACTTCTGAGATTCTTTGAAAGAAGAAAGAAAATAGAGGAATTACTCCTTTTAAATATTCTCATAATTGTCTCAAAACTATCTCCCCCCCGATTCCAACCGGGGCGGTGCTTTAGGCAAAGTCCGCGATGTCGCTAAAAACTGCTTTTAGGGATCAAAGTGACTCCGCCGGGATCTCCATCACTTCCGTTAAGTACAGGTTGAGGAGAGCTCCCCCGTTTAGGGCCATTCGGTGTCCACAAGTTTGAACTTTGACCTGTTACAATGAAAGATAGACCGGGAAGTTCTGTGTTTCATTTCCGGATCTTTGTCCAGCCGCATGAGGTGGTATCGGAGGTCCGAGTTCTAGGGAAAAATAATTGAGGCCAATTTCAAGGGTATCGATGTAGAATACATTTTATGCTATATTATACTATACAAGCTATCCCAAAATTAACTCCCGGAGAATCTCCTCTGCTTTAGGCGCCTCTACCCGGCCCTTTTCACCAGTGCGCATCATTTGTCCCACGAACCAACCCAATTTACCTAGCTGGTTCTTGTTCCGGATCTGATCGACCATCTGTGGGTTCAGGGCAATGACTGATTCCGCTAGAGCTAGATATTCTTCCCGCGATAAAGGTCGTAGCAGGAGATTTTCCTCCTCTAGCAGTTGCGGCACTGGTCGATGGTCCCCGTCAAAGATGGTGGCCAGCACCTGTTTGGCCGTCGGGCCGGTGATGAGTTTCCGCTGTAGGTGATCGATGAGATGGGCTAAGGATTGAGCTGGGACGATCTCCGGGTCCCATGCCCGGTCTGCCTTGGCCAAGAGCCCGCCCAGCTCGTGCAAAACCCAGTTACTTGCTACTCGTGCAAGACTGGCGCGCGTTTTGTCATCTTGGTCTACTTGAAGACTGCGGAGGATATCTACCACATCGTGATAGTACTCGAGACGGGCTCCATTGTCTAATTCGATGAGTGGTTTGGCGTCTTCAATTGGTAGATTGAACTCGGATCCGACGAGTAGTGTAAGGAGAGAGTCTGGGGCTGTCGGAATAGAGTCTCTGAGACTAGAGAGTAGGTCCTCTCCAATGATCAGTGGTGGGATATCAGGGTCGGGCATGTAGCGGTAGTCGACTGAGCCCTCTTTGCCGCGAAGTCTGCGAGTTTCTGTGCTGCCGATTGTCCATCCACGTGTCTCTCCTTCGATGACACCGCCACTCTCGAGTACCTCGATCTGACGGTTCTTCTCGGCAATGATGGCATCCTCTACCGCCTTGAAGCTACTGAGGTTCTTAATTTCAGTACGCTGACCCAGCCCGCTGATCCCGTCGTACTGATATTGCCCAGGGGCTTCACCTCGGCGTCGGATCGAGACGTTGACATCTGCACGAAGACCGCCCATCTCCATTCCCGTAGTCACGGCACCGCATGATTGTACAATAGCTTGCAGTTTTCGAACGCATGCTGCGGCCGTCGCCGGAGTGTGAATTTGTGGCATGGTGATGATTTCGATAAGGGGATGGGATACACGGTTGAAGTCGAGAAGTTGTGTCGAGGGCGGGTATTCCTGGGATTTGGCTGTGTCCTGCTCTAACTGGAGTTGTTTAATGTTAATGCGAACATGTTCACCGTCTTCCGGGGCGATTCCGTCATAATCGAATAGGTCAACGTAGCCATTTCGTGCGAATGGTTCTAGAGCAGGTTAGTATGGTCCGCGCTCGAAGATGGACAATCACGTACCATAGTATTGTGTGATTTGATACCCCGCCGGTTGATCTTGGTAGAAGTAATGTTTCCGATCAAACCGGCTGACTGGTTGTATCTCGCAGTTCAGTGCAATAGCAGCGCGGAGCGCTGGTAGGAGAGTTGCGATTTGGAATGCCTGTCGCGGATCAGCCCTGATGCTATTTCACAGCACTGTATACCATAACACTAACCGGCTGGCTACCCGGGAACGCCAGATCGAACAAAGCGACATTGGAATTGGGAGTATCACTTGTCGACGTTGGTGCCCCTATTCAATTTATGAGAAGATGACTCGTAGTCTTGGAGGTCAGGCGTACTGACGGGAAAATAGTTTGGTCTCTGTATCCAATTGCGCGTGGATCTCCACACCAACTGTCAATTCCCAGTCTTCCCTTGAAGCCTCCTCTATTTCCTTGCGTTGTCTCTTATGTGATCGAAGGGCTTTAACTTCCTGTTTGAGTTGTTTGCGGAGGGGAACACGATCTGCGGAGGGCGGGAGATAGCGGGTTGGCGCGGAGGAGAAAAGGGCTTTATGGGAGAGAGATGCTTGAGTTAAGCGTCGAGCGCAAAGAGAGCGGAGTGTACCGCTGCCAATCCATGACCGAAGCATAGAGAGATTGGACTCGAGGTGAGAGTGTTCAATGTTGAATGAAAGACGTGAATTTGCGGGAGAGGACTTGGCAATCTGCACTGACTCTCCATCTTCCCATCTTCACCAATATCTAGAAGTGATAAGTGGTCCAGATTACCAAGTAGATTTCATAATTATAATATAAATTTGATTAAATTAGTACATATGTAGCAAATAGTCCTACATGTGTTATAAAATAATATCAAAATACTTAGACTAAGTGGTGATCATACCCTTAGCGCCCAGATAGGAAAGTCCAGTATAACTGCAGAGTACAATAATAGGGCGTAGCCACGAGTATGCATACAATGACAATTCATATGTATGTCATAAGGGTTGATAATTATTCTAAATGGACATTGAAGATCATACTATGTAAATATATGCCCAGGTGAATCTTCTCTCCAGGGCTACTTCGTATGATAGTCTCACCTATCTATTCTATCTCAACAGTACCTACTGTACTTCCCACTACTCAACTACTCAACTACTCAACTACTCAACTACTATACAGGGCTTACTACCTCCTTATCAATAGATTGACCAGTTATAAAAGTTAAGTGGACATTGCTGCATCACATTCCCCCGCTTTGCTAGACCGCCAGACGCAAGGAAGATCGACCAGCGCATAACTACATGTTTCTATCTTCAGACACACATGCGTATCTTATGGGGTCCAATTTGTCTTGGCCCTTTTATGTCCTTGGTAATTCCTTACCATTTCCCTCTTCTTTGAATAGAGACGCCCTGTTGACAGGGATACGAGGAGCCTCCTTGCGCAGTTGTCATTGGTCGATCTAAATAAAGACGGCGCTTCCAATTTGCTTCAGATCATCCCGAATGGTCTGACGAATTGTAAGCCTCGATTTCGACAAGCATCACCCGTTGGGCTCGTACTCACCAGCTGACGACCTATTTCCAACTTTGGGACTTTGGCCATTTTCTCCTTATAACATCTGAGACAACCTGAGAGTTTCATCTCTCAAGAATGTCTGAAGGAATTCGTGGGGAAGTATACTATTGCTTTGTCCCTGGATTCCATACCTTTTGATTTCTGAGACCTGGAATTCCATCCCCCTGGGTTATGCCTCCCGAGGTCAAGTTCCCTATACACTTAATTTCTACTGTAATTTCATGTTTCACGTTTTCTTTTTTTCCTTTGACTTGATTTGTTTGAAGTATGAACCGGTTGATTCCGAACTTCCCCGATCATGCCATTCCAAACTAGAAAGCAGAAAAAGGATGGAAGAAAGAGAACATATTCGGTGGTTTCCAACCTTTCCACAAATTCACAGGCTGGTCCTGTTGCGAGCCCTAAAACTGTCGAGAACAGTTCATCTTCACAGGTTGGGTCAAAACAAGCCCTAAATCCGCCTGCCGTTCCAGAGAAACCACAGAAACCAGAACCAGCCAAGGTGCCTAATGTGTTTGAGTTCTTGGAAGAAAATGATGAATCATCTTCAAACTCATCATCCGAGTCATCGTCGGACTCTGAATCCGACGAGGAATCAGAGCCTCCACGCTCCATACAAACAACCAAGATCCAATCTCCCAAGCCACGCGCAAATACCGTGCCGCACCGAGTATTGGCACCAGGAGGCAACACACCGAAAAAGGCTACCCTATCACCAGTGGCATCCAGCTCAAATGAACCAAAGCCCGCACCACCCGCACCTTCAGCAGGCAACCAGTTAGTCACGCGAAAGAAACAGCCAACTAGAAAGCCAAGCCCAATCTCGACTACAGACATCTCTCCAAAAGGCCTGGAATTATCCCGACCACAAACCTATAGCTCAAGAGACAATGGTGCAGTCCACAGACCACCACTTCCCCCATCACCCCCAAGAAGTCCAGAAGATAGTCTCCACCGCACCACAACAAAAAGACGAGACTCCAATGCATCACCAGAGCTATCAGGATACGGTCTCCTAGCATCCCACCTAACCAAATCCGCCTCAGAAGAAACCAGAGGCTTCCCCCCACTATACCGCCGCTTCGAGACAATCAACCACCGCGTCCTACTGCACCTCCAAGACGAGATCTCCCAAATGGAAGAAGATCTCCACATACTAGACGAATATGAAGAAATGCACCGACTCAGCGCAGCAGAGCAAGGCACAAAGCCTTTACCCGCTTCACGCCGTCGAGACGCCCAATCCCAGGCCTACTCATCCCTGCATTACCGCCGCATGGATCTCATGAGTGCCTTGATCCAGAAAACAGAACAATACAGTACGTCCTCCATCCACATCCTCCCAAACAAGCTAACAACCCCAGACAACGCCCTAAGCGCCTACAGCAAAGTCCTCCAGACTCTCCCGCGCGCCTCAGAACAAGACATCACAGGCTATCGCAGCTGGATGAGAGACAACAAACCCGTCGCTGGCGTTGAAACGCGATTTCTAATCCACGACGCGGATCTAGTCTCGCTTACACCGCGTCTAGCAGCTTCAGCTGCCGCAGCACCGGTCTACATCGCTATCATCATTGCATCCGGTGCGCTCCTGCTGCCGTTATTGGCGTTCAGTCTTATAGCGGAGTTTTCTGGTCGTCTTGTTGTTGTGACTGTTGTTGGTGGAGCGGCGGCGGCTATTGCGGCGAATTACTCGGCTGGGATTGATGCTTTGGTTGATTCGAGGGATGGATGGCGTTGTGCTACGATGTATGTTGAGTTCTTTCTGGTTGGGCTTGGGACTGACGTTTTACAGATACTTCGGGTTCATGACTTTGGCTGCTATGTTTATTCCATAGTGGTGGTTTTGACAGATCCTGGATTCTACGAATTATGAATTTTCCTTGTTTGCTCATGAGCTGTTTATGGCTTTCTTTTGTGAGGGATGGTTGGAAATGGTGGTACTCGGTGTACTGAGTACACAGGATGGCGTTCATTTTCGATTACTTCAATTGGATAGGGCAGCGAGTGTCTCGCATATAGGACCTTGAGCATTGGGCAGATACAGGCTGGGAGATACTATAGCAGGGTTTTATATGGAGGACCCTAGTAAGCAATGTACTATTTATGAGGTATGATTTAGGAACGCTAGGCTCTTTTCTTAGTATCTCTGCGGTTGAATTTCTATGAAAACCACAAGTATAGTATGCAGCATATTAGATTGCACCGGAAGCGAAAAACAAGTAATTCTCTAAAGACTTAGCTGTATCGCAATGGTAGCCTTACACCTAGGCTGATCTGTCTTGAAAAAAAGCCATCCACGCCAATCGCTTAGTCCATAATACACCAAATAAAGAATCATACAAAGCCAGGGATCAAGAGTTCATTAACAACACAGTTGGGTAGAAAAAAAAATTCGGAGACGCGGATCACATCCAGAGCTCATAATTTGGAACAAAAACAAAGGCAAAATGCAAAAATCAATAAAGTAGACAGCCGACTGTCGAGGAATGTAATGTTGAGCTTTGTCTCTCTTTAGAAACACAAACTGCATTTTTGCATTTTGAGCACAATCCCGCGTGCTTTAACCGCAGATACTAGGCCTATGTCGAAAGGGGTGTGCCATTTGGTTTGCTCCCTGGTGTCATGCTGCCTTCTTGGGATGCACGAGCATCTAGCCCTTGAGGTTGAGGCGTTGAAGGACTGTGGCCTGTCTGTCGAGCTGCCAGTTGTGCCTTGTTCCTGTCCATCAGCGCAGCTTGTTCGGCCGCACTACGAGAGTATGTGGCACTAGCGGCGGAGTTTGAGTAGCCAGATTGCGAAGGAGTTTGGCCTGGGTACTGAGCTCGCTGGTTTGAGGTTGCAGTTGCGTAGGGTGTACGTCCTTGGGGCGTGGCATTGAATGTCCCTGGTTGCCTGGGTTGTGGGCTGTAAGGCTGCGGAGATACTTGGGGGGCGAATCCATTGGAAGCAGGGCGCTGATATTGGGGAGCCTGGCTGCCTTGGCTGTACTGCGGGTTGATTTGCGCGTACTGAGTATTGGCTGGACGTTGACTGGGTGTGCTCGGTGGACGACCCGCGCCATAAGCATGAGTATATGTAGTTGGCGCCGAGGGTTGCCGTGCGTGCTGCGGCGTGACCTGGAACCCGGGCTGAGGAGGAACGCGAGCATTTGAAGCGAAACCACGTTGGTTGTAGGCACTGTGAGAGCCTTGGTAGGTATTAGGCCGCGAGGTAGCCGGTGTTGAAGTTCGATTTGCGGCATTGGCTGCTGCAAGCAATGCGGCGGCCCTTTCTTGTGACAAAGTGAAGTCATCCTTTTCCATGGTGCCGTTGTAGTCAGGAATTTCAACCAAGACCTTTTGGCTGATATTCAATTCAGCGAGCCGGTCACCGTCTAATTTAGCGACAGCATACGGTGGCAAGTTGTTGACGATTGCAGCAAGGCTTGACTTGAGGGTTTCATACACAAGGGTCTCTGCTTCAGAGGGAGTAGTCACGTCGCCCAAATCAAGGCCAACGGTTTCATTTGGCTCAGGCACTTGCTGACCGGGCGTTTGGAGATCAGTGGGAAGTTTGAGACTTCGAAGGCGCTGGTAGGAACTGAGAGTGTCGAGCAAGTCGGAAACTTCCTCAAGCATCTGATTGATCTCTTTTGATTCAGGGTCAAGTTCACTACTGGGATCGGTTTCTGTGATGTCCCCAGCAAAGTCTTGGGCGTTGAATGACTCGACCATTTCATCCAGAATGCTCTCATCAAGTTCGCCAATATTGCCAGGCTGGGCGGTTAGAGTGTCATTTTGTTTGTCGTCCCCTTCCAATGGAAGCGACAGCAAGGTGTTTACGCGGTCCGCGCCACGTTGTGCCCACCAAACCATATCCTTTGAATCAAGCTGTACAATCGCACCAGAGCTGTCGTAAGAAGGAGCAAATGATGAAAAGACACCCTGGAAAGCAGATGAATCGGGACCAGTCCAAAGGGCGGGATCGCCATGTCGATGAACATTATCCGAATCTGCATGCTTTTCTACACGGTCCCAGTAGGCAGGTGATGATGTGACTCCGCCATATTGAAGCCATTGGGTTGAAGGGAGGGGGGCGAGGCAATAGTTGCTACGCTCTCCCAAAAATGTCCTAACATCGAAAGTGGCGTCGAAACGATCCGTCCATGAGGTCGAATTAGCCCTGTGAGACCGCTTGCGCGGAGGTTCCAGCTTTGGTAATGTTTCGCGTGGAGCGAACACCTCCCCGAATGTTCGCTTCGATGCTTGAGATGCAGCATCAAGGTTGTAAGGGATGACTTTGGTGGCTGTGATGCCATTAGGCAGGGCGGCCTCCCGCAGCTCCTCCTGCACTTCAACAAACTTTTCAGGTCCAGATTCAGACTGCAATGGTACCTTCACAGATTTTTGAAGACTTGAGAATAGCTGCTTCGGGTTTGATGGATTTCCGAAGAGTGTTAGGGCGGGCTTATCCTCTCGCTGGCAAACATTGATCGTGTGAAGCTCTGTTGACTCGTCGGTATCATCTTCCATTGTCTCCGTTTTGACCTCAGGTTGATTGACGAATGATTGGCCAATTAAGCTGTTCATGTGTTTTTTGAATGCCGCGATCCGGTTGACCACCTCATTCAAAGGTGCCCCATCTTCCTTCGCGCCATTGGACTGAGTTTGATTGCGTTCAATCACAGCAGCTGATGCTCTTTCAATGTCGGAAAGAAACTCCTGCAATGTGTTGTATTTGCCCGAATTGACGCGTGTTTGGATGTTGGAGGTTTCTGGATCGCCAGAAACCTTTGCGCGCTTCGTTCGAGGCTTAGCCGTGGTATTTGGGAAGGGACAAGAGAGTAGTTGAAGTTCAGTGTCATGCCTGTGGTTTGTCAGTATGAGACCAATAATCATATCCCTTGATCAAAGCATACTTAAGTAGAAGTTCAATCAGACTGCGAAGAGTTTCATGGAGATTTGCTCGATCGCGTGAGGCAGTAGCACTTGAATCAGTGCTCGGTTTGTCGTCCTGCGTGGAGCGCTTCCGTTTCCCAGAGGTTGCATTAGTAGCAGGGTCGGTATAGGGCTCGCCATTAGTGGCAGACATGGGGGTTGTGTCTCCAGCTTCGTCGGCGCTCATGGTTGCGAAGTCGCGCCGAGGTCAAGGTCAATACTTTGACGCGGTCCCCTCCAATGCAAATGGATGGGGGGTCCTCAAATCAGATTGAGAGTAAAGAGAGGATGCGATCGCAAAAAGTAATGTTTGCTTGCGATTTGGTGTTGAGGTTGATACTTGGTTTGGAAAGCAGTCCAAGTAAACTCGATGGTAGGGTGTCAAGGCGAATCCTTAGAGATGGGGGATCGCGAAGAGCGAGGGGGGAAGATAAAACCTTCACGTCACCACAATAAAAGTGGTGAATATGAAGTAAATAAAATTGTCAATATAGATCCAGGAATTAGGACAATGATCAATGCACTAGGCAACCCTCGAACAAATAGGTCAAGTGGTCTCTTTTTTTGTCTGGAGAGAACGTTCACTGAGTTGCGCTTTTCGGAATGGCGCGCCTTCTGACGATCAATCACGTGACCCCAGTTTCTGCCGCGCGATTGTGGTATTTTTCTGACTTGACTTGACTTCCTCTCATCTTCGGAGACAAATAACTCTTTGAGCCTATTGAATGGGTCTGTGGCGTCCAGGCACTTTCACCCATGACTAAGTTCATGGATGTCATCAGTTTTAAAGCATGCCCGAAGCCTTTCGGGAGTATCGCGGCTAAGAGCAGACCTGCTCAATAGTCATTTATACAAGGTATTTTGTTTCTAATATTCGGCTCTTTATCTTCTTGGATACAGTGCTAAATAATTTGCTATCTGCTAGGCAACATCCCGTCAAAACCCTAAGTTTCCCGTACAATATTCGCGCAATTCACTGGCTGGCCTAAGCCTAGGCAGCTTCCGTTCTTTTCAGTCCACTGCGTTCCTCAACGTGCCCGAGTCACCTGCAATCGACAATCGACCCTCACAACTCGATGATTACTTCAATAACAAATGGTCAGCTCCCTCACTCGACGAACAACGGGCAAGAGTACCCCAAGATCGGGCCAATAGCTCATCCGGAGAGAAAAACCTTGAAAACCCCACCAGCATTAGGGTGAAGCCCAAGCCCGCCGAATATCTATCTAAAGCTTTGCGGAACACTGGCCACGCCCTTGGATATTGTGGTCAACCAGCCGGGATTGACCGGGCTCACTCCAAATATGCACCCCAAACATCGAACGAGTTGAGGACAGTTGGTCGACCAAAAAAGCCGTCACTGCCGGTAATTCTTGGGGAGTACATACGAGAGGTAGACCCGTTGCTTTCGTCTGCGTCGGATAAACTTTCGGAAAAGGATTTGGATATCGCTCTGCAGAAAGTGTGCAGAAACACAAGTCAGGACTACTTATCGTCGCGTGGCTACGATGCCGCTGATGTGGCTGCGTGGGCCTGGATCATGAAGAGCCCGAATCCGCATGAGGCAATGGTACGGCTATTCTTGTTAGAAACCGACAGAGCCAAGTCTGGCGCCACTACTCCAACCGTTCCACCTTTTATTCCACTCTATCTCTTGAGACAGCAAAACCTCGACGCTCACACGTTCCGTTTGCTCTTGATCCACTCTTTACATCTCATGAGCGGACATGCCTTCTCCATCTCTGAAATCCCTGCTGTTGCTGCCGAACATGACCCTGAGCTATCCCCCGAGGACTTCCGCCCTCAAATCGATTCTGGCACCTGCATGATTTTGGTAGTTCGCCTAATTCGTCATGCTCGGCGCGTGTGGCCTCAATCGCTTCTTACTATTGCACGTGCATTCGCTCGCTTCCTCTCGGCTCCAAGGACAGATGCTGCCGAAAGGTCAGTTTTGGCGACTCAGCATGACGATCGCGTCAAAACTGTCAAATTCAATGATTGTCTTTGGTTACTTTCAATACCAGCCAACATTGCTCCTTACCGCTCAACGTCTATCCAACAGCAAGCCCAATTTGAGCTTCTTCGAGCCATGGCTACACACAAGCCCGTCCTTCCCGTCACAAGGCAAGGATATCGAGCTGTCGTTGCAGTGCAACTGGCCCATAAGAAAACCTTTGAAGAACGCCAGTCTGCTGAACTAAAAGCTCCGTCATGGCCTCCATGGAAGGAAGAGAAACTGGGTATTGACTCCCAGCGCGGGAATGAAGGAATGTTCAGTCGTGCGATGCAGGTACTTTCCCAAATGAAAGATGCTGGCTATTCCCACCGTCTTTGGGAGGACATATCCTCGATTTTGGCGGGCTGGGACACAGATCGCAGCCCGACGGTGCAGACGAGAACTATGATGCGTCGCCCGCAATCTCTACCGGACAGACATGGATCGAAGTCAAACCATCATGAAATGTGGGTTGCTCGCATTCGCTCTACGAGGACTGTCCGCGAGGCTTGGGCGTGTTTTCTTTCCTATCAAGACCATGGATTGCCCCCGAAGGGTGCCATCTACGCTGCCATGGCCGAGAAGTTAATATACCGACGAAACGCCATGGAACGTGATTTTGACCAAATGAGTCATGTTCTGCCAGGCGATAGCCGCGAAGTTCACCCCGAACCGGCTTCTGCTCGTGACATCATCTATGTGCCTACAGAGCCACCTACTGTAGATGAGTTCCTTGATCAGATGCACGCACAGGGGCTTCGGCCTTCTGGGAGATTCCTCGGCCTACTACTTCAGTCGGCTACTTCTCTGCGTTCCGGGTTACATTATCTCCAATGCAGTAGCCTTACAGGTGCTCAAATCGAAGCGCTCTCTATTGTGCGGACGAAGCCTCGCAAGTACCGCAATTTGGACCTAGAAGCTTTTCATGAATTGCCGGACTTGGTATTTGCATCGTTCATCAAATTTCTATGTGCACATTCAGATATTACCAGTCTGGATGATGGGAATCGAAGCATCCTCACAGCGGATCGTTTCCCGGCCTTGATAGCTGCCGACTGCTCGACCAGTGCCAAAGTTGACCTTGTCGCATATTCTGAGGAACACACAGGAAGCAAACATCACCCAAGGGCTTTATGGCACGCAATCCAATTGACCAAATTACGCCGTGCTCCTTACACCCCGACCTGGACCCACATTCTATCTGCCCTGACCCGCGAGCGCCTCACTGGGTATTATGGCTCCAGAAGCCGAAGCCTTCAGCGCATACTGTCATGGCACCAGGCCCTCAGAGCATTGAGTTGGATGCGGCAGCGTGATGTCGAAATTGGCGAGGAAGGGTTCCGCATTTTATGTGTGGCGTTTACAAAAGCCATTGATGCCGCTCTTAGACACCCTGGCACTGCCGAACAAAGCTTTATGTTGATTCATAAGGCTCGTATTCGTCGTGTCAAGGCTGGAAACGAAGGAGATGACGATGTTGATGCTTTGATGCAGCATGCACTGCATGTTTTGAAGCATCAGTTTGATCATTTGGTTCTGCCAGCCTCCAAAACTTCGGTTCATGCGGAGCGAAGTATCTTTGCGGCAAATCCTGCTTCGGACGCACAGCTCAATGTTCCCTCGATATTGCAAATACCATCACCTGCTACGCTGCATGCCTTTGTTCGGGCTATGGGCTCCGCAGGAGATGACGAAGGATTATTACATCTGCTGCAGTGGATGAGTCGGTCAGCTGACCTACTGAAAGAAGCTGCAGAGGAACATGCAAATGGAGACAAAATGATGCGTCGAACCCTTGTGGCGATCAGGGTGTTTTTGGAAAGACGACAGCAACGGATTGACACGCGGGTAGCATCGGACCTGATCGTGGAGGCATACGACCTTATCAGCCGGACAGGCTGGGACTGGCCGAGTGATGCGGAGGTTACAGAATATTGTCAGTGACTTTGTATATAATATTGTAGTTTTAGAGGACTTTTGTCAATGTATATGATACCCCCCCATATATCCCATTTTCATCTTCGGTAATCATCGGCCTCACAGCTTTCCCCACACCCGAGCGCCGAGAACAACTTACCCCCAAGAACTTTTCAGCGCCGTCTTTCTTCATTTTTATACCAGTGTAGTTCCCAATCGATCTTCAAATTGCCATCTACACAATGGCAACCATCATGTCATCGCGTCTTGTCCGCCTCTCCGCACCCCTCGCCCACCTCCGGGCAACCGCCGCGCCTACCCGGGTTTTCATCTCTCGCTACAGCACCAGCACAGAAGAAGATATCATCAAGACCCAGCAAATACCCGCCCCAGGTTCAGGACATGTGCGCGTGCTACAGTTGAACCGACCCAAAGCTCGCAACGCGATCTCCACCCAATTACTCGACGCGCTCTCAAAACATGTCGACGCTATCGCCGCCGAAGGAGGCAACGGACCAACCCGGGCATTGGTTATAGCGAGTAACGCAGATGCCGCGTTCTGCGCGGGCGCAGATCTGAAGGAACGCGCCAACATGAGCATGGCCGAGTGAGAAACCCTATGACGCCCGACGCCCGACGCCCGGTGCCCGGTGCTTGAAACACGAACATCGCTAACTCAACGTGATCCAGAACCGAAGACTTCCTCCTCAAACTCCGCTCCACTTTCAAAACTCTCGCCTCCCTCCAGATCCCCACCATCTCCGGCGTCTCCTCCATGGCCCTCGGGGGCGGCCTCGAGCTCGCTCTGTGCACGACACTGCGCGTCTTCGCATCATCCAGCGTCGTCGGCTTGCCTGAAACACGTCTCGCCATCATCCCCGGCGCCGGTGGCACTTACCGACTCCCTCGGGTTGTCGGCGTGAACCGCGCCCGGGACATGATTCTCACCGGCCGCCGGGTGACCGGACCCGAGGCTTACTTCATTGGACTCTGTGATCGACTTGTGGAGGTTTTGCCCGAGGAGGAGGCTCAAGAGGGCGTTGCACGCGAGCGTGTTCTGCGGGAGAGTATCAAGCTCGCCTTGGATATCTGTGAAGGTGGCCCTATTGCTATCAAGATGGCGATGCAGGCTGTCGAGGCTCATGCTCTGGGTGAGCGGGCGGAGAACGCGGCTTATGAGGGGGTCGTTGAGACTGAGGATCGATATGAAGCGCTGCGCGCCTTTGTTGAGAAGCGGAAGCCGGCGTTCCGTGGGAGGTAAGTGTAGGTGATTTGGGTTAATATCAAGATATCAAAATGACATGCTATAATTCTACGGATTTTATCATAATTTTTCCAGAAGCAAAACCAATTAGAGTATGCAGAACTACGTAGGGTATGGTATTTTAGTACTAAGACATGTACGCATCATGTGGGTGTGGGCATTGCTTTTGGTCATGCGGGCTCCAAAGTAGGTAATAGGGGGTTTTCTCATAAGAGTAAATAGTGATCTGCTAAATAGTGATCTCCCTAAGTCTATTTCTATTGAATTTGATGTTTGCTTTTATACTTCTGCCTGGACCTATAACCTCATCTTGACCCAGGTAGATGGATAGTTCTGACGAATATGAATAGGCTACAATATCCAGATTTCTGATCAAAAAAATGAGGTTACAGTCTAGACAAATTGCAAGCCAAAATTAGACATGTTTCCTAAGACATGTTTCCCATGGTCTAGTATATGACTCATTAGCAATAACCTAGGTGTTAGGGATATTACGAGGCAGCATACCCCAAACAAGGCATACTGATGCAACAAGGATGTAAATCTATGAATAACGGGAAATCGAGGTCTGACCTCGGGAGTGGCACGGTACCTGGCAAGTTACCCGATCTGACAGGGCTGTGCAAGGTGAAAGAAGGTGAAGACTACTCCGTAAAGAGAAATAGAAATGATACCCCCCCGGATTCAAACCCGTTGAAAACCCCCAGACTAAAATAGTCCGGCTGACCTGGGTCACCCTAGTTACCAGAGTCACCCTTACCCTAGTCACCTGCATCACATATTTATAAGGCAAACTCCCTTCTCAAATTCTTCTTCTTCAACTATACTATGGCAAAAGCATCCTGAATCTGCTTTTGTCCCATCTATTGCTATGTCAAAGCCCCGTATCGTCGATCCAAAGGCCATCAAGGCCTTTGGCTTGACGCAGATCTATACCCCGCGCGATGATCCAACCATCGATATTGTCTTTGTTCATGGCCTCAACGGCCATCCTCATGATTCTTGGACCAGTAAAAACACCGGTTGCTTCTGGCCAACGGACCTTCTCCCGGACGTGCTTGCCTCACAGCGTCCTCGAATTTTAACTTATGGCTACAATGCCAATGTCACTGCCTTCACCGATGGAGCTTCGCGTGATTCGGTTGTCAGCCATGCTGAGACTCTTGCATCCACTCTTGCGGCTAATCGAAATGTAGGTTGTTATCTCGACTTTTGCTTTTGCTTGCTCTTTTGATATCTTCTTTGGTATAAAACCTCAAGTACTGACATGAATTTCTATAGCTGCGAGACTGCTCCGATCGTCCGATCATCTTTATCTGCCACTCGCTTGGGGGACTGATTGTGAAGCGGGCTCTGATATACTCTCGTAGTCTCTCAAGTGAGAAGACCGAGCATCTGCGCTCAGTCTATGTGTCCACTTTTGGCATCCTCTTCCTTGGTACACCTCACAATGGGTCTGACATTGCTAAATGGGGTCTACTGTTGAACAATATCTGCAATGCTGTGCTCCCGAAGAAGTTCATGGAGACATCTCCACAGCTTGTCAAAGCTCTGCGGACCAACAATGAAACCTTGCAGCACATCAACAGTCTCTTCGTTGATATTATGGGCAGATTCCACATCTACTTCTTCCATGAAACGCAGTCCACCGATATGCATGGTACCCGCGAAGTGATCGTAGACGAACACTCAGCCGCGCCATACATGGAGGGTGTTGAGCGGGCGGGTATCGAGGCTGACCACAGCCATATGTGCAAGTTTGATGATGACAATGCGGCAGGCTATGAGGTTGTGGCAGAGGCGATTCTTCGGTACTCACGTCAGGCTCCTGCTGTGATTACGGATCGCTGGGTGGAAGAGAAGAACGCCCGGACCCAGGAAAAGAAGGCCAAAGCTAGGGAAATCTATGACGGTGAGTCCGCTCGCAAAATACCGTTTCAATATGTCGGATGCTGACTATTACAGCAAGAATAGATGATCCGGGAAATCGAAGCATGCCTGATCTGCCCAGTACCGGTAGGGCTCCATACCTTCTCCCTCCACCGGAAGTGTCTGTTACGTTGAGGGACTATGAGATTGAGGAGCCTCCTATTCGATGATGTCTTCTTGCGAACCACATTCGCGTTTTGTATATGATTTTATTCTGCTTTTACTTTGAGCTCAATTTGCTCACGTTGATTCAAATTCTTGTCTATGATTCCGTTGGCCATTCGCTACCGAGTGAAAGGGTCTATTACTTTTTCAAATCCATTCTTTATTTTTTGGTACAATTTACAGTGTGTTCTTTCGCTTTGTACTTAGTTTATTGGTTTTTGTCTTCGGGTGGCTCCCATCTCATGTCCTCAACCTAGCTGACTTCCGCTCTTCTCAATATGAGAAGGATGATATTTCTTAGAGTCCTACTGGCTGACTTCATCATAGGTCATCCCGTATTACCTCTGACGCGTGGCCCTGCGACAGAAGGCCGAAATTCCCCGGTATCTGATCTGGGGAACAGTGGGCTTCTCCAACTCTCTTATCCCTCCATCAATTCGTCCCTGTTCGTGGCACCACCAGGCTTTCACCCTAACGCTACTTTTTTTGGGATGAAGAAAGAACTGGAAGTATTGCACAACCGGTTGTTCAAAGCCAAGGCGCGCCCGGAAAAGACAATGGCTGTACTGATCTCCGGTGTTCCAGGCTCCGGCAAGACCCATCTAGCGCGGCAGTACGTATTCACTCATCGTGACTGCTACCCAGGCGGCATATTTTGGATCGACGCCAAGTCCCGTGAGTCAACATACAAGTGCTTTTGGGAGATTGCACAAGCAGCTACGCTGGTTGAACAAAAGGTGGCCGTGAACCATGAGTATCAAGAGACTGAAAAGTACGTGAATGCAGTCCGCCTCTGGCTTCAGACACGCAAAGATTGGCTCCTCGTCTTCGATGGTGTTACCTTCGACCGCGACGATGACATCAATAAGTTTAGGGAGGTCTTGCCGTGGAGCAAACAGTGTAGTATCATATACACCTCGGTTGACACAACGCTGCGCAAAAAGCAGCGACTATACGAGCCCTATTGTCTGATGATCTCGCGGTTGAAAGTGGAAGATGCTTGCAATCTTCTCTTCAAGGATCTTGGGATTACGCGAGCGACACCTGAGCAAATCTCCAAGGCTATCCGGATAGTTGAGCATTACGAATGCCTGCCTTTGGCAATTCATGCAATTGGGCACCGTCTTAATGCAACGGGTAAGCCGATTGAAAAGTATCATGTCAAGTCTCAAGTGACAGACAAGAAGCTTGCAGAGCCCTTCTTGAGCATCATGAACGATTTGTTTCGGTTGCAGCAAAAGCAGGCGCTGCACTTGATTAATCTTCTCTCGTTTCTTGGCCACCAGGTGCCAGTAGGCCTTCTGAACCTCGGTCGAGCCGCTATGGCCGCCGAGAATTTGGAGATCCAGACCAGTGCCCAACCAGGAGAAGATCCTGATCTCGATACCACCCTTGGAATTCTCATTCACTATGGGTTGGTTGAACGGATTTCAGATGCCGACCTCTTCCAGCAAAGATCGTCTATGAATCGCTTGGAGGGCGACCAGACGAGCTCAGATGTGAAGGCTGTGCCGGAGCTCTCAGATTCCCTGACAGAGAGCAGCCAAGAAGGATTCTTCTCCATCTACCGCCATGAGTCGGTGGTTGATGTAGTCAAAATTCACAGTGTGGTGCAGGGGTTCTGTCGCGATGAGCTCCGAATCAAGGACGAGGAGAACAAAAGCACCATGAGCAAGAATGACCCTGGTTTCTTTGATACTTGGTTGATTGTTGTCACTCGGTTTCTCATCACGTCCTACGAAGCCGCCATGGAGCGAATGGCTCATTATGAAGACTGCGGCCTTGTCCGGGACTACCGCGAGTACGAAACTCACGCTTCACGGCTGCTTGAGCTCTTCCCGAAGAAGGCAACAATTGATCTTCATCCACTAATAGTTCGTGAAACACGAGAGAATTTGCGACAATTGACGAAGTTCATAAGCAAGGAAATAGCAAACATGTCTCCAAGCTCCTCACAACAGTCTATCCGAAACCAAAAGTCGGTTTTCGATAGGTCAAGCAGCTCATCGTCATCTTTCCGCGATTCATCAGCCGACGAAGGTGGTCCATCGCGCCGCTCTACTTTTAACTGGAGTGATCTTGGCTCACCGCGAGCGGAATCTCCTGAGGAGATATCTATGCCACCTCCCCGGTTCAGATTAGAGCTTTTCCCACCACATATATTCAGGCAGAATGGGTACGAATCCGAAGAAGGCTATGAGACCGACGGGGAAGCTATGGAAGCAATTCGAATCTCTCCATCCTTGTCGCAAATGAGCGAAGCCACGGAGAAACCGGCCAAGACACCTCCCTCATCGAGTCCTCCACCCCCCACTGGCCTGTCAGAGTGGCATGTGGTCAATCGACACCCAAAGCCATGGTCAAATAAAGAGAATAAAACGATCAGGCGGAACAAAAGCTCTCGTCGCTTTAGGGATGCCAAGATTGACACCCCAGTAGTTAGTCTGTCCTCTATCCAAGGAAAGGGATCATCAAGCCGCACAGCCTCCGCCGAAACGGGAAGGTCTTCAATACCGACTTCGGAAGCTGAACAAGCACTCGCTGCAGTGCGTCGGTCTAGCAATCCTCAAGCATCTGTTGATGCTCCACAACTCACCGCCACCTCTCCACCAGCAAATAAAGAGAATATGCCAACATATGCGAATATGGCGACCCGGCGAATGTTAGAGGTAGACCCTACGGTGAATCGTCGCCCATCATCCGTTCCCGTTTTGCAGGCTTTGGATCCAGCTAGCGGTTTGCATTCGAATGGCGATTTGCAGATGAAACCGTCCATTGAGTCACTCGACAGTCAAGCGGGCCACACATTTACGTCTCCACTAGCCCATGATGTGTCTGGCGATTTGCTTACCGAGCCTCTGGTTCGATCAACTTACAGTGAGCCTGAGTTCAATATGCCAAATTACCATCAGAGAGCAAATTTACATACCGCGCCTGGATCCAGGGTTCCCTCTCGGCGTGCTTCCGTGGCACATCTGGAGGTCCCACGAGGTCTATCTGCAAGCGTGCCATCCCTCCTTCCCTACCCACCACTGCTCCCATACGACGAGAACGTCTCCGTCGCTTTTCCAAGCCGCAGAAGATCATCCCAACTAGCATCAACCCCAATAACTGCCTCAGATGACACAAGAACTTTTACCGTCGCTCACCCATCCGCAATAATGCCCGGCGCATTACCATTGTCTCATCCAAACATACACATGGGCTCACCCCCAGAGCGCTCCACCCCCGAGCCGATGTCGCGTGACTCTTCCGAGTACTCTCATCAATCGTGGGCCACAGAACCCGTTCGCTATCCTCCGCGGTTCTCACCGATTCCAAGTTACCAACAAGCCGCGGAGATGATCCCAAGTCCACCATCGAGCATGCAGCATCAACAAATGCTCGCGGCTGGTAGCTGGACAGCTGAATTGCCCCTGTTGGGCAATTCTTTCCAGTCAGATCCCAACTACCCCAGTCCGCCCTTGTCATCACACGGACAGCTCGGCTCCATGGACGAGAGACTGAAGTACTCCGACCAGGGCTGGAACCTGGAGGTTGAGCCAGTGCAATATTTGCATTTTGGCGGACACCGCGTTGACGTGCGAGATGCACGACATCGACTCCATAGATCGACTCGTCTGCTGCCCCCACACCCACAGCAGTACCAACTATATCATCCCAATTTGTCGGGTCCTTTAATTCAACATGATGGTCAGGTCTATGTACCTGCGCCCCGACTCGGCGTATATGGGAATGGGACCCGTACGCGCAGTGGGAGTTCCCCTGCGCGCCCTAATTATAATGGTATGCCGTTCTGATAGCAATGTATTTTAGTGGTTTTCGGTATTGTTCTCATTGTCGTTCTCATCATTTTTATCATTCTCATTGGTTTCGTTTTTCTATTGCATCTGCATACAAGGTTGTTCTTTTGGTTAAATGCCTTTTTTATACTTGCTCATTGCCGCATTGATTTTGCATAGGAGGTTCATGAAGCTTGGGTGATACCCAAAAGCATTAATCGGAGTTGAGAGTTGGATAAGGCTAGAATAGCATCTAGAGCTTCAACAAAAGAGTTGTACTATCCGCTTCGAATCGAAATCCTATTCAGGAATATATATCATCATTAGATTTATATTCCGTCTTCTATTCTGTTCAGACAAACATCCCGATGTCATGGCATACTATCAAGAGTACAACGTGTCCTAGTCATTGTATATATAGTGATAACCAGGCATTTCTTCTCAGATGTGTCCCGTAGATTCGCCTGCGAAATGCTTTATTTAAACCCCCTCACCCGGACCACGAACATTACTCTCATATGTCTGACCGGGTGAGCCCCAGAAAAAGCTCGTCTTTTTAGCGTCCTTTCCACGTCGGAGCTCCTTCTCCCGCGCACGAACCTTTTGGCTCTGCTTTCTTGCGTGTTCTTTTGCAGAATCCTTTCCCGTGAACAAGCTCGTTAACCAACCCATGCTTGCGTGGATATTTTTTGGGTTTAATTGGAAGACTAGAATGAAGGAGAATATTAGCTTGTAGTTTCACTCTCTACTCTGTAAGTACATTTGGAATGACGTACTGTGTTGAGCGCGCGAGATAAGTGGTGACAAGATAAGCCGTGACGATGTACCAAATGGCGTGGCTGAAGGGTTTCTCTTGGAGACTTTGAGTAGAAACAAATGCAGTGCGGAGTAAGTCACAGGCGCCACGCGGGGAAAGTCTCGATTAATAACCGATTTGGCCCCGAACTTGAATGCAAGACCCACACTATATGTGTTGCTGTGGTTACAGTTAACTTATTTATTTTCTGACTCAGAATGTTGATAGTTGAATGAAGTGTAAATATGATATGGAATCTATCCATTTGATAGGAAAATTAGAGTTAGGACACAGTAAAGAGAGCATTACCGATGAAATTGCCCAAAAAAGGGCGTCGATATCGTGGCTTGAGCATCTCCGATTAGCTTCCAATGATCGAAGGGAACTGAGTGGGGCCGCTTTTTAATTCAATGATTACTAATTGATTATGCACATAATACACGGGTACTTCCGAAGTCCCCACTAAATACCTATTCGGGACATAACCGTGTTGCCAAAACATCAGGTTTTGTCAAATGGTTGTAGGTCTATAGAAAGAACATTCATCGACAACTTGTTTCAAACCTGGGATTTATATGTGAACAACCTTAAACCAATTGCAGAAATAATTAAAGAACTTCACCTGTATAGCTCCGCACCCTATCTCGATCAATCCGGAACTGTAAGGCACAAAGAAACGAAGACCAAAAAACTTGTCAGTGCCTGCAGTCTAACAAAAAAAAAAATTGGTGCCAAGAACCCACGAACCCAGTCCCTTTAGGACCGCAACCCCCTCCAGGACAGGGACCCGAAGCCGTCATGCAAGGCGGTGTGAGGACACCTCCTCCACTCGTACTATGCCTATGAAGGGTGCAACGAACAGGCGAACCGATGGACGATGCATCCAGCATAATATAGCAGATTTTAGTGAACCCAATCTACCAAGCTAACTGGGGTGGGTTGGCAGGTAGGAAGGCTTTTGACTGGCATATAAGGGGACCTCCTTCCTAATTGGGACACCTGGCTATTTTACATGGTCACAATTCGATTCCTGCCCGAGATGATTTTGTATTTAAAATGGTTTTTTTCTCTACGCATGTTATCTCCACGGCTCTGATATCTATGCTTAACCACCTAGAGACTACGGTTCTTGTTTAAATTGATGGCACTACCTGTCCTCCTGATAGAAGAGGCCTCTTTGGAACGATATATTCATCTTTACAATTTCATTTAACCCCCGTCCTCTTTATATGTTGGTCTAAAATGGGATGTCTAAAATGGGATGCCAACACATTACCTCATCGAAAACATCTCAACGCAAAGCCCATGGAGCCTCCGCTTGATGATAGTAGGTAATCATGATGAGCCGTTCCCGTCCTACGTGAGGTATTCTGAACAGGATAGAATAAAGGGTTCAGGCTCGAATATTAAGTTGAGTTTAAACAAAACGATTATTTGTTATGATATCCATGAATTAAAAGGATTAATATTACATTATATCCTATTTCCGACTGTCTCCCAATTCAAAGACCTTCCCATCGCTCAACGCCGCCGGCGTCGTGTCTCCCGGAAGCTCAGCAGCATACTTCTTCTCTTGAATCTTTGCAGGGATCGCCTCAGCCTCCGCAGGCAGCTTCTCCATCGGCGAATTCATTGATCCTCCTACTGCCATGCCACCACTGCCCTCTGTATCTGCCCGTGGCGCTTCAGCTCCAGACGCCAGAGCAGAGCGGCGGTTTCTCCGCCGCAAGAAAAAGGCTATGGCTCCAACAAGTCCCAACCCGGCCAAAACGCCTATAACAATCCCAGCGATCGCCCCTCCGCCCAATGACGACGACCCTGAGGAGGTATCTGTATCCGGAACTGGCGTAGTTGTCGGCGTCGGAGTTCCTGTACTGGTACTCGAACTTGTCGGCGTTGCGGAACTGGCACTCGTACTAGACGGCGCCTTCGTGGTAGAGGATTTTTCTCCGTCTTTATCCTCCGTCAAGGGAACCTTGAGTTTATCCCAAGTCACCTGCCCTGGCCAACCGTCGGCATCATCACCGGTAAACCCAAGCTTCTCTTGCCAACACTGGTAGGACTTCCGATCTACCTCGGACCACAGCGGGCTCGGTCCCACGCTGTACTTCCCACAGCCTTCGGCCACCAGTCTCTTTCCCATGGCAGTCACGATGGGGCTGTTGGGAGAGTCCTTGAACCATTCTGCTCCAGGGAACGGCGTGAGCTTATCACTAGTGGTCATATTCGGCCCTAGATCAATAACCTTGTACCCCCGAAGCCGGACTGTCGAGTTCTTCGCGAATTCGTCCTCGGCTGCCTCGGCGGTATCGCCTGTACACTTGGTCGACTCGTACATGGCGATGAGAACATGATCGTCTTCGGGGTCGAATTCGAATTTTTTGCCTTTTGCATTGTCAATCTCCCTGCAATTCAATGCGCTGGTGCCTTTTTCAACGATAGGTTTGTTGTCATCGTTTGTCCAGGTGAAGGTCCAGGCCGAGATTAGTGGGAGATAGAATGCGCATAGCGTTATGAAAAAGGTTGTGAGACGCATATTTGCGATATAGTTGGGGACAGCGCTTGAAAACGTTTGGGAGAGGTTGTCCCTTCAAAGAGGATTTCGAAAGACAGTAAATGTGAAGATGTTAGCCGAGCATCGCGCGCTCAGAATGAGAACATTGTTTGGATGCAAAATTCTCCGAGTGCCAATGGCAACGGGTTGGGCCATCCCTTAAATACGAAGTGGCGCGTTTGTCTTCATGTGGCCAGGAAATGAACAGACCCCTTTACAGTTTTCGCTAAGAGGGGCTGAATTGATCAGCGCAGAATCAGCATCTCATACGTTGCTTGACAGCAGAATACGAGCTCCAAGACTAACGATGTGGTCTTGGCACCCGTGTTGATGAGCGGCATCTTCCGCCCCAAATTAAATGTCAGTTTGGATTCTCAAAATAGCACACTGCAATTTCTTCGATTAAGCCACTAGATCCTGATTTGGTGCGAATAGATGAATTATCTGTCAAATGTTTTGAAAGTATGTACCCCAAACCCGCAACTGAGGTATGATTTCGCATGTATCAATCTCCCCTTTATGTTGTCAGGGTCTATTGGGTTTAGGCACACGGCAGGCGTAGGAACAGAGTTTAGCTGTGGATTTCCCTCGGACAGACTGAAGGAACGGAATTTCCGCGATACGAGTGCCCAGTCCACATAGCTTACCTTCTCTTCGGCGTGAGACCCTTTTTTTTCTCTCCTGCGATATCTTCTCTGGCCAAGCAAAATCTACTTCTCCCATATGGGGAGGCCCTCACACAATTGAGTATGCTATAAATAAGGCCTAAACAGTTGCAATTAGCAAATCAACCTCCGCACGCCGGAACATTCTCGCAGGTTCTTATAGAGAGTGCTAGCTCCCAGATGCAATATATTTCAAGCCTCGTAAAAGAGATTGCGGAGATTACTTATGGAAGGCCGTCTCTAAAGAGGAGGGCTGCACGTGATGGGACTAGCATGTTGCGCTAAGGGACGTGCTCAGTTGTACTTGGCCAAAAGCGGCATGGTCTAGGCACTAAAACGGAAAAGGGCCAAGAAGTGGTAGAAATCAACTGAAATACCCATGGACCGAGGAATATTTGATAATTAATTCGATATGTCCACGGGTAATAATTTACAATACGTACCTCCTATAGAATATGTACAATATAGTAATCTCGTGGGTCTATGGCGGGTACATCGACGGGAACATCCGTGAGTAAACCTGTGGGTCGAACAGTTCTTGGAATATCGCGAGATCTCTACAGGATGATCTAAGATAGGTGAGGTAGCTGGGAAACACAGCAGAATCAGTTCTAGCCCTGGAGGGATCAAACATGTTCTGCTAATTTACACCGCGTTCAGATGATTTGGTGCACAAAACCCCCTTGGACCACACACGAGTACCCAAACGAACCAAAATAGCCCTGGCCCTCTGAAACTCACTGCAACGTCTGGGACTGGGATCAGCTGAGATTGATCAAAGTCAAAGGAACCGCTAAGCTGTTTCCACCCGAAGAAGATGTCGAGAATTCCATTCTTGCCCAATTTGCCGATTACCTTTCCCCAGAGGTTCGTGCAATCACGGTAGACGACGACGGGCTTCTCACGGGAATTTCGGCAGACCCGGAAGAAGATGATACATTCTTTATTGGGTATCTTCCCTTATCACTCTGTCAATCACTTTGTCCATCGCTCGCAGATTTCCCTACCATCTATTTCTCTCAGCTTCGAGAGCTCGATCGGCTTGGACCAGGTGTCGATCTGATGTCGTATAATGATCAGAAAATGGTCGCATTCAAATTCAACCCTATAAGCGTACCTAGAAGATTACAAATGTCCTGGAAGGAGATGAACCTACTTATCAAACTGCCGCCACATCCTAATATACTACCGTTTTACCGTATTGTTCTCGAGGATGTGGAGTCTCGAATAATTGGATTCACAACTAAATATATCCCCGGTGGAACGCTAGCCGATCTAAAAAGGCCTTTTCGATTTGAATGGCTCCAGCAACTTACCCAGGTAGTGGACTACCTGAACCTAGAGTTGGGGATCATTCATCAAGATATTGCACCACGAAATTTGCTTGTCGACCCCGAGACAGAGAAGATCATTCTCTTCGATTTCGATTGGGCCGCCGATGGGAAGGGAGGTCTATTGAAGGGTCGAGACGATGTGTCTGGTGTTGTCTTTACGCTCTACGAGATTATCACCAACGATTCACATCCCACGAGCATTCCTCACTGGGAACGGACTATAGACATGGTACAAGATATTGAGTGGACTTGTCGCCGCGAACTGGACTCCGATGTCTCAAAGTTTCGCAAGTTTCTGAATGAATGGGTAGCGAAGAGAACCGACAGAGCCGCAGAACAATACAATGCTCCCAAGCTACTTACATGGCCGGATCTCCCAACCCCGCCAGACTACAGTGTGCCCTTTGAGTTGGGTCGAACAGAGAAAGGGGAGACTGCTTGGCGAACAGGTGAGCGCTCGAGACGCGTTGCACTGGAGAAGGGGCAATACTGTTTTCGGTGGCAAAGGCCACCACAAAGCAGGCTGTTGAAGAAAGCCAAAGATAACAGCATGGAAGATTGCTCGGTTAGCTCGAATTTAGAATAATCATTGGTCTGATAGTACATTGGTCTGATAGTAAAATGTACTTGCTGAGCATACAAGATATGATGAAGGAAGAAGGATCTATGTGAATCTATGACGAGACAGGGTATTTATACCCCATAAAACAGCAAACAACTGGCAAACTATCCACCAAATATTTCAATCTGAATTAGCAAACAGCAGGGATGGGTTTATCCAGTAATGAGGGGCGCAGTGCCAACAGGCAGTTCATAGCAATGTCACTGAACCCTAGGTCATTACCTCTACATCTTGATTTTGTGTCGAACTTAATGCTTCAGAATATTGGAGTCTAATCGACATAAGAAAACGTCACATTGAAATACATACATGAACTACCCACCTAACACCATCTTATCATCGCATTTGTATAGTCTCACATTGAGACTGCTGTCTAGGACACCCCCATCCTGGCCATTTTTATACAAGAACAACAAAGGTATCAGATCATTCTTCCACTTAGGAACGCTACCCCGTCGACTCTTCCATATAGTACCGACCAACGTCGTAAGACCCAGAAGCCACACCACGGCTGGGAGAGCAATCCACTGCCAATGGACAGCAATATACGTCGCGCTAGAATTTGCCCGGCCAGAGATCGTGCCATTTCCTCCTGCGCCGTTCCCATTAGCCACCGAGTCTCGAAAGGTCTTGGATGCTGCCGCAGCAACATTCTCCATGACACATCGAAGTTTGTCGGCAGTGGTGGCTGTACAGCCGGTAATCTTGGCGTATAAGATGGCTTGGATAATATCGGTGCCAGCATACGAGCCACCGTAAGAATTGAACTCAACGTTCGGGGGACTAAGCTTTGCGTTGCCCGTGAATATACTTTTGAAGAAACCGTCCATCGATTTCATAGTCGGTACGCTCAACCCAAAGCTCTGGTTGTGCTTCATTCCCATCTCCGGTCCCCACGGTGGATAGAGATAGTATCCTCCTCTGGAATTAGTTGTGCCGTTTGTCCAAGTGTCCAGAGTCTCCTCGCGATATGTGCCATTTGTAACGGTTATGCGGAAGCTTCGGACGATTGGGATCAGGGCACATTCCATTGCCTGCCATGGAGTCACCCCTGGTTTAAATGGACCTGCTAATAGCAGCCCATCTGGGGCGATCATCTGAGTGACATAGTGGTGTATATTTTTGTATACCAACGATTGACTTGGTTTGACGGCTGCCACTGAGATCGGGGAGCCATCCCAACTATTCGGTACAAAGCTCGCCGAGGTATTGCTGCCCAAAAGATTGACGGAGCAGTTTGGCGCTCCGTATTTGGCAATAAACTCTGGGCCGTCGTGGCAAGAAAACTTCAGCTGATCTGTAATGTTGGTACAGCTTGCGCTCAGTTCCAAAGCAGAAATTGGATCCCAGGTGCAGTTGCCAGTGCTGCAGGAATACTGTGGGATAGACCATGGCTTCTTTGGGTCGCTGTTGAGTAGCGAGCTGTAGACATTGGCCTTGAATATTGGGTCCACGTACCACGCTATCTGCCCCGTCAGTCAACAATCCGATAAGAAAAATTTAATTTGACAGACCTGCGTTAGACTGAAACGACAGACCGACCTCATCGTAATAAAAGGAACTTGACACAGTCGCAATTTGCGAGACATCCGTGACCAGATTGGGATAGTAGTGGACCAGATTCTGAGCGAAGGGATCGAAGGCGAGTGCGAGAATGACGGCCACACTGCCTAGAACAGCGAAATGCCTATATAATTAGCTTGTAACACGGAAGGCAGAACTATGGCCTAAATACCTCGCTCGGAGGCTCCAGATTAGCTCTGCACTGCCATAGAATCCTCGACTGGCTCTATCAAATGTTTCTAGATCAGGCAGCGACCGGGCCTTTTGGGTAAACCAGACCCATTTCAGTTGCCCCAATGCCTCGCTGATGGCAAATAAAACACATCCTTTGGAAATGGTGCTCAACCAGGAGATCAATGAGTTCAGCGATATGTATTTCCACGTTGGTTGAGGATGCCCATCGAACTGAGATAAGACGACAATTATGGCGATCAGTAATAAAAGCGAGGCAACTATCGCCAGTACTTCCCAGATAAACCAATCTGAGATCGATGTGTCGAATGTGTCTTTTGTAGCTTCCTTCCCCTCTTTTTCATTGGCTGTAGCCTCAGCGGATGGCTCATATGCTGAGTCGGGGATCGCGTCGATTAGTGGTGTTGTTGACTGTCGGTTTCCGTTCAGATTGTTTTCGCTCTCGACGAAGAGGCCATGGGAATGTACACTTGATACGGAGCTTGAGTGTGACCTTTCCACCATTTCAACCTGATGACTGGATTTGTGAAAGTGGAGTAATCTATCGGAGAGGAAAGGGATAGATTGTACTCCGTACAATCGGATCAGGTGCGAAAAAAAGGACCCATTTCCTTGAGGGCAAGTGGTCTTATTATAGCCTACTCCTTACTTGCAACCAACTAAGGAAAAGGTATGGCGTAGGCGTAGCAGCCCTGGAGAGGAGCAAGGCGCAGCACCTGTGGCTGGAGACATATCAAGGCAGGCGCTGCCCAATAGGTACCTCCCAGATACGTTCGGAATTGCTTTTGATTGGCTTATACCTTTTGCCAAGAATTGATTCACTGGTACGGCACACGGGTAACTCCAGATTTCCCCACTAAATGCCTATTTAGGATGAGGCAGGGCTGATCAAGGATCCACAACCGTTCTCAGCCTTGGGGGCGTGAGGTTATCTGTATAGATTTCTTCGGGGTATTGCCCTCCACATTATTTACTGTAACCCGATATTTGTGTACCTAGCCAAAATGATGTCTGAGAATACCACTGAAAAGACATCACAAGCCTATATGACTATTTTTGTTATCAATATCCAATAGAGTGTGAAGTCTTGAACCATAGACTTCCTAACCACGAGTGTCATTATCACTCTACCGATTTACGCGCGGATTGCGCTGGCGGAGATCTTTTCATTCCTCACGGGCAATGAGTACCCCTACAAGCAGGCCCCGAAGGATGTGAAGAGTGTGATTCAGTCCATATATGCGCTTAAGTCTTATCAAATCCATTAACCACGTGAATAATTACACAAGTGTGTGTGCGTGGGTCGAACACATACGAGACATGGCAAAGTTAAAGTCCGAAGAAGTACTCCGCGCACATATGAGCTATTCGCTCAAAAATAAAGCAACAAACTGGTACGACTCTGACTTTACAGAGCTCGAGAAGGATACCCTGAGACTTCTCCTGGAAAAGGGTTGGTACGAACAGTGGCTACAGCGTTAGAAAATTGATTCTCGGAATGGCTCTCTCTCCACTCGCCCACAACTCCCTCCTAGTCGTGAGCTGGGGTGTGGTGACGGGAATTATGCCTATGATAACTCGCCTTCTTTGGGTGATCTTTCACAAGTACGACAGGAAACAAAGTCAAAAATAGAGCAACATCCAAAAACGGCTCAATACCTTACACAGAATGCTCATTTCAAAATAGACATCACCAACCCAGTCGAAGACTGTGACGCCCAGTACTAAGCATAGGCCCTAAGAGGTCTAGAATGCATCAGGTTGGAAGGGCCACGCATTTCGGTTACACAATGTTATAGTAAATAGCTCTCTGTATATATCGAGAGATGGGAATTACTCAAGTACTACTAGCACACACCTTTTAGTAACTGGGCACGTATGTAAACTACTTCGGTTAAGGTGCTATCTAGATATCGCCGTTAGAAATCGGAGCTAAACTGGCCAGTAAATATTTTGGCTACAATGCCTTTTATGAAAACAGAGCTCAAGAAGAGAGCTATTGGCCTTCGTCGGGACCTGGTGGTCACCTGAATGTAAATTCCAACGTCTTCTTGTGCTTTGCAATTACGCTCATAAACTGCAGCTAGTCAAACCCTAATGCACCACATATATCCTCCGTTTCTAGTTCCTTAGTTTCAAATGCGGGGATATATTTAAAGAGTGCCACCCCCCATGTGTAACTATAACTTATCCTCCAGTCTATTAGCACATCATAACCTCTATATATCTCCCAATCTCTACCAATGTCTATTCCCATTCGACCACTCGGCCACAACGGCCCTATGGTGCCTGTTGTTGGTCTGGGCCTGATGAACATCGGTGGAGCCTACGGTCCAGCCGGCTCCCTTGATGAAAAAGTCGCTTTCCTGGAGCATGCTCATGCCACTGGACAGCGGTTCTGGGATACTGCCGATTTGTATGCCGATAGCGAAGATATTGTTGGCGAATGGTTCAAACGCTCTGGCAAGCGTGACGACATTTTTCTTGCTACCAAGTTCGCTCTCCAGCCGGACATGGAGGCGGGCGTAACTGTCCGCTCTGATCCCGAATATGTCAAGCAGGCTTGTGCAAAAAGCCTTGCGAAACTTGGTGTCGATACCATTGACTTATACTACTGCCATCGAGTGGACGGGGTGACCCCTATTGAGAAGACTATCGAAGCTATGGTGGAATTGAAGAAGTAAGATAACGCTACTTCACTACCCTCCCCACCTCCCTCCTCTGTCCCCCAGTATGGTTGAACCAACGCATCACTAACGGGCTGGGTATATAGTCAAGGAAAGATCCGGTACCTCGGCCTGTCCGAAGTTTCAGAAGCAACCCTCCGTCGAGCCCATGCCGTCCATCCTATCACCGCATACCAAGTGGAGTATAGTGCCTTTACACTGGATATCGAGTCGCCCGCCGTCAACCTCCTGAAGACCTGTCGCGAGCTGGGCATCGCAATAGTGGCGTATAGCCCTGTCGGCCGTGGAATATTAACTGGAGAGATTCAATCTCTCGCTGATATCCCCGAGGGTGACTTCCGTCGCATGATACCTAAGTACTCCGAGGACAACTTCCCTAAGATCTTGGAGCTGGCAAACGGGCTAAAGAGTGTGGCCAAGGCACATGAAAGTACCCCTGCACAGGTTGCTATTGCATGGCTCCTTGCCCAGGGACCCGACATCTTCCCCATTCCGGGAACCAGATCCATCAAGAGGGTTGATGAGAACACTGCAGCCGCTCTACTGGAGTTGACGGACAAAGAGGTCCAGGATATCCGGGACTTGGTAGAGCGAACTGAGATTGTTGGAACTCGGTACCCTGCTATGTAAGTCGCTTTTTTCCCTCGTCAACATACCTATCCTTCCTTACTAATCATTATTGTAGAATGATGGGCAATATTTTTGCCGATACGCCGCCACTGTAGACGGGTAGCAGATTCTTGGCAAATCAAATGTGTATTTACAATTGTCAGTTAGTTTGATTCAACTTAGTCCTAGTTCACAGTCAATCTTGCACCCAGTACATTGTATAGAATCCACGGGTGCCCATGGGTTGACCCACTGCAAGGACCCACTCAATGCAACCTTATTCTATAAAAGAGAAAGAAGGAAAGTACATGGACAACCCATCATCGGGTTTTGGTCCCAATGAAACTTGCATATGTAAATCATATGGCCGACTAGGAGCAAAATTGTCCGGTATTGTCTTAGCTACGCTACTGAATGACATCGACTAGATTTCTGTACTATCCCTAGGTCTCATTATAGCTATGCCAGAACCATGGTTAGACTGTGGAGTCGCTGGTAATAGCTCCACCGCAACCCTATTACTAACCATCTCTTGGGCCGTTTGGCTTGGAGGTACCTATGGAGGCTTGTTCAATTATATGTCATAGAGCTTTAACTGCAATACCAGAGTGCCAATTTTATTGAGCTTGCATAGCTTGTATAGGATAAACACTGCCTGATGTACGAAGTAGATAGGGAGGAAGTATCTCAAACTCTGTGAATATGGACTGTAGTTGCAAACATTAAGCTATACCAGATATTAATCATGATTCCTTCTGAAATCTAAGCACCCCCAAAATGCCACCAAGACATGTATTATCAAAACGAGCTCTTTTCGCTATCAGCTGCTCTAGTGACAGCGACAGCCCCCTTCTCCGTGTAGCCGGGATCAACTGCATCAATAGTAGACCCATCACTCCCAACAATATCATCATCTTCCACAAAGTCCTTGGGCTCCATCCACCCAGATGCCTTCTCCATGTCAGGCGGAGGGAAAACCAGACATGACACGTAATAAACGCCAAATCCGATTATCAAGCCGGTAGGGTAGGCGACATAGTAGAATCGCTGGATACCTAGAGGCGCTTTGACACCCATCTGGAAGAGGAACCCGTAAAAGTTTGGCGCAACAGCAATAATGTAGGCTAAGAAGGCGCGTAGGTTAAATCCGTGGAAGTATCGGTACGGACTTGGTTTTTTGACGTAGAGGGCTGGAATGTTGAGCAGACCTCGGCGAATGACGTAGTAGTCGCAAATGAGAATTCCGGTAATTGCTGATAGGAAAATCTGGTACGAGGAGAGGAATGTGATGAAGATTGAGGCTGATGAGAGGAGATACCACGGGCAGATGGCGTAGGAGAGGACTGGTGGGTGTGGTTGTTAGCTTTATGCTCTGGTAATGGGATTTTCAAGTATCTTTTCTTGTTTTCTTACCAGCACAGATGAAGAATCCTCGTTTGACTGAAATGTATTTTGGTAGTAGGGCTGCAATGTCGTTGCCCGCACTGAGAGTTGTTAGTGTTTAGTGTATAACTGCATAATAAGGGAGTTCTTACGGTATAGAGTTCTCAAAAATGGCAGAGAAGACAGTCGAATATACGAATGCCAGAGCAATAAAGGCACAGGCTGCGCGGTTCCCTGAGGTGTACCGCTCTCCTTCCATCAATTTGTCCAAGAATTTCAGCGGGCTCCAGATGATCTAGAGAATTCAGTCAGACCAAATCCTCAAACAAAACTAATGATATAACAGACCTCTCCAAAAATCTCTTTGCTAGCTGATGCGATGAGATTTCCTAGAATGGCAACCAGGAAGTTTGACAGTGGGAAGCTGACAAACTGGCCAATGAGCACGTCATTAGGCTTTGTAGCATATCGCTGGAGATCGGACGCATTGGAGATAAATGTTCCACAGCTTGCAAGTCCCAAGAAGAAGAACTTGAAGATAAGATAACTTTTCTCGGCACCCTTGATTTCTGAGGGCGCATTGAGTGACTTCAGGGAGCCTCCGGCAATAGACACAGTCCATCCCAGCATAGCAAAGGCTGCACCAAAGTACACCACGACTTTTATGTAGACCAGAGACTTCATCTTTGGTACAGGTACCACTAAGAATGCGCAATTGATAAACCTTTCGAGACTGGTTAGCAGTATATCAAATCAGGTATTGGAATATTATTCGCTGTACCAATAGACGAAGAAACACATCATCTGTGCTGAAGTCAACGCCGACTTGGGTCCCATCTTATCCGGGATATTTTCGATAGAAGGGAATACGGCATGAAGAAAGACACTAGAACCGAATGTCAATAAATCACACTTTCCACGCATCCTTCGCTGGGCAAAATAATGAGAGATCGAAACTCACTATAAACATTGCCCTCCCTGGACCGTGTTGACACCGTTCCATACAACCGACATGGCCGCACGATTGAAAGTCGGCCACAGTGCTCCCCAATGTCCAAAGCTGGAACGACAAAGAACAGGAAACGGAATGCGGTACATGGCACCAGCACGCCCGTTAACAGCCATCAAGGCACCGGCAAGAATCTGACCACCGAAGGAGCATCCGATAGCCTCCCACATGGTTAATCCCATGGACATTCCCGTGGAAGCCGTGTACAGATTGCTGACATTCGCAGTCGCAGAGAACCAGAACATGATGTAGGTGAGTTGGGACCATGTTCGCTCCTTTACCGGTGTCGGTCGGATGGAGTCATTGTCAAGCATATCAACAGTACGATAGTTGCCATCTCGTGCAGTTCTTTTCACTACTAGAAGCTCATGGAGCCGTGATAGTTTGGACATGATGTTGAGTTGGTGGGGTATGTGGAGAAAAAAGAAGATAAAGATGAAATTGGATTGCTGATCTTAGTGGCGAACTCTGAAACTTCAATAAAAGGGGGAGGGGGGAGTAGGATATATGGTTTTGGGTGTTATTTTGACTCTGATAAGCAGTCAACTCCCAATTGTTCACATTCTCACATCCTTAACTATCCACGCCGACGATACTATCTCAGATAAATCAGAATCAAATGTCTCAGATTTAATCTATTTTCCAGGGTTGGCTTATCATTTCAGCTAAGCATGTGGGCGTAGATAGCCCGGCGATTGCCGTTGCCGTTCAAGGCTTCCCCGACGGTCACCGGTGGATTTGAATTGGCAATCTCCCGAATATATTGCGGGGGAATAACGATGGATAAATTCACGACCATCCTCGACTTGGTATTGGTCATATGTCGAAATAGTCATGACAACCCTGGTCGAATACACTCAAGTCGAACTCCTGACGCTTAGCGGGCCAGAATTCCGCCGGGTGTCAACTGCTCCTCCGCGCCAACCAACCGATGATGAGATTCCAATCATAGATCTCGCTTCTATCGACAAAGATCTGGAAGCGAGAAAGGCAATCGCATCCAAAGTCAGGGTAGCGGCTGAGAACACGGGCTTCTTTTATATCAAAAATCACGGGATCTCAGAAGAGCTCATTCAGAAAGCCCTATCCCAAGCAAAGGCTTTCTTTGACCAGTCAATTGAAAGAAAGCAGCTAGCCTCAAGCAAGAATGATGGATGGCACGGATTGGGGAGCAGCCAAATTAACAAAACAGAAACAAGGGGTAAGTTACTCTCATCCCCACCGGGGAAGGTATATTGCGCCTAACAAAAGGACTAGACCGCAAAGAAACATTTTCTCTACGCTATAATCTCAGCAACGATCCAACTATCTCAGATCCAGAGACATTGACCACCGACAATGACTTTTCATGGGATACAACAAGCCATCTCCCAGGGTTCCAAGAAACAACAATTGAATTCTTCAAGAGCCGCCTCACGCTCGCGCGCAAGATCATCCGTATCTTCGCTCTCGCTCTGGGCATGCCGGAAGATTACTTTGACGATGTGATGACGAACCCCGGCGCAGACGGGCTTTACACACACTATCCCGCTACACCAGTCGATACACTCGAAGACAACGGGGATGTCGATGTCGGTATCGGCTCGCATACCGATATCCAGTGCGTCACTCTTTTGTGGCAGGATATGTCCGGCGGTTTGCAGGTCCTGTCTGGAAGTGATGAGTGGCTCGATGCTCGACCTATCCCTGGCACGATGGTGGTTAACATTGGCGACTTACTGCAGCGTCTTTCGAATAATAAGTTCAAGTCCACGGTGCACAGGGTTTATAACCGTCAACCTACCTCAAGGTACTCGATGCCTTTTTTCTTGGGCTTCAATCCGGATTCGGTTTGTGAGGTTGTGCCTTCGTGTATCGATGAGAGTCATCCTGCGCTTTACGGGCCTATCTCTTGTGGAAAGGTAAGCCCCAACCCCCCTCAGTGCTTTGATAGTTTAGCTAACTTGCACGTCCAGTGGCATCGAAACCGACTTGAACTCGCACACGGAAAACCAATTTCTCCTTGATAAGATTTCGGACAGATATGTTTTCCAATATAATTCAACGTCAAATAATACACTCGATCTGTATAGATTTCAAAACTGTTGCATAGAGCCATTCATACCATCCCAATCAGAAGCGGGCATCGAGTCAATAAACCGAAACGGAGCCCAATCTGCCGCCGACCCTGGATATGAATAAAAGGTGTCGTCGGGTACTGCCACTTTCGATTCCAAAAAGTCCTTTGCCTTCTTCTGCACAACATTCGTCGCCCAACTAAATACCCCCTCAATGCTCCTTGGAATTCTAGCCTGCGTCCGGACATCTTCCATCAAAGTATATGTTGCATGCACATCTGATATACTAGAGCAGTACTCTGCTAGCGTGACACCCGCATATGCGGTAAGGAGGTAGTCGTATGTTGGTCTAACGAATGCAGTATCGGAGGTACAGAGGACAAGAATCTCTCTCAGTACTAGCTGGGCATGGCGAATGACCGTCTCGGTTAGCTCGTTGATACGCTCATTTCGCATCAGTGAGTCGGGGGAGATGGCCTGGTTCTGCTTTGCCAGTTCCCATCGAGACAAAATGAGAGATACACAAGAGTGTGCCCATCTCAGTATGTTGTTTCCTTCTATTGAAAGTCAGCATGGACATAACCCAGAAGAATAAATTAACATGCCTCCAAGATATTTGCATCCCCATCTGTTGACCATCTCCCAGGCCTCTGGCACTGAACTGACGGTGTGATAGATGGCTTCGTACAGGTGAATATAGAGTTTGAGTTCTGCTGCGATAATTTGGTCGAACGTTTCGAACCCGGGGTACTTGACAATCTCTGTCCACTGATGAAGACGCTCGCATGGAACTACTGATGGCCGACCGGTGCCAATTGCATATCTGCAACCCTAGTCAGCTTTTATGCCCATGTTTCAGAAGGGGCTTAGCACTGTAGCTTTGGGAGTACGTACTTCAGATGCACCAGCGATGCCTGGATCCACATCCTACACATGTTGCGACTTGTTTCATCATACAGCCCCACGAGAGAAACCAGCTCAGACAGAGGGAAACTGAGCATGCAGTGGGTGATAGTCGTGCTGCTCATCAGCCAGCTATCAATATACCTACCACCCGGCACGAGAGGCCCGAAACTCCAGGCACTAAAGATAAGCATGGCGTGTATAGTGGAGATATCAATTGGCGTATCTAGAGTCTTCATACCCAGATGTGTCTTGACCAATGAATGAAGGGTTATGTGCAAGTTAGTGCGGTTTAAACCGGCAGTTGCTCGAATACCTGCTAGCAGACACATGGCGAAGAGCAGAGGCTGGTTCTCCTTGAGATCCGTCGAGGTTCCGTGCGGAAATGGATACCATGATGTTATCTGGTCAAAGCCGTGCTGGAAAACGCTGACGAAGTTATCCGAATCCAAGCCCATCTCGGTCATATTTCCCCGAAGCGAATCGTTTTCCCCGGAAGTTACGGGCTCGGTGATTAGACTTCCCACGTGGCGCACCACTGTGATTGGTGCTGGTTGAATGTCGGTAGTTGCCGATATGTCTGTCTCAGATGGCACGCGCATAGTCGATTGGCTATCATTGATATCTTTTCTCGGGTTTAAATTACTGCTCATTCGCATCTCATTCGCAGGATCTCGTGTCACTGACTGGTTGCTGAGAAGGTGAGATTTCAGTAATTCTTTCATCTCAGAGAGGGATGCTTCGATAGCATCAAGTCTAGTATTTATCAGTCAGTAATTACAGCCTTACTCTATACAACGAGAATTAGAAATACCTCTTTGAACAATTGCACCCAATAGGCTGATCGGAAATCCTCTCTGGTCTACCAATAGAGCCTGGATGTGGACTAGTGATAGCAGAAGTGGATGGAAGAGAGCATTCAAGCCTATTTGGTGTCTGATTAATCCCTGACAATCAATAAAGAATGGGGCCCCATTAGGCCACCTACCTTAAGGAGATGCACCGAGCACATTGTCTTGAACCCGGAAGAACCTCGCATCGTGTCTTCAGCCGGCGACACGGCTGACAGGACAAAATGCGTCGCTTGGTCGGCATTTTTTTGAAGTGGAATACCCCATAGGATCATAAGATATTGTGAAGTTAACATGAAACTCGATGTTCTCCGCCGCTTATCTGGGGTTCACAGGGCGCTAAGACGACTTGGGTTAGCTGCCCAGGTCCCGAGGTCCAGTGGCAGTTTAGGGTTATCAGCTTCTATCCGATAAGCCGAGTTACATGTAAATGGAAAATTGGGATGATTCAATTTGTCTAATACATACATGCCATTAAACAATGGTCTTTCTTTCTGAAGACTCCAGAGCCCTAACTTATGATGTACAAGTTGGGATGAACAAGCTGGCCATAGAAAAAAATTATGCGGCTCCCCCTGGGTCAAGATTCTTTCCCTTGACACTCTTCCACTCTACACCCAAAGCGCCGATAATGCTAACAGACGCCACAGCTGCGCCGACAATAAAGGTCTGGGTAAGTGCGTTGTTGTAAGCAAGGAGGACTCCGGGTAAGTCATTCTTATCGACAACACTATGAAGGCTAGTGGCGCCAGTCTTGAGAATCACAGCGGAATTCAAGTTGGGAGAGTACAATGCAAGATACTCAACAAGTTTGTTTCTGAACACGTTGTTTCCAATAGAAACAAAGAGAGCACCACCAAGAGTCTGAGCGAAGACGATGATAGCTGTGCCGGTAGGTACATCAGTAAGATCAAGGACAGCCTGGACGGCGATCATAGATTGCTGCATACCAGCACCGACGCCGATGCCAGCAAGTATTTGATAGCCGATCCAGAGAGCTTTAGATGTATCCAGGTGAAACATGCTCATGAGACCGTAGCCGATAGCAAGAAGGACTGTGCCGAAAATCATAAAAGGGGTGTAGTAACCGACAATGGTGATGACGATACCCGATATGATTGAAGCAAGCACGACAGAAATCAGCATAGGTAGATTCATGATACCTGAGCTGACGGGACTAGCATTTTTCACGGCTTGGAACCAGATCGGTAAGAAGTAGACAGACGAAAGGAAAGCAGCGCCAAGACAAAAGCTGTAAAGGGCACTGAAGCAAATAGTGCGGCGAAAGAAGATGCGTGGTGGTACTGTAGCATTGTCTTGCTGTGTGTACTGGACAAATAAAAAGAGTACAATGAGGACAGCAAAAAAGCAGAACAGCACAATGATACGCCAGCTATTCCAGGCATAAATGGTGCCACCCCATTGCAAAGCTAACAATAAGCAGACGATTGCAGGGAGGAACAGGGATGTTCCCATGGGGTCGAACTTCTTGATGCGCTCCATCCATGTTGTTTCTTCAATATGGTGGTTCGGGGCAGGGAAAAAGATCGCAATCACCAGAACAGTGACAGCTCCGATAGGAAGGTTAATGTAAAAGCACCATCGCCATGATACCTTGTCGGTGAAAACACCACCTAGCAAAGGGCCAGCCACGGATGAAATACCAAACATGCCACCGATAAGGCCATTGTATAATGGGCGCTTCTCCAGTACCACCGAATGGGCTACCATGATGAGTGAACCTGAGAAAATGCCCGCAGACCCAATTCCAGCAACAGCACGGCCCATGATAAGAGTCAGACTGTTATTGGCCACACCACAGATCAGACTTCTCAGCTCGAACATGCTGATGGCGACGAGATAAGTCCACTTGACATTGAAAACAGTGTAGAACTTTCCGAAGAGTAGCTGGAGTGCAGCCGTCGTGAGAAGGTATGCTGAAAACATTCAAAAGATGATTAGGCCAGTTCACATTTACACCCATCACTTAGGCTGCTTCGGCCTTTGACGTACCACTTCCATACCAACCAACATCATCAAGGCTGTGGAATTGGCTCGTGATCTTTGGGATTGCCGTGGCAATGATGCTGTTATCTTTAGAACAAGACAGTATCCGTTAGTCGATAGCTATAACCAATTCAGAAGGCAATGAAAGGAACGTAAACTTACCAAGAGCCACTAGGAATACACCCAAACATAGCGCCAGTGTAATCAAAGCCAATTTTGGACCCGTTGGATTCTCAGCTCCGTCATTTGAAGCGGACTCAACTGGTGGATGCTGGGCGTTGAGCTCGGTCGCTGCAGGTTGGACGAGTATCTTCTCTTCAGCGGCGGCATTGCCATTCAACGTCTTCTCCTCCTCCTGCTTGGGGAGATGATTGCGACTGGTGTTGGCTGCGGATTCCATTTTCAGTGACTTTGTACAGTGATAAGCAAAGTGGAAATGAAATGTATCAAGCGAGAGCTAAGCGGGAAAACAGAAAAGAACGAAAGGTGTGTGCGGTTGGATGAAGGTGAAGAGGGAAGAGATGGAGAGAGAGAAAGAAGAAAGAAAACCTTAATAGCACGCTGACATGAATTCCAGGAAAGCTGGCCAGGTGAAGGTGGTTTTCCCCCGATTGGAGAACTTTTGAATATTCTATGGTTGTAATTCTTTTATTTTGAGATTAAATAGCAGCAGTTCGTTATAAATGAGTATTCGTATCATCTCTTCTTCTCTATAACTATATATAACCTCTTTCACCAATGTCTTGTCTAGGGCAGGATGATCTACTAATATACGAGTCTGTTTCAATGTGACTATAGAGTGCGAATTAATATATCTATTTGAGCGTACATATGTATCAAGCCTAAGATGTCCATGCTTTTAGAAGAACCAGTAAGCGTTCTCCTTGACCCAATTCAAGCTTTATTTACTGGGTCGCCAAGCTTCCAGGCCTTGGGGCTATAGGGAATCGATATATACACTGCCATCTATATATCAGTTTGGTATCTTTCACTCGTAATTAATGTACTTTGGTAGCAAACATCTCAACCAGTTAGATCCCAAGGTCGCACCGTGTATACTGGCATATTTGGTCGGAGGGGGACAAAGTAAGTTATCTCTTTTGAACTTGTAGATCACTGAGAGCCAAGACGCTTTCCAATTTGGGTGTCCCCTTTTGTGACGAAACTGATTAATGAAATGCTTTCACTTTAGAAATGCTTTCACTTTAGAATGATCTAACTCTTTACAACATAATACTATTTGTTTAGATTCAAGTGTATATATAATATATATAAGTATCAAGTCATGCTCAATATCATGAGACTCCAGACTCTGACCAATTTGGGTTTACCCTGGATCTCGAGATAACGCTGAAGTGCATTTGATCGCACAACATCCCATTTGAGATCCTGGCGCGTGAAAGCATGCTAAATAGATACTCAGGCACCGAATGACGAGAGCCCGTGCAAGAGCCTAACGGGAAAAGCGGGCTGATCCTACAGAAGAAACATAAGACATGGATCGAGGCTTCATCTTAGCTTATAATTGATCTCTTGTGGTATTCGATTAGACGCAACAAGTTGATCTTCCATCGTGATTATCACATAGCGATCTAGACTCGCCTTAGCGGAATATAACAGGGACATCCTGATTCCGCAGAAATACTTCGGCCATATGTTTCGGAGTATCTTTTGAGCCTAAGTGATATATTATAGAACAGCTGTTACCGATATATCCGACTTTGGGATATAATCTCGGTGTCTTCTCGACCTTTGGAGGGGATGAGAATATATTACTCCATGGGAGTGACATTCTTTTTTTATTTCAATCATTTCAGAATGGTCGGCCTATTGCTCGATATATATCTAGCGGTATATGCCTTTAATATGGACACTACATATACACTAGCTCTCCCACACTAACAGGATTAAAAAAAATGACATACTCAAAAACCGGATTCAGATATGAATTTAGTGTATCCAACGGAATAACTTGATTGGGGAAAACCTTGGAGACTGACTGTCAATCGACGTAAGAAGTGGGCTACATACTCATGACGTCGTTGGAACCAGCTAGAGAAACCAAGTATGATACATCGCTATTTTAGAGCTCCAACCTATTTAAACAGCTTGTTCTACATTAATCTGGGGAAATTAATTAAATATCTTCCCATTATCATAGCTATCGGAATCTTCTACCACACACTTCCACCACGCACATTCATCACACAACATCATCATGTCCGCAGCACGATTCGCTCCTCTCCTGAGAACTCGGGTGGCAACACAGACCGCGCCTAGCTTCCAGGCAATTCGATCAATCTCAGCTACAGCCCCATACAACAAGGGACCTATCGATGCGACAAAGGACACACTGAAGAAGGCCGATCGGACCGTTTCCGATGTAGCAGTCAAGGGCATCAATACGGGTGGTATGTGTTCATGCTATAGATCTACATGACTTTCATTCAATGTGCAGAGACTGGTGCTAACCTGACTTTTGCCAACAGAGAAAGCCGCCCACAAGATTAAGGAGGTCGTTGGCTCCGGGACCAAGCAGGCAAAGGAAAAGGGAGGAGAGATCAAGGGCGAGGCAGCCGAGTATGCAGGCAAGGGCAAGGGCAAGGCAGAGGAAGTACTGGGCGAAGCTAAGGGTGCCGCTAGCTCCGGAGCTCAGCAGGCAAAGGCAAAGGGGCAAGAGGTGAAGAGCGAGGCGGCCGGATATGCAGACAAGGGCAAGATCAAGGCGGAAGAAGCACTGAACGAAGCCAATGAAAAGACAAAGTACTAGGCGATGGGCCAGGTTGAAGGGGAAGGTCAAGGAGACCAAGCGCCGCGTTGATTAAAGGCTTCTATCACTTATGATGCCAATTGTAATATTATTGCCATATTCTGTTCATCAAATCTGTTGTAGTCCGGAACGCTTCAATGCTTTAAACAAAACTGAAAACTGCACTCTTCAGCTGGGAGGCAGCATGAGAACGTATTCGCGTGAACTCAGGCCGAAGCGAACCACGTCCTTGTCCATTACTTCCACGTAGCGACCACCGGGAATGGTCTCCCCGTTAATGCTCGATCCATTTGCACTCTCAAGATCAATCAGATAGGGCTTGACCTTGCCAATGCGATCACCGTATTCATTGCGCTTTTCGACAAATCGGAATTGTAGCACTGCATGCTGCTTCGAGCAGCTGGGATGGTCGAGTGGGAAGTCTACCACCATTCGCTCTCGACCGATCAGCCAACAACTGCGTTCAGCCAATTCAACAGTTTCCAGCAAGTCGGCCCCTTTGAACACATACATGCGCCAGGGTTCCTTGGGGGGCGGCTTGCGCGCCTCTGGAGGTTCGTGGTATTTCAAAACTATTTCCGCGCCGCCCACTTGAACTGTATTGGTTTCTGCCGCGAGTCTACCCGTGGGGTTGAAGTTCGGCTTTTGCTTTTCCGGCGCAGGTGCCTCTCCTGGATGCGCTACATCGGTGAATGCGTCGGATTGCGAGGGGAGGGGGCCTCGTCGTTCCAATGCCTGCGGTGGAGGGCTGCGGACTTTTTGCGGGGAGCGTGAGCGAGAGCGTGAACGCGTACGGCGATGTCTTCGAGATGATCGTCCTTCATCTTCGCGGCGGGAATCACGGTGTCGGTGGCTGCGGTGTCTGTGTCTGTGGCGGTCTTCACCATGTGAGCTTGTTGAGCGCTCTCTGCGCTCACGGCGAGGTCGATCTCGATCACTTCGGGCGCTGGTCCTTTCAACTGGACTGCGGGATGATCTCCGTCGAGAACTGTCCCGGCGAGAGCTCCGACGGTCTTCGTCGCGTCGTCTTGAGCTCGAATAGTGGTCGTCTCGAGGCGTATCTCGTGACCGGCGTTCATGGGTCTGATCTGAGGGCGACTTCACGGAGCGCTGTCGGCGTTCGGGGCGGTCGTCGTCGGACCCAGCCATTTTTGCTGTTGAAATGGGACTGCGGGGAAAAGAAAGCGTGAATATAAAATTAATGCAGATCTTTGGATCAAAAGCTTTGGATCAACTCCATACACGTGACCAACCCGGAAGCCGCTCCGAAGGATGAGAGCCTCACTTTTACACCCATCATATGACAATTTTTAAGACAAGAGCGCAACGGATATTTTTACCGTGTTCTCGTAAGTGACGCCATGTGACAATGTTCAAGAAAATCAATCTTTGTGTCAAAAGCCCGCGCATTGTGAATTTGACCGTGGTCTCGCCGTTGCCTCGTTTCAACACCAACATCTCTCCAACTTATGGACTGCGGACATTATACAAAAACAGGAGTTATGCCACCGCAGCAGAGTTCCCACATCAGAACTACTCATGGCCCAGCACTACATCTTTCACGCCTTATGACGTCTTGAATCTACCCCGCGGTGCGACGTACTCGAAAAAACATTACTATGACCTCGTTAAGATCTATCACCCCGACCGACCTCTCACCGACCATCCTATGTTCCGCCAATTGACTGCTGAAACTCGGTTGCAGCGGTATCGAATTGTGGTTGATGCGCATGATATCCTTTCTGATCCGATCAAACGAGCGGCCTATGATCGGAATGGCACTGGCTGGAGCCACACTGTACTAGATAGAACCATGACACGGAACTCCCATGGACCGAATATCTACTCAAATGCCACATGGGAAGATTGGGAGGACTGGCATAACCGCCATCAAGGGCCGCAGCAGCATGTTGTTGACCAGCGCACATTCTCTCGGCTTATTATCCTCTTGGTTCTATTTGCAGGCGCCCTTCAAGCATCCTGGATTGGGCAGATGAATGATGGCTTCAATGAGCGATTACGTGGGGTCAGTGAAGAGTCGGCGCGTGTACTCCAGGGCCGGAGAGACGACACCGTCAAACAGATGGATTCAAATGAGGCGCGGGTGCAGGGTTTCCTCATTCGGAGAGACCCCACAGGGTCGGGGTTGAAGGAGCATGAACAACCGGTTTATCAGAGCGAGTTGAATCCTCGTCGCGGTCTAGATGGGTCCTCATAGGCCGGCAAAATTAGCCGAGAGCCTGCGCGGTCAATGGACTAGCCCGAACTTTCAGTTCGCTCCTAGTCCTGTTCGATGAACATATGGTGCATGGCGTTTTGAATTTTTATGTGGGTATTTTCAGAAGCATCTGGTCGTAGTCCTGGCGACTCGCATGCAGTATATTCCTTGACTGTTCGGGAAGTACGGAGTACCCCGTACATTACATTTCAATCTCCACTTTGAACAATTTTTGGGTCTAATAATAGCTTTGAAATTTCCGGACTAGAGGAAGCAACCTTGGAACAGTGTTGATTAGCGATATATAGTTAGGTTGTTGGTACTCCCTACTTTCTATATTTTGAAAGGTATAGCGCCAAGGAAACTAAGGGATGACTATGTACTCTCCATACTCCGTAGTTAAAAGCTTAGAAGAATGGGAATGTATATATGCCAAATGAGATCTCATACATGGGAACATGTCTATAAAAGCTTCAAACTACATATGTATGTTGTATATCAAAGAAATCAAAGTACCCCAGAATATTCATGTTTTATAATCTGCGGAAAAGGGGGGCTTTACGGATGCACTAATCACATTCCGATATTGAGCGCCACAGAAAGCCCCGTTGACGTCGGCGGGTCGATCCCCTCGTTTCCCAGGGGGTTGGGCCCTGCAAAAGGTGTCACAGTGCATTTACGACACTCCATTCCCCGTAAAACTGAGGCTGAATCTAGGGGGGAAATAAGGGTTGAATTTCTTTGGTCTAGACCTTCGATTTGGACATGTAATAGATATAAATATGGTACCTTGAATATTTTCCGTACAAAATATTACATATATTACAAATTAGCAGGGGAAGAAATTTAGATTTGGACGAAAGTACATCATTGCTCACCGTACCGAGTACACACAGGTTCAGGTACAGAGGGCTACGTCATATCATATGTTCTTTGGGTAAAGGGGAATATAAAAGGAAAACGAGTGAAATGAAAAAATAAAAAAGGTCAAAGATTTTTATGTCTGAATATAAAACAATTTAAGAGAGAAATAGAGAAATAGAAAAGAGAAATAGAAGTCGAGAAATAAAAGAAATAAGCCGTACTATAAGCCAAGTTTTTCCCTACGTCATATCCCATCACGCCCCCAGTCCACTTTTTTTTCCACTCCCAAATCGATCCAAGCAATGGGCCTGGCGGGTACGTGAAGTTGTTTCTCTCTCGAACACCCTCAATATCAAACACCCCCCCCCCCCTTTCATTACACCGCCAACCTTATTCATCTTCATCTATTCTGATTTAATTCTAACCTCTTGGCCTTAACCTTTTCTTTAGCCTTACACATATCTCCCCCCCCTCCACGCCAAGATTTGACCTCTCACGACCTCAAGCCATAAACGCCTCATTTCATTCCATCTACTTACACCTTAATCATTTGATTGTGTTTCCCTCCACTCGCGGAGGAGAATGGGGGAGGTTAAGAGGAGTTCTCCATTCCCTTCACCAACAGAGACACTTCCATCTGCCTGGCCCCAATCTCATATGCAGCCTCTCCGATCGCCTGGTCCCCGCCCCCCACATGGTCATCAATCCCAAAAATTGGTGGATGAACTTGCGGGGAGGGTAGATGCTCTTGAGAAGTCCTCCATTAAACCATCTCGTTTATCGCGCGGTGACTCTACAGAACAGGTTGTTGGTCTAACACCAATTACCGAAGACGCACGATCAGATGCCGAACGACAGGAGGATCAAGGACGCAGTTCGCATACCCTCAAGGAACTCCGAAAGCAGATGGAAGATCTCCTTGTGTACCAACAGATGCAACAAACCCAACCAATCTCATCCCAGAGTCCACCCTCCGCTTCCTCGAACGATCCACCAAGAAAGAGACATTTGTCAAATACGTTGTCCAATACATCACCGGAACCTCCAGTCGCCACTACACAGGCTTCCACAGACTCGGCAGGCTCAACAGGGACAATCAAAGGTGGCCAGATAGAGACACCTTCCGATCGCAAACCAGAACGGACACCGTCCTATCCCTTCCCACACATGCAGAGCCCACACATCCAGAACAAACCAGTGAAAATGGGGATTGAACCAACAGCGCGGGGAGGACCATTTAGACTAAAGCTTCCATCAGGGAAATCTCAACCTTCGTCACCAGGGCCCCAAACTCTACCCCCGGAACCAAGAGCCATGGAACAGCATCCGACCTTTCTACCCGCTCATCATAGCCAGGTCCAGGAAGATCCAAATTTCGCCAGTCCCGATCTTTATGATCTGACCCTTCAGTTGAATGCAGATTCGGGACTGGAAGCATGGTGGTCCAACCTCATTGATATAATGCAGACGCATTACGGAGCTGAGCGTATGTCACTCGCTGTCCCTGGAGATGTGACTGATTTGGAGAACGTACCTTGGGGCCAAAAGGCAATTTTTAACCAGCACATGGATACGTCGTTGCGCGAACTTCAAGCGCATCGTACAGAGAAGGGACCATCAACGGAGACTTCTCACACACGCAAAAGCGTCATGCAGAAAACAGAGACAGTGTTCCAACAGGCTAAAATGCCTGGATCTTCCCGCCCGTCTTTATTATCCCGGCACTCATTCGCTGGATTTGATAAAAACAAGGGCCAAACTCCCCACGATCCCAACCAACCACAGATTTCAAAAACAAATGTCAAATCCGAGAAAAAGCACGTACATATCGCCTCCCAAAACCCGCCATCCACAGATCATTCCGAAGGAGATAACCCCGAAGCCAGAGACGATTCGCTCAACAGTCTGCTCGGCGGCATGCGACAGGCTGTGTTCCCAATACCTAGACCATTGGAGGTAGAGCCAGACCCCCTCATCAAGCGTACGGGCGTGGCTAGGTTATTCGGGCGTACCCGTCCCACCATCTTAACGCGTGAATATGCAGAGAGCACGCAATATCCGCAGCGGTGGGCCGAGTCAGCTGAAAGTCCGAATGAGATGGTTCAAGTTACTCCCGACGTCGATGGTCCTGGTGGCAAGGCAATCGGGAGCGTACCGATGCAGCAAAGCCTCGGTGTTAGTGGGTTGAAACAATACGATGAATACGAGCAGGTTCCGCAGTCTCCGTGGTCTCAGTCTCCTGCTCCATCTCCTGCGCCCCGTACACATGCAGACCAGAATCCATTCTTCACAAACCATTCGGTTGATGAAGGGGCTTTCTCCAAGCATCCGCCTTCACATGACTACTCTAATAATCTCCCACTGGAGGCCATTGGCATTGATCAGTCAAAGACCGTCATCCATATTCCTCTTATACATGGTGGTCACTCTAACCGGAATTCTTCATCGACATTGAGATTTCCTGTTGCTGTTGTGTCCATGTTATGCACAATCGTTCCATACCCTCCTAACCTTCGACAATCACTCTCACTTTTGATGCCTCATTTGACAACTTCTTTCTGCTTGGCTCAGCGATATAGCCAGCTTGAAAGTCAACTGTCATCCAAAGTGGAAACTCCTCGCTATGGTCATCTTTTAGGTCTTGGAGGCACTTTCTCGGATGCAAGCAGCGAACTAGAGCTTGTTGCGGGACTAAGCGGTCACGTTAGCTACTCCGCTGGCGACAATAACAACTCAATGTCTGCGCATGCGAGCACCACTAGCCCTAGTGATCGTTCGTCTGTAAAGTTCAGTCCTGCTGTTTCTGCATTGGGCACCCCTGGATTTGATCTAGGCCACATTGGATTTGGGTCTGCAACTCAATCTCCAGGACTGACTTCACGATCTGGCGAAGGCGTTGACAGCTACTTCAATGTTCCACAAAATAAAAGCACCCGAGACAATGGATCCCAAAACAGACCACGACTCTCCAAGTCGAAGACCGCCAACGTGGAATCCTCATCACCAATCTCTCCCGACAAAGCGGCCTGGAAACCAACCGTCGGCGAGGATACTAGTCTACAAGATCAATCTTTCTATGTCACATCGCCACAGCAAGAAATTAGACAGTCCAACCCGTTTTCACCACCCCAGCAATCATCGCGACAAGCCTCTACAAACTCGTTGTACGCCCAACTACAACGTGAGCTCCCGCGCCCATTCTCTGACACAATAGCCCAGCTGATGCTGAATTCAATCCCGTTGCACCTCTTCCTAGCGAAACCCCAGAGTGGCGAAGTGATATGGACCAATTCCAAGTTTGATGCCTACAGACGGAGTCAACACCAGGAGCAAAGATTTCGAGACCCTTGGCAGAATATCCATAGCAGCGAGAGTGAACATGTTCATATAAAATGGGCCAATGCCTTGCGCACGGGTGCACAATTCACCGAAAGAGTCCGGGTCCGAAGATTCAACGATGAATCGGCATATCGCTGGTTCATTTTCCGGGCCAATCCGCTGTTGTCATCAACGGGAGAGGTACTGTACTGGATTGGATCTTTCCTTGACATTCATGAGCAGCATATTGCGGAGCTCGAGGCAATCCAAGAGAGGGAGAAATTTGCTATTGATGCTAAGTATCGTGCATTCTCAAATTCGATCCCACAGATTGTGTTTGAGGCAACGGAGAAGCGCGGATTGATATTCGTCAATGAGCAGTGGAATCTGTACACCGGCCAACCGCTCGAGGAAGCACATGATCTTGGCTTCGCTAAACATGTTCATCCTGACGATCTCGAAAAGTGCGGCGAGTTGTCTCTCAACCGAACATCTCCGAACGCGGACCAGGATGATAGTGCGCCTTATGAGTTCATGGTCGGATCAGCTCTTGATGAACTCGTGAGACGCGGCATTGCTTCACTACAGCAAGATGAGAATGGCCGAGTGTTCTATTCCACGGAGATCCGCCTTCGTTCTCGAGGTGGTGATTTCCGGTGGCATTTGGTCCGTCTAGTACGTGTCCAGACCAGCAGTTTCGGCAGCGAGGAAGCCTCCTGGTACGGAACGTGCACCGATATTAACGACCGCAAAAACCTCGAAAGAGAACTCAACAAGGCCATGCAACAGTTGAATCACCAAATGGAGTCGAAGACAAAGTTCTTCAGTAACATGTCACATGAGATCCGAACCCCGCTTAATGGCATTCTTGGTACTATTCCGTTCATCCTGGATACACAGCTTGACAGTGACCAGAGGCGAATGCTTGACACCATCCAAAACAGCTCCACCAATCTTCGCGAGCTGGTTGACAATATCCTTGATGTTTCCCGTGTCGAAGCTGGCAAGATGTCAATGGTCAAATCCTGGTTCCATATCCGATCAATGATCGAGGATGTAATCGATACCATCGCCTCACGAGCAATCGATAAGGGTCTTGAGATCAACTATCTCATAGCTGAAGACTTGCCATCGATGGTGATTGGAGACCGGTTCCGTATTCGCCAAGTCCTAATCAACCTCCTCGGTAATGCAGTCAAGTTCACTGCACAAGGTGAAATTCACATATCTTGTGGCATGTATCGGGATTCATCTGCAAATCCCAATGACACCCAGGCATTCATGAACTTTGAGGTTGTGGACACTGGAAAGGGGTTCAGCTCTCAAGATGCGGAACGCCTGATGCAACGCTTCAGTCAGCTTGGAGAAAACGGGTCACAGCAGCATGCAGGCAGCGGCCTGGGGCTTTTCCTGTCGAAGCAACTCGTCGAAATGCATGGCGGCAAGCTCACCCCCAGCAGTAAAGAGGGCCAAGGAGCAAAGTTTTCGTTCAACGTCAAAGTCGATGCTCCTCCACCACCTTCCCCCTCCGAGCAGCCCAAATTGATCCGCCAGAGTTCAAGTGCTTCAAGAAGGCCGGCAAAGTCGAGGACAACCTCTTATCAACAAGCACCTCCTCTTGCTGCCAGGAACTCCGACTCATCCGGAAAAAGCACTGATACCAACCTGTCTGCCTCGTTCTCAATTTCATCCTCTGCTCTCCCAACCCCGGATATTGGCTCTGCGTCCCTGCCACCTCCATTGGAGCAGACAAGCTCTACGGCCAATCTGCCCGATGCGGTCTCGGATACAAAAATCGAACCTGCCGTTACAAAGCCAGACACACCGCCCCGCGTGAGATCGCCTCTGTCTCAAGGCTCTGGCTCTCCAGATACACCAATTGGACCAGTATCTGTTCCTATCCATGGTCCTTTCTCCATTGTCATCCTGTGTCCGCTCAAGAACTCCCGGCAAGCAATAAAGCAGCACATCGAGCAGGTCGTCCCTCATGAGATTTCGTTCAAGGTCACAACATTACTTGATGTTGATGAATGGAAGGACATGATACACTCTGCTTCCAACGATCCTTGCACCCATCTTGTTTTGAACCTTCCAACTGATGATATCTTGGAGGTGATTCAAATCATATCAGACTCGGGCTTGGATCCCGCTCCCGTCATCGTCATAATTTCAGACCTTTACCAAAAGCGTCAAATTAGTTCAAAGGTCAAAGAGCTGGCAGCTTCAGGAAAGCAGGTTTTCATTGTGCCAAAGCCTGTCAAACCCTCTGCTTTCTCAAGTATCTTTGATCCTAATAGCAAGCGTGAGCTGAGCAAGGACCGCAACCAAGACATGGCCCGCGAGATCAATAACAACTTCAAGACCGTGTCCAAGATGGTCAAAGAAGTCTTGGGCAACAAGGGTTATCGAGTCCTGCTCGTTGAGGATGACGAAACCAATCGAGATGTAAGTTGTTTTGTAAGAACTATGTTGAATTGATTGCTAACTCACATACAGGTCATGCTGAAGTATCTGGACAAGATAAAGCTGATGTCGGAGACTGCATCCAATGGACTGGAGTGCACTGACATGGTTCTTTCTAAAGAGCCGGGATACTATTCTCTCATCATCGTGAGTCTTGTTCTATACTCTTTATCCCTTTCAAAACTAACCGCGTCGATTTGTAGTGTGACATTCAGATGCCTATTAAGAACGGCTACGATACCTGTAGAGATATCCGTGACTGGGAGCAAATGAACCATTACCCACAGATTCCAATCATGGCTCTTTCGGCGAATGCAATGACAGATCAAATTGAAAACGCTGCACGCGCAGGTTTCAATGACTACGTCACCAAGCCGATCAAACACAATGAATTGGGGAAGATGATGATGGGCCTTCTCGAACCCGGTCGCCCACTCATGCTTCTGCGAGACCGTCTTAGCCCAGAGCATCAACAAGCCATCGCTGCTCGCCGCTAGAAACTTCCGGGTCCTTCCCTACCCATCTTCACCCCCGACACTTTTGCTGCCTTAATAGCATGTCTTTGTTTTAATATTCTGTTTTTATCCATCTATAGCCAGCCGTATCCCTCCTCTGGTTCTTGCATTTGACGTTCTTGCGATGGACCACGGAGTGACTTTTTGATTCATTTCCGACGGCTATATGTTTTCGGATTCGGGGGATTGCACAGGGGGGCCATTGGAAATTCGCTAGACACGCATGAAGCGTGCTTACATTTTGGGAAGTCCCATTGTGACATTTGCATTTGCAATCCCGAGCTCTTGATACCATCCCCTAGCATTTGCACAGGCTCAGGAGGGCGTTCTTACCTCTTCATTAATCATTCACGAGCACTGATTCTCTCGGCTCTCTGAGCCTGTGCATCATGGCGTCGGTGCTCTAATTCTTGTTGGATTTACCAACCAAGCTGAATCCCTTTCGCTTTTTGCCTTTTTTTTTACATTCTTGTGATACCAGACTATAAGCGCATGACACCTATCTAACTTCTGGATCTGTATTTGTTAATAATCTAACTCTCTTGGCTTTTTCTTTTCTTTCAATATCCTTTCTGCTTTAGCGTTCGGTGCATAGAATAAGATACCTGGGCTACTCACGGCTACTTTGGTGTGTTTTCGAGGTCAAAACATATATGATATTTTTTGCATACTTGATATAAGCTAATGCAGACCAATATAAACCAATATAAACCATTAAATGTGACTAAAAGAGGTTGGAAAGTGTTAACATCTCAGTAGTCCAAGTAGATAATTCCCAAAAAGGGAAAGCGAGTGAGTTGGCATTGGCGCATGTGGCGGTGAAGGAAGTAGAAAATCCCCGCAACCCCCCACTTGTGCGCTGGAAAAATCATCTCTTGAGATTATTAGATTGCATCTGGAATATCCGACTGGGATTTGAGGGATTCGGAGAAGAAAAGGTCGATTCAAACTTCGAAAATACTTCATGCACCTCCCAGGTAACCCTGGACATCAAATGCATTGAGTGCCATAGCCAATAAACACATGCACAGATAGGTATTCTTTTCAATAATCGGACCAAAACAGCGGGCTTGTGTGACCTATGCAGGGAAACTCTGTTGATATCGTACTTATAACGAGTATTCGGTAACAGAAGGTCGAATGCAATGCCTTTTCTGAAGTCTGAAATCTGAGTCAAAGGAGGGGCGGATCAAGACCGAGTTAGTGTAAAGATTATGACGAACAAAGAGAAAACAAAAAGGTGCAAGGCTAATTCCAAGCCGAAGTGTAAACTGCGCGTCATTAGTTACCGTGCTGCCCGATATTAGCCTGGCCGAATAAGAGGCTGTGCTCGGCCATGTTCAGCATAATTTCATCCCTGCGGGATTCATTAAACAAGGGTCTTGATAGGGAATTGAGGAGGGTGTCACAGGATTCCTTGTGGGTTGACGGGGCATATCGTGAGTCGTCAGGCTGTAAGGCATGGTTGGCTTTTAGGCACGGTGAGGCACCAACGGGACGAGAAGGGAAGAAGACTTCAGTCAGCAAGGCAGATCCAGATCCGGTTTAGAACACCCGGACCTCGAAGGGTGTGCCCTGCACATTGCCTTCCCGGCTAGTTGGGCCTGCGTGGGCTTCTTGTCAGCATGTATCTGGGACCAATGATAAACTGTCGTGGGCCGCACGGCATTCCTGAATTATAGTATTTCCGTCGGGGCTTGCAGCATATGTTCCCATTCTCATACATACCCCGTAGATATCGTCAAGCAAGTCATCGACCATGTGCATAGAGTGGAGAGTAGCATGTTCTCTTCCTGTGTTGATCGGCGTCTAGAGCGCTTCTCGATGCAGCAATGCCTTCTGTCTTGCTGTTGAAGGATTTGATGGCTATTGGTGGATTCGTGTAAGAGGGGCTTTCACGCAGCAATAACAGCCGCAACTAGGTGGGTAAATGGAGGAACAAGGATCAATGTGAATATTGTGTTTTTTTTCATCTTGTTCGAGGAGGACCCGAGGAGGACCTGTTGCTCATTGGTTGCACGATTTGCCTTTTTGCTCATATATTGCTAGGATCATTCTTGTTTGAACCTTGCAAAAGAAGCAGGCCCGGAACAGTTTCGACTGCCGATTCTCACGGTCCTTTGGTTCATGCAGTGATGTCCAACATTTCCCGTGTGACGTGAATCGAATGCAGCGATCCTCGATTTTGGGCTCTTGGGCTCCGGTCCCAAAGATGATGTAAGGCCGCGAGACATCCCGGCATTTTGGTTTCCGCGGGCATATTTGACCACTATACTCCGTACAACTACGACAGTTGTATAGGTATAGAAAATCTGATCAACTAATCATCATGTTAGACTTGGACAGTTAGAAGGGGAAATATCTCATACCGGTCCTTGTGTAGTCTGTCTTATCTTTGGGCTTTTGTCGAACGAATCAACTTTGCTCCTCTTCCCAGCCCCCGAATTTCTGAAGGGAAAAATCAGATCAATGGGGACGAGGCCGGGAAAAAAATTGATAATTATGAGAGATGGAGGGAAAAAAAGGCAAGAAAAAGTGGGAGTAGGAAGGACGGCTAAGGCCATATTTATATCTCACCTTCCCACCAACTCCACCCATCCTACCCTCTTCAAATCCACACCCCATGTCCTTCCTAGTCAATCCCTGAATACCTCAAGTCGGCGCTTTGGCCCCAAAGGTTTAGATTAGGAAGAGGGGTGTAGATCGAGACCATTTTTGCACCAAGGCGCCACGGAACGGCGGAAACCCTAGTGGAGGAAGGCTGGTGTCCTCAACCAGATACATTGAGTCTTTTTTTCCACCCTGAGCGGGGTCAAGGCGGTCCAAGAGGCAAATCGGCGGGCAGATACGGAGACAGACGTGCAGATGGAGCTCGGGGATTGGAGGTACAGAGGGAGGGGTGCGAGTCAAGGTGCCCCGAGTGGTCCAATGGCTCCTTCGAGACCTTCGCAATCCTTGCCATCACATTCGGCTCCAGAATGAGAGCATCCGCCGGAAGGAAGACTCTCCGCGGAAGGTTATAAAATCCCTCGTCTGGCCCGGGGGAGACCGTCCTTCCTTCTCTTTCTTTCCCATCACTCCTAGTTAGGCCCGTTTGCACATTCTTCCACATTCTTCCCATCTTGCTTCATCTTACCTTCCTGAAGTTAACTTGAGCTTCATACTTCTTCTTTACTCTTTTATAAACTTGCTATTGCAGTCAATCGTCACCATGGCCACCCAGCGTCACTATTACCAGCCTGCTGCCTACCCATACCACCATGCACCTTCCAAGGCGCCAGCACCAGCATCTCTCTACCCCATTTCTAGAGTTTCTGGTTCCCCACCAGACTTCTCCGATGCAAGCACCACCGCCGGCAGTCGTTCCTCTGGCGGGCTCACCTTCAGCTCTGCCGGCGAGTACGACTCTAGCTTTGCATCGTACTCCGGCGTCGATGTCGTGGATGTCCTGAGCGACCGAATGCAAGATGCATTTGATCCAACCCCATTAGACAAGGGTCTAGCACGACAGGCGCAAACGTGAGTTTTCCCACTTTTTCATCGAAATTAGCAATTCCTCCTCGCAGCGATCACCAGAAAATGGCGGTTCAGAAAACAAGACCTACCAAGCAGGCATATCTCAGTGTTTGCAACAAAGCTAATAGTGCCTGCAAACTAGATCGGGCCAGCTAAACGCAAAGCAGCAAGAACTGCTCGAGCTACAAGCCCTAGCGCAACGCCGACTGAAAGGCGCACGGGCGAATTTCTCCGAAGGTCTAAAAACCGCACGAGAGACAAAGCGCGACCTGGAATGGACGCAAAAGCGCGTCAGGTAAGCAAATTCACCCCTAGAACCGGGCACTGTGGTACGATGGACGTGCAAGTTCCGCTCCGCTCCGCGACAGGGGCTTCCGCTCCGCCGCGTGAGCTTGGCACGTGCACGTCGATCAGTGTTCCTGCGGCATTAGCGCCGAGTGTGTTTCTAGAAGGCTGACACACGTGGCTGGAAATAGTGCCCTCAAGGCTAAGGCGGAGAAGGCCCATCCTGATGAGTACCGACGTTCTTCGAAGAAGTACGCCTATGATGGCTATTGATTGGGCCTTTTGCGTTGGATTTATGACTGATATGATGTGGATAAAATTGGCTTGGGATGGAGATTGTTTCTTTTTGGGTTTGGCGCACTTTTGCTTTGGGTCTTTGTGTATATGGATAGGTACTCTGTGTCTCTTGATCGTAGAGAGATGTTCCTCTAAATAGTATTGGTTTTGTTTTCCGTATCTAGGAATTCCTGCCTATAAGCCTGTAATATCAGGTTTTGGTGTGCGCCTGATTCCTTCCAGGGTTATACCCAACCACTCTGACAAACTAGAAATGGTAGAGTTTGTGTTCTATTAAATACGAAGGCTTAAAGTCTTGCCTGAGAACGTTGGTATTTCAGTATGTCCAGTCTCGTTATCTCTCTATATCTGGTGTATCATTCTGTATCTTCCACCGCTTGATTTTGGCCTCTTTAGCTTGAAATACATCTCCGAGACAATACTAAACAGAACGACACAAGAATAATTTGCAAGGCATTACTAATACTAGCTCTGAACATCTTGGTCAAATGCCACAGCGAACATTTTCACTCAAAATCAAAATCACCCCCATCAAAGAACTCATCCCAGCTATATGCCGGCCCGACACAGTAAGCACTCCCTGCAACCAGCTTCTTGTCACAGTTATCCTTACCAAGAGACGGGTTCACATCCAAGAACAAAGTCCAAGGGATCTTGTTCTGCATACAAATCGTCGTACAGGTTTCTTGCAACTCGGTAACAACATGCCACTTGCCGCAACGAGTTGTCGTTCCTTCAGCAACAGTTGCCCTTTTCGGAGGCGGGATTTGCGGAATGACATAGCCATCGGAGTAGCCAGGTGACGTCGGATCATCATATGGGGCAGTGGTATTCGAAATGCCAGACTGTGGCGTGAGACAAATGACATGCCCGTACGCGACATCACTGACAATATGAAGATTGGAGCAATCATAATTGATCCAGGGATTGTATTTGCGCAGGGTTGTGCCGTCCTTGTATCCGACGCTTTGGGCCTTCTCGATGGAGATACAGGTGTCTTCGCTCTTGATGGTGTAGACAGTTTCACATTGGATTGGCACGCATAGCTTTGTGCCGACTGCGATATTCTCGCATTCGAATAAGTTGTCGTGTCCTATGAATAGGGCAGCTGATGAGACTTTGTAAGTAGTAGCGATTGAGTCACAGGTATCCCCGGCCACGGTTGTATATCTGATGCCTGATAAGCATGATTCTGCGGGCTTGTATGGGTCAATTGTTGGTTGGAGTGGAGGTGGAATTTCGGTAGGGATGTTGAGATTGCATTTTGAGTTGATCTCTTTGAGTTGAGATTGGAAGTTGATGTCGTATTCGGAGTAGGGCGTTGACTGCATCTTCCGGTAACGGTCGACGTGGCAGGATGAGTACAGCTCAGAAGTGAGCATAGCATCTATATCAGGGTTAAAGCTATCAATAACATCTGTGTTTGTTCATGATTAGGATCAGTAAGATTCAAGTAAAAGGAGGAGGTTCAGGCTTACCACCACAGTATTTACCACTCTTGGCATTCTTAGCACAGGTCTCATTCCACCCTGCCCATGCTATTCCACCTTTCATGTTTAAGGGAATTTGACTCTCATCGCTAGCACAATTGGTAGTGACCTGGTGAAACCAAGTCTATATAGACGCCCCGCAACTAGGACTACAAACCAGATCGCTCGGAGTGTCGTTGTCAAAACCACCTCTCCATCTAGGCTTCTAGAACATATAGACCTCGTCGTCACAGTCGATCAGCCGAGTAAGAGCTGTTTGGCAAATAGGGGACAGTTCTGACAAGAAGCTTTTTTGGGATGTGGGATCGTAAAAGTAGAAGCCCGTGGACTTGCGCTGACCAACGATGTCTTTTGCTTTGCGGAACCACCCAAGCAAGGATGATGTGTATCCATTTCTAGTGTCTTTGGAAAATGCCGGAATCTCACCGAGTGGTCTGATAGACTGGACAATTGCTTTGGTCACAAGATTGACGACCCAGATATCGCTACTCTGCTCGACATAGAATGCCTTTTCTTGGCAGTTGTTTGTTTCTAAGCAGTCCTGGGAATATGAGTTAAACCAGCTGTAGATGCCTAGAAATCTTAGCAACGGCCCGAGATATGACACAAAGAGTAAATACATACCTGCACCAAGCATATAAATCGACTCCGAGTTGATCATCCTTACTGCCCATGAGCTTGTACATGTCTTGCACTCACCACTGTTTGGGTCATTGGGGAATTTCCCCAGCTTGAAGGGCTCTGGCATTGGTGGAGTAGGCTGGAAGTAGGGAGATTCAGTCTGTATCATTCCCATAACCAGATTCTTGGCCCCCGAGAACTGGTATTGGTAGAAAACATTGTGCTCTGAAGCCGTGCCGTACATCCAGGTAGGCCCCTGGCTCTCAATGAGAATACCGCGAGCCACGTATACGTCCACTTGGTCTTGGGTAATCTTGTCAAGATCATGATCCGCAACCCAGGCTCAGAGATTTTCCATATAAGCTGAAGCCGATTTTCTGACATGAAGCAAAAGGGATGCAGCGATGCAGTTCTTGTTCAGGGACGATGCCTTTTTGGGGCATATGTCGGACTGGAGCTTAGAACCGATAGCACCGCCCGCGCGGAAGTGGCAGTCTGCTTTTGTTAGCTGTCTTATACAAACGAAATAGATCACAAAGTCATGCAATCTTTCCAGGAATAGAGAGACATACCCCAGAGACCTGCTGAGCCCTGTGTCGACTCATGAACATTCCACTCCATGAGTACAGCACCAGCCGTGGGCCCAGACACCGTAAACATCATATTTTGTATTTCAACAATACCAATACCCCCTTCTTTGTCAACCTGCACAGCCACATGAGGATGCTCGGCGTCTTGAAATTTAGTGCCAGTTGCCATAATCTGCGGCCAAACTTGTCCAATAATGCGGGAGCCGAGAGGGACCTGGAGAGTATCCTTGATCACATATATTCCGTAGGGAAAGTAGACAATTGAAGACATGTTTACAGCGGCAGACAGAATGCTGTTAAGAGCGGCTGTATCATCCGTGACGCCGTCACCTTTAGCACCGTAGGCCTTGACATCGAAAACTTGACCACCGCCGAGATCAAGATACTGAGGACGGCGACGGGTGAAGAAGTTAGAAGTTCCTTTCACGTAGGACTGGCTGCCAGTGAGAATGTCTTTGCGTTGCAAAACCTGCAATTGCTGTTGCTGGGCAAAATGAGCTCCTGTGTCGTCGTGGTAGAGACCGAATCCCCACGAAGAAACAAATACTTCGTTTCCTCCAGCTAGGAGAGGCTCGGTGCGAGTTTCTGCAACAACTGCATCTTTCACGTTGAAGAAACCCACATTTTGAAGTAAAACTGCTGTTGAGTTGTCTGCATATAGCGATGTGCGAATACCCGTAGGGGTGTTGGCGATGATAGCATCCACTAAGATATATGAGCCGACTGACTGGCCGGTACTCTCCACACCTCCAGCCTGATACAGATCAGAAATTATTCGTCATAGGTCGGGTACAGTAGTATACTCACACCACCAGTCACGACAATTCCACTTCCACATGACTCTATGACAACGTCTTGCATTGTCCACGCCCAGTCCCAATGGATCTGAACTGCTGTTTTGCAATTCACAAAAACAAGCTGACTGCTCGTAAACTGTTGGTTGCCCAGATAGGCACTATAATCCGTAAATATCTTTCTCATTGGTAATTCGGATACACGTACCCAAAGTTTCCACCAACAAAGGTCAGATTGCTCATGAAACCGCCACTTCCATTTTCCATGTAGATACCCTTCATAGTCAGTAAGTAAAAGATTTGAAAGAGCGATGCTTATGTACCTATTGTGTGTTTCCGCTCGCTTGCGACATATAAAACTCGATATTCTCAAGTGTGGTTCCTTGGGCAACTTGCCAATGAATGGCACAAACATATGCACCGGGGTCTGTACGGGTAATATATTGCAATGGATTGCAATGGCATGATTCGGAGGCCCTTGAATCAGGCTAGATGCAATTTGCCGGTGTCCCACAATTCGATAGTCCAAAATCGTAGCCACCAGGCTCTGATAAGTGTATAAGATAATGAATGATTCCCACTGAAGTTTCTTCAAGAGCCTATGCCAAATAGTCAAGGTGTTGGGAAAACATCTACTAAGGCTCACTATACTATTGTGTGCCTTTGCACTGCTGGTCCCGGGACAGGACTGCAGTGCAAGTAAACCTTGTGCTACAGTGTGCTGGTAAGTGTAGCTGGTCAAGGAACAGGGGAAATAGTTACCAGTTTCTGACTTTTTCTTACCATCAGTTCAAAAGCCGGTTATTGTGGAATAACTCCCGAATACTGCGGTGAGGAATGTCTTGCAAATTGTGATTATAAACTCGGGTGTGATGCAAGCAACCCCTGTGAAGAAGGCTGCTGGTAATATTTCCTGGCTCTTCCTTTGACTGGAATGATTGTTAATTGGTGTTTAGTAACGAATTTGGATTCTGCGGACATGGCCCTGACTTTTGCGGCAAAGATGTCTGTGTTGCGGGATGCGATCGCAAGTCAGAATGTGACCCCGGTTTTGGAGAAGAATGGGCAAAAAGCAAATCTTGTCCACTGAACGTGTGCTGCTCGGATTTTGTAGGTGGCCCAACTTACCTCATATTGTGAGCAAATGCTAACGAGGGGGTATCTTTAGGGCTACTGCGGAACAACAAAAGAATTTGTAAGTCACACTTCAGCCCCAGATATCTCAATGTTTGAGACATCGACTGACATATTTTAGTGCGGCAACAAAACAGTCAAGCACGATACTTGCTCCAAAGATCGCTATATGGACAGAGTCGTTGGCTACTACGAAGGATGGTCCACTCGGCGTCCCTGCCACGCTTTCTGGCCTGAGCAAATTCCACTCGGTGTTTACAGTCACATCAACTTTGCATTCGCCACAATCGACCCAGATACATACCAAGTGTTGCCGTCAGACAAGCGGGATGTTGATTTATACAGCCGTTTGACCAGTCTGAAAACCTACGACAAGGACCTTAAGGTGATGATCGCTATAGGTGGCTGGACATTCAACGACCCTGGCCGAACTGGAACAGTCTTCTCCGATCTAGCAGCCTCAGAAGAGAAGCAAGACAAATTCATCACTTCTTTGATCTCTTTCATGTCCACTCATGATTTTGATGGCATAGATCTGGATTGTGAATATCCCGAAGCGGACGACCGCAATGGAAGGCCAGAAGACTACAAGAATTTCCCCAAATTCCTGAGTAGGCTGAAGAACGAGCTGAAAAAACACCTGGTCGAAGCGAAATCTCCATCACGCTACCAGCATCCTACTGGTATCTCCAACACTTCGATCTCAAAGCCCTTGCAAAACATGTTTCATTTTTCAATATCATGTCATACGACATGCACGGTACCTGGGATCAGGACAACAAATGGACCGGTGCATTCCTCAACGCTCGCACAAATCTGACAGAAATCAAATCTGCTCTGGATCTACTTTGGCGCAATGATGTGCAAGGAGATCAGGTTGTTATGGGCCTCGCATTCTATGGCCGTTCATACACAACCCAAGGCTGTACAGAGCCTGGATGTGTGTATGCCTCTGGAGGTCTTCCGGGTCCATGCAGCAGGGAGTCAGGCATTCTTCTAAACAATGAAATTATGGATATTATCCATGACAGGAAATTGACACCAAAGCTATACAAAAAGGCCACAGTAGTCAAGGTTGTCACTTGGGACGATCAGTGGGTCTCTATGGATGATCGAGAGACCCTAGGACTGAAGGCTGATTTTGCTCGTGAGCAATGTCTCAGTGGGTTGATGGTCTGGGCGATCAGCCATGACACGTCAACGGCAGACTTCTCTAAAGACCTCGCCGCGGTGTCAAACCGCCAAGTGTTAATGCAACACGATATGATTGACTCCGACATTGTCACAGAAAGGACGAACCATCACCAATGCCGCTGGACCAACTGTGGAGAGAGTTGCCCCGCAGGATGGAAAATGATCAAGCGGGCAGACGATTGGAAGACAGGGGATCCAGAATACATGATGGATGATACGCATTGTTACGGTTATGGTTCGCGTTCCTGGTGCTGTCCCCCTGAATATAAACTTCCAAAATGTGGCTGGTATAATTTCGAGAAAGGCAATTGTGTGCCTGGATGTGAGAGTGGAATGGTCGAGATTGGCTCAACAACAAACGGATGCAAAAAGGACGGTCAATACCAGTCGGCATGTTGCTCAGTGGAAGACGATAGTGGAAAGGAGCTGAGCAGCATGGCGGTTTACAACACCTGTGAATGGTCAAAGGAGCACCCCCGATGCGACGATGGCAAGTGTTCTGGATTAAAAAGCACAATCCTTGGACAGTCTGGCCAAGGTAGCGGTGATGCCTACTGTTATGTTGGGGACGTCTCGGGAAAGCACTGGCCAAAAAAGCAGAAAACCTTGCAGAAATACTGCTGCAACACAGAATCCAAGACCAAACGCTTCGAGAACTGCGAATGGCGGAATGATGTGGGTTGGCTTAGGGCTGACCAGATGTGCCGATCTGGATGTGGCACAAACCAGGTACGTGTGGCGATGGATGGCTACAACGAAGGCTGCTACCAGCACGGTGCAAGAGCATACTGCTGTGATGCAGTCAGTTATACGGAGACTGAACGCATGTCCGACGACCTACAAGAATTTGAAGATGCACTTATTGACTGGATGACCAACGTGGAATGTGCGAACAATTACCCTCACACACCAACCAAGGCTTTACGTATCCGCGAGGACAAATGCGAGGTCATTGCCTCACATATACTTGTTGCCCACCTGGTTGAGATCTTTACGGGTTATTCAGGTCAAACTGACCACTGGGATCGCCTGGTCGGTATTTGGAACAAAGCCATAAGCTCCCAGTTCGAGAATTTGAAGGCTGGCACCATGCTTCCGTTCATTTTCTCAAATACCTCATTTCCAGAGCTCCTCCGAGACGGATATAAACAAACCGCCATATATATCTTGCAAATTCCGGAGACGTATAACAAGCTATTTGGCAACAAGGATACAACACTATCATGCGAACGGAACTTGTGCGACTATGATGATGGATTTTGTGATGAGACCGACGGCGACACCGACGACGATGTGCTTACCCGACGTGATCCCCAATGGCAAGAGGTATGTCAATTACCCTCCGATGCGCAATTCCAACTGATTTTCAATAGCAAAATGGACCTGCCCTGCAAAAGCGTGCCAATGCAAAACAATTGGTGTTCAAATGCGCAGGTAAAATTGGTGAAAGGATCCTAGAATACACAAGATTCGCCTATCCCGGGACGAAGGACTGGTTACAACTCAGAGCCAAAAAGAAGGATCCCAAAAAACAGAGCGTTGTCGATAATACTGTTGTCAATAACGACCCGGTTGATTGCGCGGATACTGATGTGCTTGAACGACAAGCGACAGCTGAAGAACTCACCCCCGGAACAGAGACTATGGTCAACAGTGAGTACTCACCCTACGGAGTCCAAGTTCACGGCTAAGATTTACTAGCAGATCATGTCGTGGAGTCTAAATTGATTAAAAAGTTTATGGCATGGGCTATTCTGGCTGGGAACTGTGATATTGATTGCGACTTCATTGTCGACTTCTTGGGTGGCGATAATATCCCCGCGAATGCACCCAAAACCCCAGGCAATAATCTGATCCTCCGAAAGCCCATAGATCGGATTATGGAGCAACTTGGAAGCAAAACCAACTTCGACGTGTTCCGGCTAATGAGTCAAAGCTTGAACAAACTAAAAGGCGATGTAGGTGTTCTGATACACCAGTCTATAATATTATACTGACTGACTGCTAGCTCTGGAGTTATGATTCGCCACAAAACACCTTCATTGGGAATGGAGTGTGGGCGACAGCTTTGGCCAACTCAGACCCTGAGAAGGCCTTGACCACGTTGCGAGACGTAAGTTCACATTTGATTCCTTTCCACTGATGAATTGTGGCTTACTTGCTACAGGTAATTGCGGTTTATAATTATCAAAATTTGGAAAAAGTCTGGGAACGATTCAAAATAGTATACGACGGCATTCGTTCCAAGTTGGATCTCGCCGCCGCCGCATACAAAGATCAAGAGAGTAAATCAGTCGACCTTGGGTCCTGCTGGGATCGCTTTTTTGAAATGGAGAAGAACCAGATGGTAAAATTTGGAAAGGATTTCATCCTGCAAGGACTACAAGACTTGGCCGCTCGCTGGGTTGAAGATCCGAGCAAAGACGACAAGTACCAACAGACGGCCCAGATGGTTAAGCAAGTCCTGGCGGTATTGTGTGAGAAGGTCAATCAGATCTATATGCCTGATTTTGCTCCAGATTATAGCCCAGGGTGGGAGTGATGGTAATAAGGGGGGCATCGATGTTGATGACAATGAATTCATTTTGACCATCTTAACATCAGGCAGAAGCTGTCACATTGCCCGGTGTTCAATTCCACATATTTCAAGATCTATTACTGGTTCCCTTTGAACTCAAGCTCAGTAATTCTAGCTGTCCTCTCCACATCGGGAAGCCGACCTGGAGAAGACAGGAACAGTTGCTTCCTTTCGAGCCGAAGTGAGCGGCCATCAACATAAGGCACATAATTAGGATCATCCATACCCCAGGAACCCCAGTCCTGCTCAGTCATCAGATTTTCACAATTGTGGCAGAAGCTAAACAAACAATCCAGGTGAATCCGCACCAATCCAAAGTAGTACTCGCCATCATCCTCTCCCCGCTCTTCAAGGACAAAAGCACCGTCGAGAACGTTAACATAACCGACCATCCCCCCTAGTTCATGGTGTGAAAAAGTGTCAGGGTGTAAAGCAGTTGGTCTTAACGGCTCCGCGCTAGCTAGAATTGACCGCACAGAGCGCTCATCCAACAAAAGAGGATAATTGAGGCGAGGAAGGGCGCTGGTCACACAAAGGCCATGGTCATCGACCCATTGTCTATGTCGACGTTGAATAGCGTCTTCTGAAGCCCCCTCTAAGGTAGGATCCTCAAATATAACATTCCGATATCCTTCGCGGATCAGTTCAATATGTGTATTCCCATATCTGGACCACATAGACTCGTAAAACTCAAGGCTAGCCAAACAGGCCTGGTCGAGCTTCTCAATAGCTCTCGCGCAGTCTTCATCGGATATGTTTGCATAGCAGGTACGATAGATCGCCCAGCCCCATGGCCATCCTCCAGATTGGGAGTGATAGCTTAAGAAATATGGTATGGACTTCCACTCTGGGTTTGCAAGTTGTCGGTTGTATCGCTCGATGAAGGTTTCTTCGGGTGGAAACTCAGATGAAGATGAACGCCATGGTGTAGACCATTCTTTGGCGTGAAAAATACTGGGTTGGTGTGGATTCCAAGGCATGGTTCCTACGTAAGTAGATGCAGTTGAGAACCTCTAGGGGCCTGTTCTTTTCTCGCTTAGCCTGTAATTCTCGCAGAAAGTTAGGCCACTACGCCTAAGTGATGACATAAAATGTATTTCACCAGTCGGCTAAAATATCATAGCAACAATCAGAACGTCTGGTTGTGGCTGCAGTGGTGCACAACATATAAACTAGTTACTTGCTAACAACCGCTCGGGTCCACCAACCCCCTACGCCAGTGCCAGTGCGGTCCGACTTTTGCCGTAAATTTTGTGGCTCACCGCCGGATCTTGCTCATGTAACTTTTATAAGATATTAAGGGAAAGGAAACTAGGGCAAGAAAATATTTACTTAAGAACTAATCTAGGTATAATCCAAGCTATACTCATCAGGAAGCCCGTTATAAACGTCTACTTGAAGCTCTGTTCCTCCTCAATAGCACGGTTGATAACGCGAACAAAGCGACCAACCTTGTCAGAATCCTGTTTGGCCGTTTCAATGCCCAGGAGGACCTTCTTGATGCCGACGCTCAAGCGCCCGTCATCGGCAAGCCCACCGACTGATTCGAGGGTTTGCGCGATCTCCTGCGCATCAAAGACACCAGACTTCTCCATGACAAACCGCAGTTCACCAAAGGAGCTAACGTTGGGAACCATGATGTCCGAGTTGAAGGAGTTGTAGATGTCCAACTGCTTCATCAAAGCACGCTCAGTTGTCGTGGCCAGAACCAACAGACGACGTCCGTGAGTTGGCTGTTTCCTGAGGAAGACCATGAGAGCTTGCAGCACGCTGTTGCTGAAGCGGGGACCAATCGGCACCCAGTCGATGATTCGCTCGATGTTGTCGATGACAACGATACTTGTGGCACTCTTGTAGGCGCTGTCAAAGATTCGGCTGATGTGTGCGATCTTTGCTGGCTCGCTAAAGCCAACCATGTCTTCGGGGCTAATCAACTTGATGAAGGGGAAACCGGAGTCGATAGCAATCCGTGCCGCGAGGGCGGTTTTACCGCTGCTAGGGGGGCCGTGAAGCAGTACAGAGAAAAGCGGCGTTGACTCGGCCACTCCGACTTGCTTGACGAATAATTCGCCTTCACGCAAGATCTCGCTGATGGTTGGAGAGTAGTGAATAACACCGTAAGGAATGCGGCTGGCCAGCTCTTCCTCGGACACACCAAAGGCAGGCTTGACTTCATCAAGGGATTGAAGGAAATCGGCCCGGTTGACTTTCATGTTTACCACGTCGTCATTGATACTAGCCATAGTACCGACTTTGACATGGCGGGAGAAAGCAAAGGACGAGGCAGACTTGACCAGACCTGCGATCTCAGCACCAGAAAAGTTCTTGGTCAGATGGGCAAGCTCAGCCAAGTCAACATCCGTATCCATGACATTGTTGTTTCGCATCTTCTCGGTGTGAATGTTGAGAATCTGGCTTCGACCATGCTCGTCAGGGAGAGAGATCTCCATGTGTACCTCCAAACGACCGGGACGCAGCAAAGCCTCATCAATCATATCCATTCGGTTGGTCATACCGATCAACAAGATGTTGTTCAGTTGGTCGACACCATCAAGTTTCGAAAGAAGCTGGTTAACCACGCTATCACCGACACCGGTACCACCGCCTGAGCTACCACGCTGCTTGCACACCGCGTCCAGCTCATCGAAGATGATGATATGGAGACCACTCTCGTCACCCTTTTCTTTATATTCCTTCTCGGCATCCGCAAACATCTTTCGGATATTTTCTTCCGACTGGCCCACGTACTTGTTCAGAACTTCTGGACCGTTGATGATCTTGGGCTCTCTAGCATTGAGCATCTTTCCGATTTGCCGAGCAATGAGAGTTTTACCCGTTCCTGGAGGTCCATAAAGCAAGAGACCCTTGACGTGCTGAATACCAAGTTTCTCAACCAAACCAGGTGGGAAAATTCGGGAGGCGAAAGCACGACGGAAGATCGTGCTGAACTCAGCGTCTAAACCACCGATACCCATATCCTGGAACTTAAAGCCAGGTTGAATGATAGAATTGGCCGCAGGGCGACGGTTAGATGGCTTCACGTTGATACCGGTCTGAGTATCCTTAAAGAAGTTGAGCTGAGTGTGCCGTGTGAGAATACCCCTGGCCGTAGGGTCGGTCTCGACTTCTCCAGAACTGAGATCAGGCTTCTCTGATGTCAAATCAACTCGCTGCACGGTCTTAACCTGCAGTAAGAGCGGGATACTCTTATTATCCATCAAAATCCTCTGGCCAGGCGAGAACAGTTGATTTTCAAAGTTCTGGGACCTGTTAGCACGTAATAACGACTGGAACAAAGTCGACTCACCCTGATCACTGCCTGTGCCAATTCATCCTGATCATAAGGAGTTTCAACCCGCTTCTTGGTAGACGCGAAGCTGACTTCAACATCCGCGGAGCCTAAGTAGGCCTGTCCGCCTTGGCTAAACGGATCGTACAGCTGCACTTTGATCGCATCTCTCAATCCGATGTTGGCCCACGTTCGCTGAGGGTCCGACATGCTCATATAACCGGAAGGGAAACCATCAAGGGGTCGAGCAGAGAAGACGAAGAGGTCATTAATAAGGAGGAGGACGTCGGTGCCATCTCGTGAGGGTGGGATGTCCTGCGGCGAAACAGCGACGCTGCTGTGTATTAGCCCCCGAGAATAAAATATAGTCAGAGAATACTCACAGATTTCCAAATGTATAGTTATCGTTGGGACTCTTGCTTGGGTGAAGAGTCCAAGTCTGGCCTCCACCTCTTTGTCCGGACTGCATCCTAGAAGACATATGTTGCTGCGGCGGCGGTCTTCCTCCTGGTGGAGGTGGGCCCCCATAACCCCTGAAATCATTATATACGTCAGCAATCGGTACGTCGCTATGGTGGATAGGAGCTTCACAGCCTGCACTGGCGAGGAGGGGCGATCGGTATCATACCGTGGGGGTGCTTGGTTGGGGTTCGAGTAACCCTGCGGGGAGGGTTGCGCGCTGGAGCTGAACGGATTGCTGCGGCCAAACATGATGAGCCGTTTGATCGTCACTGATCACAGAGATTGAGTTGAGAATTGTTGGGGCTGTTGTCTTAGCGACACTGTGTCGGTAAAGGAACAGGCAACTATGCCAGTCGACACTGCAGCACAGGTGACGTGATGTCAATTCTCAAAGGTGTATATCCAGGGGTTTTCTGGATATAGTAATATCCAAAGCAAGGCAAATATGAAGGAAGAGAAGAAAGTTGGAGCCTTAAAGCTGTCGACGGGGCATTTGGCCACCCCCGGGAACAGCGTCGGGCGGTGGGGACGTCATTATCGATAAGACCAGTTCTTTGCTATCGAGCCTCAACCTGCAAGCAAGGATCAATCAGTTTCCAATATGCCTCTGTAAGTGGAGTTTTCATTTTAATCTATAATAACGGCGAAAACCGCTAACTCTGTAATAGCCATCTTCTAGGCAAGAAGTCATGGAACGTCTACAACGCCAATAATATCGCCCGCGTCAGGCGCGACGAGGCGCAAGCAAAAGCCCGCGAGGAAGAAGATGAACGTGTTATGCAACAGGCCGATGCCGAACGCAGGATTAAAATTCTTCGCGGTGAGCGTCCCCCTACGCCTCCACCAGCGCCCTCCCTTTTGTCATCTGAACCTGGGGTGGTTCGATCAGACAGAAGTTCCAGCGACGCTGGAGGATTTCGTAAAAGAAGGCGGGTTGCCGGGGAAGACGATACGGATCGAGATATACGCTACGCTCGGGAGGATGCGGCGCAAGCAGCTGCTAAGCGGGAAGAGTTGATTCTCGCCTCTCGCAAGGCTGATTCGGCACAAGCACCAATTCTAGACGAGGCCGGCCATATCAACCTGTTCCCAGCCACGAATGCTAAAACGGAGAAAAACCGGGAAGCAGAGGCTGAAGCAGCACGGAAGAAACGCAGCTATGAAGACCAATATACAATGAGGTTCTCGAACGCAGCAGGCTTCAAGGAGACTATTGGTCGGAAACCGTGGTATTCCTCTGCAGAGCAAAATGCAACAGCGCCAGGGTCAATGCCCGAGAAAGACGTGTGGGGTAATGAGGATCCAAGACGCAAAGAAAGGACACAGGCTCGTATGAGCGCGAATGACCCTCTTTTGGCCATCAAGCGAGGTGTGCGTCAGTTGAAAACAACAGAACAGGAAAGGAAGCGGTGGAACGATGAAAAGAGAAGAGAAATTGAACTTTTGAAAGCTGAGGAAGCACGGCAATCAAGCCGTCGGCGAAGGCGGTCCCCATCAGTGGACAGCCTCGATGGGTTCAGACTGGATGCGCCGGACAGAGAACGTGAGAAGGACCGAAAAAGTTCTGACAGACATCATCGTCGCCGTCGAGATCGAAGTCGAGACCGATCTCACCATCGCTCGCACCATCATTCCTCTCATCGCAGTCATCGTCATCGTCACGATGAACGCTCGGAGGCTTCCAGGCGGGTGTAAAACATTCTGAGGCAAAGAATCAACCCTTTAGGGTTGATTCTTGAATGTTCTATTTGTTCTACGAGATGACTCAAATTACGACAACGATACCCATTCCATAGCCTGTTCCTAAATGCAAATCATATTTTTATGTTCACTGGGTCAAATTAACGATACCCAGGTAATAGGTTACCGTCATTTTCTATGTAGGTGGTCATATCTCTTTTAATTCATCAAAAAAAGGTGTCAAAAGATCGCTCGATCCTATTGGAGGCTCCATAGCTGGACTCCCTTCTCATTCGCATCGGACTCCCACTGGACACTGATGTCCACTCCCCGAGAGCCCTTCTCGGTCTTCTCATAACCGATCTTGCCAGTGATAACCTGGCCCTTCTTCAAAGCCCGAGAACCCTGCTTAGCGCTGTCCTTGGCATGGTCAATGAGAAGGACAGTCTGCTGCCAATGGGTCTCGGTTCCATGAGGTCCAGTGGTGAACGAGACGATTCCCTTCTTTTGCATTTCTGAAGGGATGGCGTCCTCGGGTAGAACAGACTCTCTGGAGGGCATGAAGAAAATGTCGAACCAGATGATCCATCCATCCAATGCATCGACATCTTGGTTCAATGTGACCTGGAATTCCTTCAAGAACGACAGCTCCTCCACGGTGATGGTGTGCAGCGGAAGTGTCAAGAAAATCGGAGAATCTCCGACAACAGTCGTAGGCTGGTTGCTGCGAACCAAAGCCTCATCGTAGATCTTGTGAAGCATGCTGTCCATCTTGAAACCGTAGACATTATGCCAGAACGAGATGTGCGACGCGATGAAATCCGGGTCGGCATAAGGAGCAAGGCGCAAGGTAGCGTGCGAGGGAGCCATAAGACCATCAGGAGCGAGGTAACGATCTCTGGCGTAGATGACGGAATCAAACATGGCCTCGAAAAGGAGACCGTAACCCATCCATTCAGAGATGATGATGTCAACCTTTTCGACTGGCAAAGTAACCTCTTCGATCTTGCCACGGATACACCTAGGATGAAGTCAGTGCTATCTCTTTATTGGGGGATGGTTATGAGTCCTTACGTGATCACATCTCCAAGGCCATTGTCATGGATGATTTCCTTGGCTCGGTCAATGATATTGGAGTTGTCCACAGCAATGACCTTCTTTGCGCCAGCCTTGGCACAGAACATGGACAAAATACCAGTGCCACAGCCGACATCAAGAACAACCTTGTCCTTGAAAACGTGCTTATTCTCGTAGACGAAATCGCGGTAAGAGTCGGTACGGATAGTGTCCTTCAGCATAGATTCATGAATGGCTTTAGACTATGTTAGCATCCTATGCATAATCAGTTGAGTGAGGTATCCTACCGTTGTAAGCGTATGAGACGAAGTATCCATCCTCAGCATCCTGGTGTCTATCAATAGCCTTGGCCGAGGGCTGCGGGTTGGATTCGGCAAGCTTCTCATCCTCCTTCGACAATTGGTCATCCATTGACTGCTGTACAGCAATACGGTATTCAGAGAATTGGGTCTGCAACCGCTCCAAGTTCTCTTGGAGTTCGAGAACCTGTCGGTTTGTCTCAGTGCCGGCGATAGCGTCTTCGCCCTGCTCTTCGGCAAGGTCGTCCAAGCTATACAAGAGAGCGTCGTCCTCCAAAACGGGCTTGAGATAGACATCATCCTCGAATTTGGACTTAGAGGAAACATCTGGGGTATTATTTCCATTCTTCACTTCGGTACGGACGTAGTTGACCAACTTGATGTTGTCAAGGAAATCCAAATCTAGAGCAGAAAATAGTTAGCCACGATTGTTGAACCCTCGCAAGAGCAGAAGCTAAACGTACCAAGGTCCTTCTGGATCTTCAGCAGATCAAAATTGTACTTTTCCTTGCACTCCTTCAGCATTGAGCGCGCATCGGGGAAAACCTGGTCAGTGAAGAGGCCAACCACAGGCTGCGTCTCCTCATCGGCTTCGACGTCTTCCCAGCCCTCCTCGTTGCTAGAATCGGACGAATCCGATACTGAGTGTGAGTCAGGGAAACTCTCACCCACAGGTGGGTTCACGGCATTAGGAGCTGACATGACTTATAAAGGTCAATAACAATTTCAAACTGTTTTTGAACCGAGGGGGAGGGGCAGAAGATAACATTTTTTTGATACAAAAAAAAAATCCGTTATCGATTGCTGCCTCAGGCATAATGCCCCGTTGCCCCGCCCCGGTTTGTTTATTCGCAACTTGCAATACATCACATTTGCTTCCTGGACTCAATCTCGATTCTCCCGTTGGAATTATAACTTATCCCATGTTGCCTTATCTCTAGTTTCTTTCACAATTTGCCCCATATTCTCCCCATCTCACCATGGCTTTCTTTTTCGGTCGCGGCCGGTCGCGGCAACCTGCTGATATCGCCCGGACAACGAAGGAATTATTACAGAGGATTCATGACTCCCAAAATGCTCCCAAGGTTTGTTTGAGGACATCAAACATGTAGGGGACAATCCCATTAACGCATGCACTAGACCGAAGAAGAGCTGGCTAAGCAGCTTAGTCAAATGAAGGTCATAGTACAAGGAACACCAGGTTAGTTTCCTGGAAGTAACACCCAAGGCGCAATATCACGGAATTAACCCGATGCTCCTCTTCAGAGGTCTCAGCATCAGTGGATCAAGTCCATGCACTTCTACAAGCATTCCTTCACGAAGATCTACTCATTGATCTATCTAAGAGCATCCATTTGCTTCCCTTCGAAGCCAGAAAAGACACTCAGACCATCTTCTCCCATATCCTTCGATTCCGGCCTCATGGATATGGAGCCGAAAAAGATCCTCCCATCATCTCATACCTTGTCCACCATCGACCAGAAATCATTGTCGAGTTATGTCGTGGCTACATGCATAGTCAAAGCGCAATGCCATGTGGTGTCATTCTTCGAGAGGCATTGAGGTTCGACGTCATCGCCGCGATTATACTGTATGATCAATCCAATGAAGGAGAATCCGCCATACGACTATCAGGAGTGAAACCCAACGAACGGCAAAGGGGAAATGGTGTGTTCTGGAGATTTTTTGATTGGATTGACAAGAGCAATTTCGAAGTCAGCGCAGATGCGTTCACCACATTCAGGGTAAGGTCCAGAACAATGGCTATTAATGATAAGTATCTGACATATCTTTCACAGGAGATCTTGACCCACCATAAGAGCCTCGTGACCTCGTACCTCGGAATCAACTTTGAGCTATTCTTTCAGCGCTTCAATAGCATTTTGGTCTATTCAGACTCATATGTGACCAAGCGACAAAGTATCAAGCTTCTGGGAGAGATCCTATTGGACCGTGCGAACTACAGTGTGATGATGACATATGTGGACAGTGGAGAGAATCTCAAACTATGCATGAAACTGCTGCGGGACGACCGCAAGATGGTGCAGTACGAAGGGTTCCACGTTTTCAAAGTAAATCTACCCTCAAATAGCAAACCGATGAGGGCTCGCTCTGACAAGTGATTAGGTGTTTGTGGCCAACCCGACCAAGTCGCTGGCAGTGCAACAGATTCTGATCAATAACCGTGATCGACTATTGAGGTTTTTGCCTAAATTCTTAGAGGACCGAACGGATGACGATCAATTTATGGATGAGAAGAGCTTCCTAGTCCGTCAGATCGAACTCTTGCCCCCAGAGCCTGTAGAGCCTGCGGATCGGACTCGACCAACTCGCAACTCGCCATCAGCTCATACAGCTGCTGTGGCTTGAGCTGCATCCGACTCCTGGTTGCTACATTTGACCGTTTCACGCCCTTATGATGCTTTTTGTTTCATCATTGTTTCTAGCCGGGGTTTCGATTTTCCTTTTGACTACATTGAATGCATTGACAGCTGATGACTGGTTACTCAAGCCTCGGCTACAGGAGTTCCACGCGTGGATATTTGCGGGGCGTACAGGGGGGTGGTTTCAATTGTATCTACTCTTGTGTTGTTTATGTACTCCGTAGTTAGCTACCTAGGTAGACACGGATACAATTAAACGAGATTACCTTTCCACCCGTTGAACATTCTAACGGAGTAAGCACCTGGAAATTAGCGTACTCCACCATACTCCTTGTTCTCCGATCCACACGCGGCCCAAAGTGGGACATACCCCTTGATATCTATTTTGAGAGACCATATTGAAGTAGATGTAGTGACATCTAGAACTCCTAATGAAACGGTAAGGAGATATACAAGTTGTACATGTATATAGAATATAATTATGTATAGTTACATGTAATTACATGTATGAATGAATATTCGACTGGAATTTCTCTAAAACTTCAACTTTGGAGAACGCCAAGGCCGACCCAAAATAACTCCACTCCAGGTATCTTTCAATTTTAATGATTCTGTTCTGAACTTCCCTTGTGATTTTTCGATTTTCCCCTTGTCGCTCCTTTCTGCTTTGATCCAGGATTTTTCGCTTAATATCTTCCCCCCTCCTCCGCCCCCTGGCCTCCTACACTCCTTTCTTCACGCGGTTCTAGCCCACGCGCAGATTCGCAAGTCATGCCGGGATAATGGTGAATGAGGTTTCTGCATCGTTATCGCCCGACCGGTCGGAGTCCAATTCAATTCACGCCGTGTCATTTGGAACTACCGTTGACGGCCCTCTTCCAATCCAGTCGGCCTCGTTGCCCACATCCGATGCGCCAATAGCCCCCAATGGCCGATCTTTAAGCACAAGCGCTGCGTCCGGTCCGAGTAATAATGCATCCGCGCTTATGTTCTCCCGGCTGGCGCCATCTGTGTCCGTCGGAGATGAAACTCGAACAATTCGGTCCGAGGGTGCGCCCTCCTTGCGCAGCGTGCCCAGCATTGTCGTGAATGAACCAGGTGCTCGTCCCAGCTCGCGGCCTGGCTCAAGGCCGGGCTCTAGGCCGGGCTCTCGATGGTCAGAAAGAAAGTGGGGTGGGTTCAAGAAACGGTCACTCGATATGGAGAGGAAACTTAGCTCGGAAGAGGCTCCGCCAGTGCCTCAAATCGAGCACTCGTTCGCTGGTATCCCCTTAGATATACCGACAGCCTCTTTGGATGGCTTGGATAATTCACTGAAGTTTTCCCATCGCGGAAGTCTGATTAAGAGTCAGGCGACTCGTCCGCAACCTAAGCCACCTCAGGAGAAGCTTGAAGAGCACCCTGAGCAACTACCAGACCAACCGCCTCAGGAGCAACTTGAAGAGCACATCGAGAAACAGTCAGACCAACCGCCTCAGGAGAAGCCGAACGAGCACGTCGAGCCACAATCAGAACAACCGCGCCAGCAAAAGCTGGGGGAGGAGGAACCCCACCAAGAAATAGGCCAGCCAGCTCAGGAAATATTGGAAGAGAATTATAATCAACAGTTGGACCGCCAGATATCCCAAATTGCGCCGCTTCCTCCAACCATCAAGAGCGAGCCTGGAGGAGAAAAGGAAACACCGAAGGCTGTCCCACGGCAAGTTAAACCACGGGGCACTCTTCGCCCGAGACAAACTAGTCTTCCGAGCAGAGCAATTTCGGCAGACGAGGATATGTTGTCACGGCGAGTTCGGCTGATGTACGAGAAGGGCGATGACAATGTTACCGACTCCGAAGTCGCAAAAGCATTGGCCTCAGAACACGGAGTCTTATGGGAAGAGGGTGCGGTCCCAGATACCGAAACCTCTGAAACACTCACCCAGACGAATAATAATGGAAACAAAACAAAGCATAAGGCCTCTGTCGAAGTGGAGCGCGTCCGAATTAAGCGGGAAACCCAGGAGCTAGCAGGTGGTGCTGAATATTGGCAAAATATCGGCGCAGAACAAGTCGATCGTTATGGCTTTATTCGACCTGCAAAGAACTCCAAGGGCTCAGAAATCAACCCGCTGCAGCGAGTCACAACCAGTCTTCTGCTAGCATCTGAGGCACCTCGGCGGAAACGTTCAATTCGCCCACCAACCGCTCCCGCTAGCAACCGTTCCTTCAACGGTCCGTCTCTGGTCCGCAAAATATCCCAGAGTTCCCTAAGCGCCCGCCCATCCTCATCACAAAGCAATTATGGTCCGCCATTGCGCCGTACGACATCCCGGTTGCGTACAGCGACTAATCATCTGCCTCATAACCGAGACCGAAAAACCAAGGATGAGGCAGCAGACATGCTCACTTTGCCCACTCCATCTGCTGGTGAGAATGAAGATGCACCGATTACTCGCGCAATGCGAAGGAAGGAGTGGCAGCGTGAAGATAAGTGGACCAAGATGGCTAAGCCGACAAAGAAGTCCAAGGACGGCGGCGGTATGACCTTTGAGTTCGATACTCAGAGCTCAAAGTTGATTGAGCGAACTTGGAAGGGCATCCCAGATCGATGGCGGTCAACGGCCTGGTACTCATTCCTTGAAGCTAGCGCTCGGCGCCACAAGGGCAGCCCGCATGCGGATGAGCTCATCGAAGCCTACAATGAGCTGCAGTTCATCTCGTCACCGGACGATGTCCAAATTGATATCGATGTACCGCGGACTATCTCCAGTCATATTATGTTTCGGAGACGCTATCGTGGTGGCCAAAGACTATTGTTCCGTGTCCTCCACGCCATGTCACTATATTTCCCTGACACAGGCTACGTACAGGGAATGGCAACCCTTGCCGCTACATTACTGGCGTATTACGATGAGGAACATGCATTTATTATGCTCGTCCGATTGTGGCAGCTGCGAGGTCTGGAAGAGCTGTACAAGTGCGGCTTTGCTGGTTTAATGGAGGCCTTGGCCGACTTTGAACGGGAATGGCTCGCCGGAGGTGAAGTGGCCACAAAACTGGTCAGTCAATTTCGGTCGAAAACTGACGAGTGTATACTAACGCTTAATTTTGCAGAACGAAGTTGGAATCCCACCCACAGCCTATGGCACTCGCTGGTACCTCACCCTTTTTAATTACTCGATCCCCTTCCCGGCTCAGCTTCGGGTGTGGGATGTTTTCATGCTCCTTGGAGATGCGGAAGACAACACTCGTCCCGCAACTGCAGGAAAGAACAAAGCTCCCCCTGTTGATAACCCAAGGACATTTGGTCAAGGTCTTGACGTCTTGCATGCTTCATCTGCTGCCCTTATTGATGGCATGCGTGATATCATCCTCGAGTCCGACTTTGAGAATATCATGAAAGTCCTCACCAGCTGGGTTCCCATCAAAGACACCGAAATGTTTATGCGTGTCGCTAAAGCGGAATGGAAAGTCCATCGTCGCAGGAAAGCCTCTTAATTATTGTTTCTCTGGTCGATGCCTCGCACGATTGTCTTCAATCTTGTTTGGCTAATGTCTTCGCTGCCAAACTACCTTTACATCAATTGGCCCTATGGGTGTGCTATACCCTAATGATTGCCAGTCGCACCCTAGGGCCTGTCCCTAATGCCCTTCACTTTATACCCTTTCCGACGTTTCAGAGGGCGCTTATTTGTTGCGGCCCTGTTCTGATTACCCACCTTGCCTACGTTCCTTGCCTAATCTTTTATCTTGTTCTCCTGGATACTAATACTCCTGATGATCCTTGATTCCCTGTCCGGTTTGCCTTGGACGATTGATACCTATCCCATGCGTTGCGTCACACATTCTTTTTGGTTATTTCATTTTATCCTTACCTGTATTCAACACTCTTGTCGTCACCTGTTTGGTTCGAATCGGTCTGCGGTCTATTGTCATGCTATAATTGGACTGCCCGAGGCGACGTGAATCAACCCTATATAATCCATTCTTATACCCAATAAATCAATGGTTTCAGTTGGTCATGTCTCATCATAACTTCAGCTCTAGACTCAGAATTACGGTTTCAATACTCTCTTCTAGAACACTTTTGTAATGCCTTCTAAAAACAGTCTATAGATCTTTATCCAAGCAAACCCGTTCCACCTTTGGCGCCCAGATTTCCCTTGTCAACATAGTTCTCCTTCAACCAATCCACGACAGTGGTGTCCAGACCGCGTTGCTCAGTATACACAGTTTCAATATTGTACACAGTATCCAAACCAACAGTATCCATCATCAGACAAGGACCCTTCTCAGCCTTGAACCAACTCTTGAACATGTCATCAATGGTATGACCATCACTCACACCCTGAGCCATGACAAGCAAAACCTCCCGCTTAAGCGCCGCCCAAATCCGATTAAAGATCAATCCAGTAGACTCAACCTTAGCATGCACAGGCTTGAACCCAGCCTGCGCAGCCTTCTCCATCAAAAACGGAAAGATATTCGGATCCGTATGTCCACACGACATCACCTCGTAGTACGTCTGCTCCGGCGGCATGTAGTAGTGACCATTGCAGATACGGTAATTCTTCTCCGTCTTGACGATCATCTGGCTGCTCCGCAGCGACGACGAGTTGCTGGCAATTACGCAGTCCGGCGGGGCGAGTTTGTCGATTTCACCCATGAGGTCGATCTTCATATCCAGCTTCTCGGGGATGGCTTCGATGACCATCCAGGCGTTCGAGACGGCTTCCTCGAGCGAGGTGGTGGCTTTCAGCTCGGCGGGTGTCGTGTGTTGTTTGGCTGCTTGCTCGGCTTCGTGTTCTTGGACGTAGCCTACTGCGTTGCCGGTTACAGATGTTTTCTCGCAGAGGAGGACGGTGAAGCCGGAGGATATCCACATCATGCTGATTCTGCGGCCCATTACGCCGCCGCCGATTACGGCGATGGGGCGGGTGCTTGTGTCGGGTTTTGTCCACGGGCTTGACATTGTCTTTTGGGAATTGGGGATTCTGTAGATGGGAGGAGGAACTGCAGAAAACGCTCTTGAGTAATGGTCATTTTAGCCACTGGGTAGGTTGAGAGGGATATAGTGCTATGATGCTATGATGATTGAATGTCGGAGGTCTTCCCGGGATGATCCAATTCTGAGGGTTAAGGTGGCTGAGTGACTAACGAAGCTTATGCTTACTAGAGGAAGCTCCACTGTTTCAAGTGGACTAGTGGAATGGACGTATTCAGACAACTACCTACAACAGGACAACTCGCATACAATGAAAGAGGGCGGGGTTAAAAACCCCTCCTATCCATGTATTCCGTGGGATCTGTCAGTGACTACTGAACTCTTGGAGTTCAGTCACCAACTTATCATGACTCGCACGAGAACTGGCAGTTTGATTTGTATTCGGACCTTCGAAGGCCTCAACAACTTGGTGTTGATGTCTTTCGTGGACCACCCTCTGCGCTGGCTCAGTGGTCTACGGTGAGACAGGGAGGATTGGGGAGAGGAAGAAGAGAAGAGGAAGAAAGGTGGGAGGAATTATTTTATAGTCTCACGTCCCGCGTACCTTCCTAAAATGGATGGGTCCTTTGCTCTTGCCATTTTTATCTTTCAGGGTCACGGGGTCCAGCCCTTGGTATGTCAAAGTACATCATTGAACTATCCTTTGTTTTGATATGGCTATGACTGGGGTTCCAGCAATTCATTTGTCTTGAGAGTAAAGCCCGAACCCATTAACAACCTTAGAATTCGAGGTTTTGGCGTCGTCAATGACATGCGTTCCAACGAGCCAAGCATTCTAAATAAGAGCTCGATTACCATTTCAAGTACATGAACGACGACCTAACAAAGGGTGTCTTCAGTATTGTATACACGAATTTGATCACCCTTTTCTTTCCATCTGCTTGAGTCGATGTAGTTAGAAACGGCATAACGGTCTGCAACATGCATCCACAAACCAATCAGACCGAGCAATGGGTGTACTCGCTCGTCACTGATCACTTTTGTGCATCGTGTTGGTGATGAAAGATTGGGGAAGAGACGTAATGTGATTTGCTACCCAAAGCCTGCACTAAATGGGCACGATTTATAGATTAGTTAAGGCTATATTGGGAATAAGTTAAATCTTGGAAACTTACTTGATGAAGGGGCCTAGTAACTAGTCCGTACGTACCCAGTTCGTCCTATATAAGCCTTCATTTGTTGTCGAGTGCAATGCTGGCCTGTTTTCTTTCGTCAAGAAAGCAAACAACACTTGCTCACCAGAATCCTGGGAGCAGTCGATGCGGAGACGGGACTCAAAGCCACTTCGGGAGCCGGAATCACAGCGGCGGGAATTCTGAACTTCTTTCATGAGATAAAGGACGAAAGATAACTCGAAAATAACAAAGCGGTGAGTATATTGTAGGCACTGCTTGGTCTTTTCCAAAATCGGCGCCATGTGCAATCACGGCACCATGAATGAAGAAGTCCCGCAGCTTGTCCGCTGCCGCTGACACGCTCTACACCGGTGGATATTTAGTATCAATTCCAGTTGCAGACAAGCGGGCAATCACGTCAATAATGCCGAATAGCTTCAAGGATATACCGAACGTGTCGGTGATCTGATAATCGTAAAAGTCGCACGTCGTGAATCGTAGAACGGAGATACCGTGACACCGGCAAATATCCTGGGCGATCTGCTCTCATTTGGCTTGTATAAAGCATCGAGCCACGAAGGGCTTATGGCACATGGAAATCTGCTTGGGCTAGTCGTGACAAGAGAGGCGTAGGCAGCTCATACACCATGTTTGTTGCCGAAGACTTGGTACCGACAATTTCTTGCGGCGGTTCCTAGGGGAACCAGCAGCCATATCCCGAGGCATGATGAACCTTGGTGCAAGATACTGGACCAAAGTCAGTTCTGGACCGATCCGCTATGGATGCGATGATCACCTACCAAAAAGAGACACAAAGGATGCAAATGAGTGATGCGACTGCAAATCCGCACTAATCCGTGCAGGATGAAGATGAATCGCGAGAGGTTGTAAGTGAGAGCCATACGAGCAACGCATCAAAGGTCGGCACAAGGAGGCGATGTGTGCGATGAGGGAATACGACCTATTTGTTTAGGCGTTTGCTTGTGTGGCTATTTTGATGTTGGTTTCGTTGTTGGCACTAGCTAACGTCGGCTGGTACCGCACCAGGTTCCAAGGTTGGTTTGACGGACATTCCCGTGTCTGTGAGATTGGGTTTGGAACTAAAATCGGCGTCTTTGGAGAGTAATTCAAGAGTATCATTCGTCATCAGAGATACTTGCTCCTCAAAATACGAAGGGAAATTTGCAGATGACTTCAAATGAAGAAGTGGAAGGATACCCCTGTCCCCCTCTTTCACGCAGCTTGGAAATGATGAGTAGTCTGGCAATTGGGTGGCAGTAAAGAGCTGGCCCATGTGAATGCAGTAGTCGTAGAGTGTATTCCTCCAATAAAACACCCTGCAAGAGCTGACCCTCCGTCTCCGGCAACAAATTAGCCCGGCTAGCTCAATTGGAAGAGCGTGTGACTTTGTAAGCCGTCTCCACCTCTGGAGCTCCTTGAATTCAACTAACAACTTCCGTAGTATCTCCAGATTTGAAATCACAAGGTTCGGGGATCGAACCCCCGGTCGGGCAGTTAATTGAACTGCCTTCTTTTTTTTTTCTTAGCTTGGCGCATCCACATCCCCCTGTAGGAGATCAGCACCAGCGACGACGGATAGCTCTATGCCAAGGACAACTTGAACCTGCTGCTCTTCACCGGAAGGAACATGTCGTGTGCTGAAGGACCTTTAGATGTTCAGGAATGGCGCTCGGTATAAGAGATTGACTGATGGCTGATGAAAAGACGTAGAAACAAATTCACGATCCTCAATGAGGACGGACCGAACCCGTGTCGGGCTCTCCGTAGAAAACTGACTTTAGACATCACTAGTCCAGTTAGTCCAGTTGGTGGTTATTATAATGTTATTGGAGCTTTACCACTTCACTCACATGTGGGGAAAGGTTGGAGAAGACCGACCTCAGCAGAGGTCCAAATAGCCCACAAAGTATGCGAGAATATAATAATCATATTGCATGTCTTCTCGGACAGATTTGCCGCATATGTTGGGTCTTTTTTGAATTGCTTTTCGCATTGTGTGTCCGCTAGGTTGGCCTTGGACCTAGTCACCCATCGAATCCTGCAAGGCGTGGTGGGAAATAGAACCTTGGCGCCATCGTTAAACCGCTCCGTCTTTCGATCACACATGTTGGCTAGGCATGATGGGACCGTCACCGCTTGTCACAATAGGGAATAAGGTCGTTCTGCCACCCTGGCGAAGATGAATTCGGTGTAGATCTGCGCCTTGACGTAGATCGGGTACTCATTCGAGTGTCGTAGGGTCATCGGGGGCTAGAGCTGGCTATGCCATACCGCTCTAGACTTCCGGGTCTCTGAGTCGATATTCTCTAGATCTAGAGAGCGATATCTGCCGGGTTGGACGTGGTGAGGTGACGGGTGCTCCAAACAACATTTGAAGTGTCGAAAATGTCTGAAAATCAGAGAGCTGGAGTGGTTGACAGAAGGAAAGAACGATCTGTGCCAAATATATTAGAAGGTACGTATAGGTAGGTCGTATGGGTATGAAAGGCGTGCCTGCTATATATAAAGCTAGCTTTAGAGAGCTGATCTAGAGGAGTTGGCTTGGAAGGGAGATTGGTATGTTATATATCTTTATCTCTCAGTTTTTTCACTGCCAATTCAGAGCCCTGATGAGCTTCTCAATTGTGTGTGAGCCCTGAGGGTGTTTATTGTGGCATAAACCGTGCTGTTTGCTACACTGTTTGCTAGTTTGCCAGTTTGTTTGCTGTTTTAGAGGGGCATTAATACCTTGTTCTTTCATAGATCTTTCAATACAGTTCCTTCTTCCTTCAATGCTATATTTTAGTTGATCAAGGCCAATATAAAGACCAATTCTAGCCCTGCTACTATAAGATCTGAAACTCGGGAAAGAGGTTTGCATGTAGAAGTTGAGAGATGTCTACATCAGGGGAGCACCCAAAGAAGCATGAAACGTAGTCAGACATAATCCCCGGTCTTCAACCTCTAACATCTAATCATGAGCTCTCACACTTACTTCAAAGCATGTACCTGAATAAAGGAGACCGATCGCCCAGCGAGTCAGGATTCTCGGGATACTCCGAAGGATCCATAGCATCCCGCTTCCGGTTAATACGCTGGTAGGTCACACGCAGAAGGACAGCCGCTGCCATGCCCACGACAACGAAAGCAAGTTCAAGGGAGTGGCCGAGGATGTAATTCGGCGCATCTTGAGCACGGTAGAAGTTTGACGACATAGCTGTCAAGTAAGAATCATTAGTTTGAATCTCAGGTCCCCAATTAATGCACTTACCTCCTGCCAGGTTTCCCAGTCCAATGTAAATAGCCATGCCGGCGGCTCGCTTGTAGTCGCCTGCCATATTGACACTGAGCCATGTGACATTTCCAGGGAATGCTGGATAGATTCCTTGTATTTGTGTTAGTTGGGGTACATACTTGTAGCTTAGATGTACTTACCGACGACGGCGACGAAGATACCGAAGTACATAACACCTGGGACTCCGCGACCAGTAGATGCTAGACAGATAATAAAGCCGATGCCGATCATGCCCATGAAGAAGAGAATGAACGGGGATCGCTCCTTGCGTCTGTCTGATATCCATGCTGCAATAACAGCTACAATTGCAGCAGTGATATAAATCGGTACCTAATATGATGTCAATCTTCGATTCAATATTGAAGTAGCATAGAGAGCTTACAGTGAGAAGCTGGGCAGTCGAGGATTTATAGCCTAGATCCTTGATGATCGAGGGAAGGAAAAGAGAAATGCCGTATAGCGGACAGGTGATACCCCAGTACACTTTGCAGAGGTCAGTAAATGGCACATTGACCCAGAAACAAAAAGAACGTACTGAATAGACCCAGCCACATTTGCCAGTCAGTGAAGGCCTCAATGACATAGCGCATTTCGAACTTATCATTCGTTTGATCAATTTCGCGCGAGTCTACGGAGTTTTGAATCCGCAAACTGTGGATCACAAATCGACGCTCTTCTTCGGTTAAAAATGAGGCAGTTTCCGGGGAGTCGTGAATGGCAAATGGGGCTACCAGTGCCACAAGGACGGTAAGAAGACCTTCAAGAATGAAAATCCATCTCCAACCAGCATATCCACCCACGCCGTCCATTTTCTAGAGATTTGGGAATGCATTAGTAAAGTTTTCACTGCCGCCGGCGAGCAGAGCACCTACAGCGATACCGAATGCAAGAAGCCCAGAGAATGCACCCGCAACACTTGCGGCGCTGAAGAAGAGAGCCTGTCTGAATTGTGCTCGGTGACGTGGATACCAGAGTGTAATGTAGTATGCGACACCAGGGTACAAACCAGCTTCTATTTTGTTTCATTGTATCGTTAGTCTTGACGAGAACATGGTGCAGGTTGGGAGATAACATACCTGCGACACCCAAAAACAGACGAGTTGCAAGCAACCCAGCGTAATTATGGACAACTCCCATCAGGGTCTGTGCAATCATTCTGTTATTAAATGCTTGGGACGACTCTCAAATAACGCGCGCGCTCACCATAACAATTCCCCAAGCGATCATAATCAAGGGAAGCCATCTCGAGGGTCTTAGCTTTTTCAGAAGCAGATTGCTCGGCAATTCGAAGACGCAGTATGTAAAGAAGAAGACGGTCACTGCCCACGAATATATGTCAATTGGCCATTCGTTTCTGAAAACCAGCGAAGGGATGCATCATACAAGTCCAATTATATTGCGGTCCCGTCATATGGAGATCGTCAACAAGCCCCTCTATCTTCGCATTGCCGATATTCCCGCGGTCCAAGAAGGCCAGCAGATATAACATGCTCAGCATGGGAATGAGACGAATGTCCATCTTCCGGAGGACAGCATTTTCATCAACTCCCTGGAAAGTCGGTGAGCCGAGGCTGGAAGCTTCCGCATCTACGACTACCCCATCTTGCTTGAGATCGGTGCTGTATGGGGAATCTTGGGCGGGTGTATCGAATTGGTGTGAGGAGGTCTTCTCCGGGTTGCCACTTACATCAACCATGGTGGGCAAAGAGAAATGAGAGAAGAAAAGGGACAATAATCAGGGCGGTCATCATTCCGCGAGTATTTATACTTATCCCTTGAAAAAGGAATAGCGTAACCCGGGGTAAGTCCGAAAGCCTGGGGAGATCCCTTGGCATGAGGGGTATTCCGTATTTGGGATATATCAATCCTCGGTTATTTGACTTTGAAAGGATCCTTGGATTTAGTAGTGGCAAGTTGTTAATGCCGCCGGCACTTTTGCCATGTCTTGTAAGGCCCGAAATAGCTCATAGTTATATCAAGAAATAACTACATATATGTATGTCAGTATGAGTACAATTAGTATACCCAGTACTGTTTCTCCCGCTTACTTACGGCACAACCATGCATTACTTTTTTTTTTTTTTTATTTGATCCACACACGATATCATATCGGAGAGAAGCCCGTTTGTATTATCCTTTGATTGATTTCAAAGCAGTTGACATGGATTCTATCCATGGATGGGTCCTTATAAAGTTGGGGTACATTAACCTTAAACAAAGTTCAGATTAAAGTAAACAAAAATACCGCAATATGGACCAACCACTCTCCTCTAAACCACAGGGGTGATGTCCATACAACAACTCCAGCAATTCGGTTGGGCACCAGGTTCAATATTGCATCCAATATTAATAACACCAAACTCCCTGTGTGTGTACCACTCGAGAAGAGGGCTGGTAAAATTGATGGGGGAGCATGTATTCGTATTGGAAGGGCTCTATGGATTGTGAGTGTGACAAGTAGTCTCGAGGATTAGAATTACATAGACAATACTAAATTTACATACTCCATCAGGAGGCGAGCAGGCGAAAGCAGCGGGCCAGCAACCCTGGTTACAAAGCCTGTAGTTTGCCCCCGAAGGAACGGGTTCAAATGCCGGGATCACAAAGTTTATGGTGGTGTTGCTTGTGGGTAGGGCTTGGGTTTGTGAAAAGATCAAGGCTAAGACTGATGAGATGGTAAGATGCATTGTCTTTGGGAAGGGAGAGTCTCTGAAGTTGAAGTCAATCTCAGCCCCAGTGTGTAGCTCAAATATTGGGAAATTGAGTCCAAAATGTCCATGGGTCGCAGCTTGCGGTCCTTATTTATGGTCAAGTCTACCTAGTCGGTTAGCTACCGCTGTGCCACTGGAGAATTGTTCAACCTTAGGGTATACCATTGTCACTCACGTGGAACCTATTGAGGTCTTGAGTTGGATACTTGACCCTTAGGATATATGTAGAAGATACTTATTGTCCAAATAGAGGAAAGGATGTTGAATGAGGTCAATAGCTACACAATATATCAATCCTAGACATATATATATGTGCAACGATTTGGGGCCAGTGGGTCTGTCATGATTTAGATGGCTCATAATCCTTCACCGGCTTGTCAGACCGTTGCTATTACTGAGATTTTATTTATTTGCCATCGACCTACTAGATGATCAGGCTTTTTTTCTCCCGACTACGGTCTACAGAGACGGTCTACAGAGACCTCGGGAGTCAACCTTTCTTGCTTGCTTCGTATCGAACCAACAGTGTTCTCTCCTCTCCTTCACCGTATACACCCGAAAAAAAGCAACCTTAGGAAATGTTACAGTCAGATGCCCAAGCCAAGATGTTGCGAGCGGGTAAGTGCCTTTTTGCTTATTTGTGGATCAAAGCTTAGTTGATGGTTACCAGGTTCTTTCATGAATTCCAAAAATAGACTGTAAGTCTGTTATATATTGAAACAGGAAATATCGGCCTGACTATATTGGGGCCTTGGTTTCTTTGCAAGGTCAATGATATTGACGATTGGCGTCTGCCTAGTGATAGGGGTTGACTTGGCTCATAGACAACCTCAGAATGATCTTATCACACACCACAGGACTTGGAACGTTGCAAGATTTGGAAAACTGTGCAACTGGTTGATCATATCCTCAGTTCTTTAATTCACTTTGTACTTTGGAATCGTTCAACATTGATCGTTGCTGCCCGTTTTGTTTGTTTCGATTCTTTGACCGCCCTGGGTAATCAACCGCGTGTACTCTTTGCCGGACCCTCTGACACCTCAGATCATCCGCGCATCCTCCAACTTTGATCTTCGGCTCTTATTTTCCCCAGATTCTGTTTTGCTAGCCCACCATGACGCTGGCCGAGGAACTCCGATCGCGAAATTTCAGTAGGTTCCCGGATTCCGCAACGTCCATGTCGCAATCTGCTAACCTTGCTGGCCTTTTCTAGGTATCTATGGACAATGGTTAGTCTACTCTGTTGCCTTCCAACACCCTGTACTTCTACAAGCATGAATAATGCCATAAGAGAGCACTGAGCGCTTTGATTGAAAGCTCAAATAGTGTTTGCTACCTCCTGTGGTCGCCTCTCAATGGCCCTCCCGAAAATCAGTTTCGCATATTGAAGGGATCAGTCTAACAAAACATCTAGGACTGGTGTGCTGTGTATTATCCTTTGCCTTGCGCTAGGAATTGCGAACATCTTCTCGTTCAACGTGGTTCTGATTATCATCAGTATCATCAGCATGTGAGTCGCATTCATTTCCCATTGATTCATTGCGAAAGCTAACCCATTTCAGTGCCTCGGCATTCATCATTCTCTTCATTGAAGTGCCATTCCTCCTCCGAATTTGTCCCACATCCTCTAAATTTGACTCCTTTATCCGCCGCTTTACAACCAACCCGATGCGCGCTCTCATCTACGCCGTCCTTGGTGGTGTCCAACTTGTCAGTCTTGCCGAACGCGCTTCTAGCTTGATTGCTGGCGCCGTCTTCCTACTCATCGCGGCTGTGTTCTACGCACTTGCAGCCGTGACCAAGCAAGAATTTGTTGGTAGCAAGACCCTTGGTGGCCAGGGAGTTGCACAGATGATTGTTTGATGGCATGACGTTCACGCCAAGCCGTTCCTGCCTTGTTCTATACCAGCTGGACCCATTTTTGGGATTAATACTGGTGATTGGAGGGTTGTGCGACACGATGAAATGCTCGATGCAGATAGCGCAAAGATGAAATGCCGTCCGGGAAGCATGCATTGGGATGCGCTATGAAATAGTTTTGTGTTTTTATTGCCTTGTACTTGTATGTCTTGGTTCAGGATGACCCTGCTGGACATGTCTGTTTTCAAAGTCGATGAGCGTTCCTATAGCAGATATATCTGTGCTTTCCTTTCATTTTGTGGACTGTGTCCACCAGAATAGGTGTTCTGATTACTATCATAAAGAGTGTATTCATTGACCAACCTTGTTCAACCATAATATCAGACTAGACTGTGTAATCAAGCTATATGCTGTAGACCTGGTGAAATGGAAGCTCCTCAGATCTCAGGCTCAGGCATCGACTCTGACACTTGGAGGCAACAACAACCAGGCATATTAGATGTAGCTTCTCGTCATGTGGTTGATCCTTAGCCCAAGACTGATATATAGGTGTGATATATATATATATGGTTGGAAGTGCATCCATACCCGCTTAGCCCTGAAAGAGTTCCACCAATAGGACTAGATGGGAACAAATGTATCTAGGTTACGATGTATTTATTGAAACTACATGCCTTGAATTGCTTTGTATGTTATACATCGTATACATATGCACTCTATGTGTTGCCAATCTGGTAATTTGTAGGTTGACAACCTCGGAACTTGTCCAGCGGGGCTGGGCAGCAGTCCAGCTTACCCTGTACAAGACAAGCCATATTCTGAAACTATGGACAGCCAGGAACGTGGCGCAAATGGTGGAATAGACCTTAGAATTTTGGTCACAGGTCATGTTACCCCGCAAATTCTGTCAGCCCTGGTGATCAATATGTGGCGGGTATTCTCGGTTAGAGTGGATCTTAATGTTGGAGAAAGCAGTGTATATTACTCAGTTGGAGGAATTTCATAGTTAAAAAGCAATTTTTATCAGAGAATAAGAGTCCACAGAGTAGGATAAATGTGGAAATCGATCTCTTATATTGTGAAGTGAACGATGTCGAGTAAAGTAGTATAGATACCGATGATGCAATGCGGAGAACTGCTGTTCACCGCCTCGGTCTGGCTAGCCAATCCAACCCTAAGGAAATTGTCTTATCGGTTTTGAAGTAAAAATTCAGTACACTCCGATATCAAGGTCTAGACTACATACTCACCATATACGGAACTAGATATTTTTAGATATGTGTAATATAGGGGATCGTGAATAAGTACAGTTTGACCTTGGACTAAACGGTCTAACTCTGTACAACATACTGCAATGCTACAGAAATGAGGTATTATTTCATTCCCACATATGCAATTTTGACCACTGTTATGAGCCATTTGCAGGAGTAAAAGTAAAAAATGCCTAAAAAATGCCTCAAGATCGAAAATCAAGACCCTATACTGATCTCATCAGCGGGGCATTGACTGTAATAGATCGCTGTAGTTGGCTCCTATATAACCTGTAATGATACAGTATTATAATACCATTATCTCTTGCGGTCAGAGCACGTCAGGCCCAGGTGGCAGAAAGAGCATACATCATCTCTCTGCCCCAAAAGTCAGTTTCGGAATTGCTTCAATATCTGCTTTGTAACTGTTTTGATTGCGCATTTTGCCTGTCGTTCTAATTGGGCTGAAATTGGTTCTCATATCTGGGTAAGCAAATCATTCCGTGCGTTATTAGTATGGGCCAGGCTGCTGTTGAGAGTCTTGAATCGATTTGATGCATATGCTCTTGGTTGCATTAATCCCTGCAAGTCGGTTGGAGGGGGGCGCCGCGTATCATAGTTTCCCGGTTCACGCAGAAGCGTTCGCGTGGGGTATTTGGTTAGGTTGCCGCTGACCTGCTGATAGCTCCTAGAACTTCACCATGTCAACTCAAACTGCTCCAGCTGTCCCTCCTCGGCCAGCTCGATCTCCACAACCATCGTCATCTTTAGAAATGCCGAAGATACCGCCGCGTCCCGGCAACCGCCGTAATGACCGTTCCGTTTCGCCCATGCGTGATAGCTATGCACCTTCGCCATTGAATGAATGGACCGGTCCTAGCATGAGTCGTACCGTTTCGAATGATCAGCCCCCACGTCCTCCCAGCGTCACGATCCCGTCTGTCGGCGAGGAGGGTATTGAATATGATAATCTGGTCCCCGAAAACATGTCGGACAGCCATCACCAGACACCCGCGGAGACTCGCAATGTTAGCAGTGATCTTAAGATCCATGCGCCGCGACCTTCGTTGCCGACTTCAAGTGCTGAAGCAAAGGTTCAGGCTGTTACCCGCACTGACTCCCGCCAGGCTGCTGCGGCAGGACTAGGCCGTGGAGTCTCGCCTGCTCGTGAGGAACAAGAACGTTCAAGTCGTTCACTGCATTCCGGAGCGAGTGGCATACGCGCCGGATCCTCAACTGCATCCAATGATCGCCGACTCTCTGCCCATATGGGAGAGGAACAGGGCTTCCGCGTGCCCATGTACCCGAATGCTGGTGACGTCCAGGCACCCTCCCCCAGTCCGTACCTCGAGGGCTCACAGCGATCGAGCCGTAACCACAACCGCACTCGCAGCACCCGGGACTCTTCCCTGCCCCCTGGTAGCTATGGATTACATGGACATGGAGTTCAGCATCCCGATAAGTTTGAGAAAGCTTGGTATGAAAAGCATCCCGATGAATTCGTGAAGGAAGAAGGACAATATGGCCCTGGCGTTGGCACCCCGCGTCCTGATTGGGCAATGAGTAGCGATGATTTGAACAAGATTGTTCGCAGTTCGGCCCAGACTGGCTCCGGTCTTGGTGAGTATTTGAAGCAATTGTGCAGTTGTTCAAAGCTAATCGTAGCCAGGTACTTCCCCAACTATTGTGGGCACACCCGAAGAAGAGGTCGGGTACATAGCGTCCGACGAGTACATACATTCCATTGCTTCTCCTCCTCCTGACACTCGACTTGAAAGCCAGCCGACCGTTGAGTCGCCACTTCGACAAATGACTTTCCCTTCAGAAGCTATGCAGAAGCAAGCTACCGCAAGCCCGCTGCGTAACCGTAGATCTAGCTCGCATGGACATCGTGAAGGTGGCGTGATCCATGTGGATGATCCGATGCATCCTTTGCACCACCCGGACGGATTTGCCCCTACCCCGGCACCGGAAGAGCATGAGTCGGCCCTTGAGAACGAAGAGGAAGAGCCAATTCTGGCTGCTGATGAAGTGCGCCCTGAGTCTGCTTATTTGCATCCCGCCGTCTCGCCAACATTTGAACATCGGGGAAGCTTCGAGGACGATGGCCGCAGTCGTACCCCGAGTATCCACAGTCGTTCTAACAGTCGTTCAGCAAGCGCGCAAGGCCAACTCCCGGTCCTGACCCGCTATGACTCGCGTGAGGATGCGCATACCCCCCTTGAAGACGTCGACGAATATGAGCCGTTGTTCCCTGAAGACGATACTAAGAATGAGAAACCCGTGTCAGCTGCGGATCGTTTCAAGAAGAGACCGGACGTTCTCAAGCATAGATTCCCTAGCCAGGATATCTGGGAGGATGCCCCGAATAGCCTGCAGCTTCATGCTACCGTCACCACCCCAGATCTGCCTAAGCGAGACTCTTCCGAAATCTTTGAGACACCCGAGCAAGAGGCTGCACGCAGGATGCAGAACACCAAGGTCGATTCACATCAGGTGGCTACCCACATCCTGGAAGGCGAGAGCATCAAGGACAAGACACCCGCGCGACCAGACACATTGAAACAGCGTTTCCCCAGTAGAGATATTTGGGAAGATGCTCCTGATAGTCATCAGCTGGTGACCACAATTGAGCCCGCAAAAGAAGAATTGAAAAGCCCAGAGGTACCTTCCAAGCCTGGTATTCCCCCACGCCCGCAGAGACAATCTCAGTCTGCCTCGCCTACCGAAAAGCGCCAACCACCATCAATCCCAGACAGACCGAAGCCCCAGGTCCCTGCCCGTCCTGCTAAGGCCGGTTCCCAGGCCCCAGCAAGCACCACTGAAACCCCGAGAGAGGCTCCTGCAGTAAAGGCCAAGCCCGCAATTCCTGTTCGTCCCGGTGGAAGCAAGATCGCAGCCATGAAGGCGGGCTTCCTTACCGATTTGAATTCACGTCTGCAGCTTGGTCCCCAGCAGCCCAAGCCCCAAGAAAAGGAGCCCGAGCAGCCTGTTGAGAAGCAGCCTTTGAGCGATGCTCGCAAGGGAAGAGCCCGCGGGCCAGCACGCCGAAAGCCTGCAGTTGAGAAGTCCACTTCCAGACTCCCACCTATTCCGGAGATTAAGATCACAGAAGCTTTGAATGTCTGGCAAGTCGGCCAGGATGGAAATTTGGTTCTTGGGGCCGGTGAGAATGAGAAGCCTACCGTTGCAGTGGAAGAACCATCGGTGCCTGCTGAGAAGCCAATGGCCCCTCCACTGGCCAAGAACACTGCCGGCGAACCTGTAGACCCGACGCCTGAATCTCCAGTTGCGACCACAGCAGTGGATGTCCAGCCTACAAAGACCCCAGCAGAAACCCAGGAACCCGCTGAGTCGTCTCCGATAGCAATCGAATCTGCAGATAACCAGGAGGAGAATAAGAAGGGTGATACGAACGTGACAAAGTCTTCTGAACCTGCCTCTGAACCTGCAGCTGTTGCTGCAGCGATGGCTGAAACTGTTTCCGCTCCAGCTAAGCTGGATGATGCCCTGGAAGATATGGCTGCGTCAGCTGATGGCAAGAGCAAGTCTGATGGTAATATTCACCCTGAGCAGTAGTTGGGTGCGTGGATCGGTTACCCTTCGCTTTGCTACTGATGTCGTTCATGTCCAACCCATGACCACCGGGTTGCCAGATCACAGCTTAGGTATTCCTTTCTGCTTTTTTTTATGACCAACTCGTTAATTGAATCGAAATCTGATTTATTTTTATCCTTCTATTCTTTACGGCTGTAGGACTTTGTAGTTGGCTAATCTAAGGAATTACAAGAGTGCGCCTCAGGACCTAGGGTTGTTCTACCCTATACATCAGGCTAAGCGAAACACCACCAGGGCTTCAAAATATTAGATGACTACTAAGATGCATAGCAAACAAAGGGCTGCCATGGACTTGTAAATAAGAGAGATTTGACTAAAGGAATTATCGAACTCTTCCTATACTACCCAGGTAGATGTGGGCTTCATATATCTAACTATAGATACATAGTTAACTAGTTACGGGCCGAGAAAGAAGGCCTGATCTCTCAGGCATGAATGTATAAAGGACAAACACTGAACAAGTAGTACGTACATAGTATATCTATCGTACCTGTATTAAAAAGGTCAACGCATCCGGAAATAAGTCACATACATGTCCGGGTTGAGCTCAATAGCTAATGTGACGTGATCTCCACGTGACCGCCTTTGACAGCCGCGGCTCACAGCCGAACTTAAGAGACTCCAACCTCCACTTAGCGGAATGGAGCTCCTCTCTTCTTGTGCTTTGGGAGAAAATCGGAGACATTTGTTTGCTTTGTTGGCTTCTATGGTTGATCTGTCTTCTCAGAAGATGATGAACCCCATTCTTTGTCTCTTATCGAGCCCGATTTAGATCTTTATCGCACTATCTCTACATTTCTCATCGGCCCTGACTTGCATACCTCGTCTCCACTAACATGGCGTCCGTCCCGGGATACTCTGCACCAGGCAGAACCACGCCATTTGATGGTACCACGTCCGCCAACTCAGATGAAAACACCATCTCCCAAGAGACCATCTCACCTCAGAATGAATCGATGGAGGACACCGAAACCGTTTTCTTGAATAAGAGCGTATCAACCCCGAGCCACGGATCGGACATTTCCAACAAATCACTCAGTCAATCATCGAAACCGTCCCATGCCTCGGATGAAGATGAGCCGCGCAAGTGCTGGATTTGCTACACGGATGAAACGGAGGACTCGCCACTGAACCTGGAATGGCGGTCGCCTTGCCCTTGTGCCCTAACCGCCCATGAGGCATGTCTGCTCGACTGGCTTGCCGACATGGAAAATCCCCGCTCGCGCAAAAGCGGCGGTGGCGTAACAATGAGTTGCCCTCAGTGCAAGACGGAAATCGTCGTCACTCGCCCGCGGAGTTATGTGGTTGATGTGATGCGACTAGCCGAGCGCCTGGCAGGCCGATTAGTCCTTCCCGGCATGATGTTCACAGTTGCCGGCACTGTGTGGGCTGGATGCTGCGCACATGGGGTTTATTCAATGTACCTCATTTTCGGGACTGACGAAGCGAGGCAGATCATGGAGGAGACCATGGAGGGCGCATGGAATCCCGGGATGAATATTGGCCTACCGCTTATCCCACTCGTATTAATATTCTCACGCACTCGGTATGCCGACGGCCTTCTTCCGGCTATTCCAGTTCTTTTCTTCGCTGCACATAACCCGGGGCAGGAACCCGACTTCGACTTGTGGCCACCCACACCGGCTATGACTTTCGCCGCGCTGCCATACATCAAAAGCTTTTACGGCGCGCTTTACGAACGACTATTCGGTGGTCTGGAACGGAAATGGATTGCTGAGGTACAACCCCGCGCGGCGGAAGAGATCTTGGATGATGCGCAGCAGCAAGATCAGGCGGAGGGTCTCAACCGGTTCGGTGATAATGCGAATGGGCAAATTCTGATGGAGATAGATCTTGAGCTGCAAATGGGAATGGGTGATGACGAACCGGACCTTGAAGCCCTTCCTATCGGGCAAGACGAAGCTGCCAATGGCGGCCCCAACGGAGCACAAAACGCTGCACAAAACAATAACCCACTAGGACTTGGCCGCCGACAGAACGAGATTATTGCCGATACCAGTAATCTTGCTGATGTCATACTTGGAGCACTCGCCTTCCCAGCAATCTCAGCGTCAATGGGTGGCCTGTTGAAGTATCTTCTGCCCAAGTCATGGACATCCCCAGCCATGGACCGTGGCCGCTTGGGACTGCTTCAGACTCGCTGGGGCCGCAGTGTTGTTGGCGGGTGCATGTTTGTTCTGTTGAAGGATGCACTGGTTCTTTATTGCCGGTGGAAGCTAGCCCAAACACACCGTCGCCGCAAGGTTTTGAACTACGATCGAGCTAAGAAACACCATGGCACAAAGCGGTCCACTGGATAGCTTTGGACGGGACATTCCTTGTTTCAGTCGACTTGAGTCAATACTTTCTTCTGCTTATATTCGGCGCGTCAACTGCATTCCATGGGCGTTTTATGGCATTCTCTTTAACAGCTTTGGTGGGACATTTCACATATGCCTTTGATGACTCTTGATATCACGGAATACCTCTCTATCTTTCTATTCATCAAAAATGTCAACTCATGATCTGTGCTCAAAAGCCATGTATGAAGTTTTTTTATCTGTACCTATTATCAAATCTCAAGACTGCCTCAATTGACCAGTCATCGGATGTAAATTTTCATCTTTTAAGTCTACTGGGATGCATCAAATCCTGCCATCTGGTAATTAAATACATTGTTCTTTGAAAACATGAACTACAAATGCGTCGCAGCTGCATGCAGCGGCAATGTTTATCTAACAAGCGCGCGGCTAAACAGGCGGACAAGATTCTGCCGTCAAGGAATTATTCCCCGTGGAACTCAATTACATCGAGCCCTTCCCACTCCCTCCACCCAGCAGACAACCATCACAATGAAGTCCTTATCACCAGCCCTCGCGTCTCTCGCGAATGTCTTCAAGATCCCCATGTCAATGGCGCCGGTCCGCCCATCAATTTCCCGGGCCTGCCACGAGACCCTGAACCGCCAAACACAGCCCGGCCCTGTCACAGCAGCCCTACAATCCGCGCCATTCTCGACAACAAGCGCAATGGCCGCAAGAAAGACCAACAACGGCCCCGTAATTGACAAGCGCATTAGTATGTGCCATACCCCTACGCTGAACTCTCACCCCGAGTTCCGACTCCCGAGCCCCCCAACCAAACCCAAAACACGTCTTACAGGAAATAAAAACAACCAAAAACTAACAATAATCTTCTAACTTAGCTCTGATCCGCTACTTCCTCCACCACCCTCTCACTCCCCGTCCCCTCCGCTTCTCCCGAAACCGTTACCTCCGTCACTGGACCATCCACCGCGCCTGGCAATTGTTCCAGGCCCAGCAGCGCCGCAAGCATGAACTCGAGATGATGCGTCAGTATCAGAGCATGCAGGATGCGTGTGAGGAGCTGCGCACTGGCGCTGGTGATGGTGGCAAGCTGTTCCGCGTGTCGATGAACAAGAAGGGTATCTTCACTGATATGTTCCCTATCGAGTATGCTCGCATGCAGACTGAGTCCCCTCCTTCTGGTGGATGGAACTATGATTGGAAGAAGCCTGTAAAGAAATAGAGGAATTGAAGGAGAGGTTGTCTTGTTGGAATTGATGGGTTGAAGATTCATTGGACTGGATGGCCCATGATATGTATCATTTTGGCGCTATGTAACATATGCATTTATTATTTTTTCTTGATATAGTTTGCATTTCCAAGCTTGATATCACTTTGTTTCAGTTGTACGCTTTCCTTATGCGATATGGTCAGACTCTATATATAGGGGTATAGGGAGTGTAGGTTTACAAGTATGCCGAAAGATATAATTGATTATATGGTACCCTGAGCGGGTTGTGAGCACAATGTATGAGAAATGAGCGCTGAAAACAAAGGCACCAGAATTACTACATGAAAAAAGGAGAACACAAGGAGTGAGATCGCAATGTACTTCGGGGAATTGAGTGGTGAGAAGGAAGGGAATCCGGAGTTGCACGTGCATAAGCATCACAAAGACGCAAATCAAAAAGGAAAGACGTAAGAAAAAAAGACCTGCAAGGGAAAAGACACGGCTGAAAATAACCGGAAAGCAGACATCGTACCCAGATCAATCGACCGGGTTAAAACAAGAACCTCCCAAACACCAGTGATGCATGATACAACGGAGCGTCGATTGATATCTTCATGGTTTACACCAAGTTGTATCAATGAAATTCCAAGTCAACAGAAAAACCGAGCGCTGGCAGAGAAAAAGTCGGCATTTTGCACATCTCAAATTGCATCATCAGATAACCACACAGCAAGACGATTTTCGTTTGTCGAATGTGAGCAATGCTGCACGGGTAGCTGCCTCGAAGACATCGTCAACACCCTCGCCTGTCAGAGACGAGCATTCGAGATATTTGCGGGCTCCAATCGATGCTGCGACGTCACTGCCCTCTTTTGTCGTCACGAACTTGAGTGACTTCTTGCGCATTTCTTCAATTGCCAATGGGTCTTCACGAAGATCTTTCTTCAATCCGACCAAAAGGATCGGCACACCGGGGCATCGCTCGTTTGCTTCGTCGATCCACTATACCGCAGATCAGTATTACTGCCGCCCGACTCTTCAATTTATCTGACACGAACCTTGTGTTTCACATTCTCCAACGAATCAGGAGTATCCATAGCGAACCCAATCAGGAGAACATGGGCTTTCGAGTAGGCCAATGGTCGCAATCGCTCATAATCTTCTTGTCCTGCTGTATCCCATAGAGCCAGTTGGACTGAGCGGCCATCGACACGGCAATCCGTCACGTAGTTTTCAAATACCGTTGGTACCTAACAAGGGAGATGTCAGACATGATTCGAAGGGGATGTATCGAGGTCGAGAGTACTAACATAATGCTGCGATATAAAAACATGTTAGCCATGGACTCTGCTAAGGGGCTTCTTCTTGGCCTAAGGACCAAACTCACAGTTGGGAAATACCCTAGGGTAAAGACACTGAGCAAACTGGTTTTTCCACATGCACCATCGCCAATGATCACAAGTTTCCTACCGAGGACTTCAAGTTAGCATATGCGAACACCAACTGGTCTTCAATCCCTCTGGTGGTGGTATCGGAAGTGCTAGGCTGCCATTTGCAATCTTGCATAATCTCCTTTCCATACCGCGGGGATGTAAGACATCACCTCAAAATCGGCTGCACATACCTTCGCATCACATTGTCATCCTGTTGTTGCGACATTATGAAGGCTGCAAAACCCTTCGTGATACACAAGGGTAATGGGCGGAGGGTATTGTGGATCGACACTCGAGATGACGCGGGAGTTCCGAGTCAGATTCAGCTGATTACGAGGGTTGGCGACACGTATAAGTAAGGAAAGTCCAGGACTAGGCGGATGGTGCCCAAAAGGATTACAGATATGAATGGGCGGCCTGAAGATGCACCCAAACAGTGACGTGAGTTGTTAGGGAGGAGGGGGGAAAGGTCGCGCTGCGGATGCGGCTGAGGCTAATGATGGGGTTTGACGTAGACACGAGAGTCAGGTAACCTCAAAATGGGTGAGTTAAGGAGAGAGGAGAAAGGTAGAAATTGAGTGAGTGGAAGGTTTTTTTTTTAGAAAAGAGAGAAGCTGAAAAGTAAGCCCTGGAGATAAGATGAAGGGAGAAGAAGGCGCTTACAATTGTCCAAGCGGAGATTTATTAAGGCTCACGCCGAGACTACGAAGGGACTAAATAATAGCCTGACAGATGGGTATCTCCTCGGTCTGATCATCCTATGGGGACCTTTTTTACCCTCTTGTTTATGACCTTGGAAGATATTTTTAATTAGCGCTCTCCGTGTCTCACACAGCTCGGTGGATCAGATCGTCTCATACTTGTTTCCCCTTGCCCATTTACCCATCACCGCCTAATATTAGGGGGGTTTTGCTGGCAGATTAAAGGCGGGCATGTGAAAGATCATGTGACTCTAAACAATGTAGTGATCAGCATGAAACAGTTGAAATGTAGTCTATTTAGACTTGTAACTAAATGGATGGTAACTTGGTTAAAGAGTTAAACTAGTTGGGATTTGAACTTTACTATAGTGTACAGTTTGAAATATCTTCATACAATCAGGGTAGTGCCACTAAAACATACAATTCGATATTTAAAACCTGACAATTAAGGCATCAGCTCGCTTGCGGCGGCTATCCCGTTGCGGCGGCACGACAGCCAGCCAGAAGGCTGGAAAGCCCATCACTCCATCCATTCATTCGCGTTCGATCAGTCTACCTCTTACCTCGGCGCTCAACTCAGCCTTGATATCTTGTTGATCCTGGTTTTGACTCATTGTTTGTTTTCCTTCCCTAGTTTGCCAGGGCTCCTGACCTAATCCGAAGCGCAGACACGTCGTGACCCGCCGGGATTATTGCTTTCAACCCCCCTCCTCCCGTGTCCTTATCCTATCTCACCCCTCACGTTTGCCACTACCGAAGTGTCTTTTAACAAAACAACAAAGAACGCGATTGAATCTTTGTGCCTGAATACGCCAAGGGGAATAATTCCGGTAAGTCAACACCAGATCGTGGAATCACTGGAGCTTTGTTGGTAGGGCTCTTTGGCTCTTCCGTTCTCCGCTTTTCCTCCTCATCCTACCACCCACCTCTCTGACATTGCTCATCTAACTCAAAGCTCGCTCTGGTGGTATTAGTATGCTGCTGAGGCAGTCCCTGCAGCTTATTTCACCTCCACCATGGCGACCCAAATGTCAGCAACTCCGCTTCCAGCAACCAACGGCGAGACCCACGCGCGGGGTCCTCAAGGTACCACATCGACTGGATCAACTGCAACATCTGCGCCTTCTGTGAATCGCAAGAAGCAGAAACGCCGACAGAAACAAGCTGCCCGCTTAGCCGCGGAACAACATGATGCTTACACCCCCGGAGATGCGGACTTGCTACCAGCAGATGAACAGCGCTCCTGCGATGAAGATCACGAATATCGTCCCGAGGATCGCTCCCATACTACAGCAGGTGCTCATTACGGATATTCATCACCAGAACATCCCCGCGTACCCCCCACGATGAACGGATCTGATGACCATCACGCCGCCTCAGGTGAGGCACCGAAAAGGAAGAAAAATAGGAAAGCCCGATCCGACTCTCAGAATCACGCTGATCGCAGCTCAACTCCGCTCTCAACCCCGTCCGCCACCTTCTCCCACCCTCCTCCGCCTCCCCAGTCCATGCCATACATCAATCGATTCACCGGAAAGCCTATGAAAAACAGCAGCATCTGGAACCAGTCAACTCTAGAAGAACGCGAAAATATCAGGACCTTCTGGTTTGAGCTCGGCGAAGAAGAACGGCGCCAGCTCGTCAAGGTGG